TTCGCTTAAACAGTGGATTAGAGGTAAGAGCATGATTTCTGCTATTATAAAGAGGTAATATTTTCTCAGTCTCACAACCCGTAGTACCCATCGACCATCTACTTCTCGACTTGAGTGACTGAACTTCCTTCTCTTCGTCAGCTTCCAGTGTAACTTGACTTTTTTAAGAGCAGGGTAATGAAGGATTATCCTTAAGAGCAGGGTCCTCCAGAATTTGATCGCAATAGAAGCGACTTATAGTCCGCACTGCATTCCATCCGGCGGAACGTCGCCAGGGGATGCCGATCAGAGGGGACCCCCGTACCTCGTCTCGAAATTGTGCTACCGTTTGTCGTCCGATGGGTCCTACTTGCTCTACATCATGAAAACCACACACACGTGGGAGCCACTCGGTAATCCTTAGACGCGAAAAAAGAACCATAAACAGTAGCACTTCCAGTTGCAGCAGATCATGCTTCCTCAGCATAATCTATCATCCGCATCCGTGATGATGTTGATCTTGATCATGCTGCTTTCCAAAAAATAACTATCTTTCAAATCATCAACAACAACAGGAAGCAAGATGCTTTTGTAAGATACTTGATTATGATCGTATCCCTTTCTCGACAAAAAGCCTAGTAAAACAGGAACTAGTACGAGGATTTACCTGCCTCATACAAGTCGTGTGTAAGTACTACGATAAAGAATACGTTGAATTGGAGCGCAGCGCAGAAAAGGATACAAGCATGAAGCCCATCACGATGATGCCTTTTAGAGATAAAGTCATAACACCATTAGAGCCCGCCGCACTCCTGGTCTGTTTGTCTCGAACGCAGCAATTCTGGCTACTTTGCTAGCTTTAGCAACACGCCACGCTTTGTCTTTTCTGGGGAACAGGGATATACCTGTTTTTTCGGGACGGCTGTCAGCAAATTAGAACTTCTTGCAATAAGCCATCTCTTTGGAGACCAATCCGGTGCCCGTTCTCCCCATTGGAATTGGAAAACGGGTAGTTATTTATGATTAAGATTATTTCTTACAAATTAACTATATGAAAGTCTCATTCAAACGTTTTGATTTTTTAGAGGATGCGCTACTGTTGCCGGAAGGCTTAATTTTCTGAGTCTGAGCCAGCTTTCGCCGAGTGCTGGCGCTTTGATTAGAGGAGCTCAAAGCGATTCATTTCTTGGGTTCATTTCCTCAGAATCCTAAGAATAGTAGAGCTAAGAAAAAAGGACCCTAAGAATAAGATGAATTCCCTACACCCATAAATTGAGGGTAATCCGTTTTCCTCCGTGACCTCCATTTTGACCCGCACCGACTTGCTTTCTTTACCTCCACGGTTTGTAGCTGACTGATGTTCTTCAGCGTCTTTCGGAGCGCATTTGCTTCTTTGCTTCGCGTTATCCCAAAAATTCCTCGTCGCATACATGCCAGATACTGCCGGAGCAGTGCGCTGCTGTGACCGCGGATCCGGTCTATTCGCCAACTCTGCTACTGTTTTGCAAAACGCGACTGTCCGGACACTCTCAAACTCCGCAACATACCGCTTAGTCGGGAGCTTCAGAAACAATCGAGTCGAGCCCCGCAGCTGAATACGATGCGAATAACAAGCATTGCACGTGCATCACGAGTGAATCCTGAAACTACATAGCGGATTTCGAATCAATAGGAATTCCAACTTCAGGAATCGACATAGCAGTTTTAACGAGACGAGGTACAACAACAAGACTCACATGATGATCATCGTTTTTAGGAAGATGATGATGAACTACAGGTAATATCGTTTATTCATCTTTCCACCTCTTCCACGAGCGCTTCCCTTTCTTCATAGATCCCGGAAGTGTCCATGTCCAATGCAACATACAAGAACAAGAATTGCAAATGCAAAATCTAAGCACAAGATGGCTCTTTACTACTCCCAAATACTCATGATCAAGTTAACCTTGTGTTCGCACAATAATTGCAATGCCAAAAATGTAAGCCTTTCGATACCTCATTCGTTGGCGTCTGCACGTCCCAAATGTGTATAAAAGCATCTTTGCCACCTTCAAGCCAAAATGAATGCTTCGGGGTGTTGAACAACTGTTTTTGATCATATTCGGACAATCACTACGAGGTAAAAGGAGATGTTGATGAAGACTAAGATACAGCGTCACTGTCACAGACTGATACGATAAAAACCAAAATACATGGTCCTGAGGCTAGGGGCGGTATCCGTACTATAGCTTCACGTCAAATGAAGATCATTCCCGTTCTTGTTGTACTAAGACAATAAATTATACGACTGCCTCTGGCTCTGCCTATCCAGATAAATATTGATTATAATATTTTTTGAAATTCATGATAGCAGTATCGGTTATTCGTATTCCATCTTGACTTCGCTTTTACGAAACGAAACGTAACACTTCAGGTTGGTTTATTAGGTTTCTTCAATTTCTCTACCCATAAGCTACATCGTTCGACGACGAGTACAGCGTTTTGACTCCACACCCAAACTGCGTGGCAATGCCCTGGTTTGAGACTCCGAATGCGCTGTAAAAGCTGGCTTGCAATGACCTTGCCGCATGGCAGAACCATCTGAGTCAGAAAGTTTTCGAGAAACTTTCCGAGAGGCAGACGGCCTCCTCGATGTTTATCGTCAACAGAGGGGACCATGTCCATGTCCGTGTGCGACGTAGTCGTAGAGCTGCTGCCCCTTGCTTGCAGAAAATTATTTGGTGGATGCTCCTTATTTTGCAGAGAATTGTCATGATTTCGGATTTCTGTTTGCAGTCCTTGGTCCTGCTTCAGAAAGTGTTGGAAAACAGCAACTGCACGCGCCTGCGCATCATTTTCTCTATTTGCGCTCGAACTCACCTGTGAAAAGAAAAACGAGCTGAAAGATAAAACTGCCAGAGCATGTGGATCGGTTGGCTCAGGCTCGGTTTTTCCCTGCATATTATTGCCAAGTCGTGCTTTTTTCCGTGTACGTCCTGGAACTCGTCGAGCTTCTTTTCCATCACTTCCATGGATATCTGCACCGCCTTCATCTAGTACGTCTGCTACACTACTTAGAAATAGTCTTAGTAAAAGTAGTAGCAAATATTAAACTCTAGCCCTAGAAATATATTTGTCAACCTCTCTGACTCTGATGTCTTCATTTGTTCTATTTGAAATTAGACGGGAGAGGTTCCTCTTAGATGGAAATGGAATATTGCAAGCCTTAACATGAGGTCGCCTTCCTTGCTGTTCGCAGAGGAACCACGACCAACATCCTCTACCCCTCCAGGAGCATCGGAATCGTCGCCAGACGAGGACTCAGACGAGACATCAATCAACTCCTCGCCATCATCTTCACTGTAACTGTCGAAGTTCGCAAGATGACGTCCATCAGGATCTTCAGCTACCAACAGAGTCCCGCTTTCCTCGTGTTCCCCTGTTTTTCCGTGACTGCGAGACAGGTCATTTAGATCTATGCCAGCCGTAGTTGTCGTGCTTGATGCGGGCGAATTTTCTACCATTGCTGTCGTACTCGCCGGGGAATCTTCCACCAAATAGTTTCCTCCTTTCATCTGGTCTGTGGTATCATTACGGCCTGCTGTAGTCGCTGGAGATAGACCTTGTGCCAGCGGATGACCTGGCGCAGCTCCCTCAGTTCGCAGCTTTTTACCTTGGCGGTTTTCGTATTCAGTCATCGCAGCCAAGAGAGGAGGCGACTTTTGCTTTTGACAAGCAGAGTCAGGAGGGTTCCCGCCAATGGAGTCCGCCTGTGTCGTACTCGTTAGACGATCGAAATCATTTCCCTTACTCGACTCGGCCGATGCCGATGGTGCGGATGGTCCAGGAGCTTCAGCTTCATTGCCGCTCCCTGATTTTTCGTTTCCGTCGTCGGACGACATGATGCTGATCGTCGTGATGAAATTACTTTCTTTCTGGATGTTTTTTGATCATGATTAGATATTTTTGAATGAAGATTTATTAAATATTATGTGATAGTGATGTAATAGTAATTCAAATTTTTCTGCTGCTGGATAACACATGGATTATACGGCGGAAGAAAAATTGAAATCTGTAGATTGACCGAAATATTAGTGGTCACATTATATGTTATGCAACAAAAATTTAGAGACACTTTAACTTTAAGCAGCAGAGATTGAGATATCAAATACTCTTATGGGTAATTAACTTCTGAGTATTCGCTTTCTTTGCTTTATAGCCTGCAATCTTTCTCTGTCTGCCATCGATTTGAAAATTTCTCGCCATTGAAAACTAGGTTTCGAGATTCAGATCTCCTGGACAGGTCTACAGAATCCTGAAACTAAACCTAAGGAACGTAGTGCTACTTCTTAAACGAAAACTAATACCAGATAAGATGAATCGCAATCGATATGAAGTAAGAGTGTCATTGTGGCTATCTAACGCTAAAGTTTGACATCTTCGTCCAACTCCAAAGGCAAGACAAAGAACTAGAACGAAGAAGATTCTAAATCTAATCCAATCAACACAACCAACATCCAGGTCCTGCGAAGTCATGTCACGGACGCACTTTGACGCAGGCCTTGCTCATGTTCATTACCCTGTTTTACAGACACGCACAAGTCCTTGTGCGTTTACAAAAAACCGATACATAGGGTCTTCTGTCTGCATGGCAGAAACCGAACCTTGGTTGCCTGGTCGTCTGCTTCTGCCATGGCGTTGCGGCATATTAGAGATAGAGATAGATCTTCCGACAATAACCTGGAGGATCCACAAGCGTATTTTTAAGACGTGAAGAGCTTCAGCTTCTGATCTTTCGTTAAAGAATGATGATCATTTGATGGAGCTGTGGACCGAGCAGGAAGAGGAACAATCACCTTGTTGAACTTTACCGGATAGAAATGGGATACATGTCCGTTGGCAACTTGCCGACTGTCTGAATCAGTGTCCTTCATCAATATGGACATTGAGTCAAGCCCCGGACTAACCTAGGCCATGCGAACACTAATGTATGACAGTATTTTTGCAAGTGAACAGGCCAAGGCCTGCAAAAACACCTGATCCTTTTGTATCCCGCTCTGGAAATGGCAAGACACCGAGCACCTGAGACCATCAACAACGACATGATTATGGGCAGTGGCAGTCCCAAGAAGTTTCTGTCAGTATTAGTGTGACACCTATCAAAATCAACTGCCCTCAGGAGTGTTGAAGTGTTGTAGCGCAAAATTCCACCACAATTGAAGAGCTATTTGGAATACAACTGTAATGGCATCTGGCGGACGTGGCATTTTATCTCCGTCTAACTTCGGGGCCAGCAAGGCCGTCTACGGCCTCGGTCTTCACTTCCTTGAGCAGAGCTAGGGATTGACTCATCTCTTCCTGTTCGAGTCACTGTGAATGATGTGGTGTCTGCTTTGCCGCTGCCTTGACTGAAGGGGGTGCGTTCTTCATCTTCATCGCTGACATCTTCTTCTGCACCATTTTCATCTCCTCTTTCTTCGACTACATGGTCTTCACTTTATCCACAGCAGTCATTTTCTTCGTCGCCATCCCCAGAGAGTGGCGTTCATGCTCCTCATTTTCGTCTGGAGGGGCAAAAACATGGGAGCGAGATTATCCTTGGAGTTGGAACAAAATGCAAATGATTCGAGCTAGACGACAATAATCGACATTGAGTGAAAGTATGAGGGGCCGACCCTGCATGTGTATACCTAAGTATATGAGTGTGAGTGGTATTTCTTCCATGAGACCATCCGAGCAGTTTTTCCCTTTGAGATGAGTGCCAACATGGTCGTAACCGTAAAAAGAATGGTTGATCTTTGCAAATTATAATTTGCGTTACTCCGACACGCTGAATCAACAACATCAAACGAGTCTCATTGTAACAACAAAATGAAAATGGGGTGGTATACCAAGGGGACATGACGGGAGTGGGAAGATCCAGGTGCGAGCCCCTCCATCTTTTCCTGTACATCAATCACTCTTTTCAGTCAGTCGCTTCACTCAATCATGATCATCATCAGGGGAAAAAATACTAGTCAAGCTTCTAAATGTAAATCCGCTAGCTTCCCTAACAACTTACTTCTCCCCTCTTCCCCCTTCAAAAGCGTTTACCTATAGTGTAGCTCTCTCAAGTACACATTTCTTGCAATTTTCACGAGACGCATTTATAGCAGAGAGACAGATGAGTACCCGAAAACTACCATCATCATCAACATCATCATCATCATCATCATCGTGATGTCTCAAGCAGTCCTCCTATACTGCTGACATAACGAAACAGATTCAAAGACGGTATAAAACTTGAACACGACAGCTATGTGACTTCTAGTAGAAGCAGACTCCTCCGAGTTTTTGCGTCATCTATTCATTTTACTCAATGTCAATCTCGACTTGCGTCTTTGCAACAAGAACAGCAGGCGGATACTTTTCAAGTAGATCCTGTGAAGTGTCCTGGATTATAAAACCTCTGCGTGTGGCATCCCACGATGCGGCAGGCCCCGTAATTACTTTTACTTCCTCTTCCGAGCCAGTGTCAGGCATCTCTGTCCAGCTCACAGACGCGATAGTTGGAGCTATCACGTTCGCATCCTTGAAAGCATCCCTGGTTCCTATTTGTAGAAAGAGAACCAAGGATGATGCTGAGGATGCTTTGGAGGTAGCCTTAAGATAGGAATCAACCTGCTGGTAATCATTTCCATTTTCTCACGGACACTCGTCGAGCATTTGCCAATGCTGAAGAACTTCTCAGCACATTCCTCATTGAGTGTACTAAGTGCAACAGCTGCCCTCGCGGGGCAGTCTGCGACAACTGCTGTACGCATGTCCACCTCTGCTGGTCGAGGATCTCCGTCTACCGTTGATCCAGAATCGCCTTTCTTAGTGGAAAGGACCAGCCCGAACTTCTTGAGTCCGCCTAAAACATCCGAAGGTGCTGTCATTTTTGCAATCATCTCCAAGTTCAAGGCACCGTTAACATGCTTGTAGGCGCGGATCTTTGAGTAGTATTTGGTTTCGAAGTCCGTTAACTGTCTTGACGAAATCGGAGCAGAAAAAATCCTGTAAGTTCCGATCAGTGTTCGTGCGTGGCTAAAAGCAGCATGAGTGATGAGCAAGAATGACCAGTCTTCCGTGGAATCGACGCCGGCATCGCTTTTCTCTGGTGCTATCAACCTCTTCATTGTGCTCAGAAACGACGCATCGTCAAAACCGCCCGTTAGGAAATGTTTATAAGTCGATTGCTCTTTCAGTGGATGCTTTGCCGAGTTCGTGACAAGAACGAAATACACAGCTGTACAGTGTCCCGAGTTGAAAAAAACTCCTGTTGGATGTTCTAACTGAGGATGAGGTTGCTCTTCTAAATAAGGAACAAGTGTTGTCGCTTGGCGGAATAGGGCGTCCGGCTTCTTTACATCGAAGATATTCGCCCATTTCGCTAAGGCGGCATCTGTTGCCGTCTCTTGTTAGAGGTCGCCGGTTTTTCTATTCATTTTTCGCTTCCCCACAACATACACAAAGCACGTTCTCAACTCTAGATCTAGCACTTTGGATCCGCCCTCTCAGCTCTTAGATACAACAAACAAGCTGAAAACATTCGGTGGGGAAGCCAAGACTTGTTGTCAATTCGAATGTACCAAAAATATAAGTTAGGCCTTAAAGCGTCTCGTCCAGGGTTGTCACGCCGTAATGGAGCAAATAGTGCTCGTTCACGCCCTGAGTGGTCGATGGCTTTTCCAACGACTGCCCCTTCCCATGATCGAGCCTTGCAAAGATTAGCGCCTCTTGAGGATGTGCATCAATATGATACTGTTACTGTGCACGAAATTGTCTCTAGGTAGAGTTTTCGAGTATCAGAAGCAAAACTACGTAACAAAGCAGTTAGTCCGTTGTGCATGAGACGATGGATGGAGTATGTTTCAGCACCATCTGATTTTCGTATCGAGGATCTCCAGATGCAGATGTCTACGCTCTTAATAAGTGTTTTTCAGCTCTCAAACGGTGAACGATTTCCGAAGATCTGTAGTACCAAAAATCACTGTCGTTCATGACAAACCGCTTACGTTCTCTGTCCCGGCGATAAACCGGCGCCAAAAAGTTGGTGCCAGGCCCAGAGGCTGGCGGGAGCTTGATGATCGGAATCAAGTGCTTGCTGAGATCTTGCAGCTTACTATGGACACTTGTAGCGCACTCCGAGCTGGAGTCGCCGACATTGTGTTTGAACTTATGATCACGCAATTCACTTGCAAGCTCTTCGTCTGTGGCACCAAGACCAACAATTGGAATTCCCTTTTTCGCGTGGCATGTTGCGAATACCTGTATGTCGTTGCGCCATGAACCCGTCATTGCGGATTCCGGTTTCTCTTGACGCTGACGGAGCATCTGCAGAACTTCGTGAGTAGTCCGTCGATACTTTGTAGTCCATTCTGAGTTCTGATCAGTCGCATCCCTAGTGCGCCAACCCCTCGGGCTTTTATCGGTGTGCTGGTCGAGATCGATTATTCTCTCTCGGAGTTTGTGTCTGATCGAAGGAGCGTCGTACGTTCGGATGTTGTTCTCGTCATCCCAAGGTACACTTTCATCAATTCTGTACCTGTACCCCGCCGCCCTATGAAGTTGATCCGCGCGATCAAAAGCTGCCTCCGTGAAAAAGATTTGCGCGTCGGTCTCGATCATCTGCCGCTCCTCGATACTATTTCGAATGGGGCGCGTTCTCATCTCTTTCTCCCTCTTTCTTTTGTTCCTCTCGTCTCGTTCCCAGTCGTCTTTTAGAGCTCACCCCCCCAATCCATCTTGAAGACCATCCTGAGACCTTTCTTTCCCAGAGAACGTCTCGAAGATGCTGCGTTCTGAAAATGGATCACTAGGAGGTTAAGAAGCCTTAAATCTTCGTGGTCAGGTATATCTTCTACCTCTTCTTTTTTTTCTAGTGCCCCTACTCTCTTCAGCTCGATTGTGGTGAGCTCGGTCCAGGCATTTTTAAACCTAGCATCCGGATCCATTGCAAAGGAGTTCAAGTTCATGCCCCGCTGCCAGATGTTTTGGATGGAAACGCCGCCATTCACGACAATGAAATAAATCGGTGTGCATGCTGACGAATCAAAAAAAATTCCTGTTCGATGTGATACTCGGGTCGGCTCAGATTGCTGCAGAACTTTTGCAGAAAAGTCATTCGCGCTCCAGGGCTCATGCCAGTTGCTTTTTGCCTTGCCCTTGGGTGGGATTTTTGCTTAGAAGGATCTGACTTATCTTCAATCATAATTAACTACCTTCCAACCAAGACTACGGATACATTACATAGTAGTCCGTGCTCGACTTGGAGCTTTTTGTCTGGAAGTAACGAGCTAAGCAAGGTTGGGGCGGAGGCTACTTGACTACTCTTAACCTGCGCGGTCATAAAAATCTGGCACGCCAAAATACAGCAAATCGGAATCGTCCTGTTCGGTAGTGTATCTGACGTCCCCCGCCAACGTCAACATTAGAGCATGCAGATACACGTGAGAGCTTTCTTTCTACCTCGACGTCGCGTTGAACTCTGTGTCAATATAGTTTGTCGCATAAGGAGCTACAACAAAGTTGCATTTGGAAGCTCATCAAATCAGATAATATAAAACCATAACACCTACATCATCACGACTACACTGCACTAGTTCTAGTCCAAATCGCACGCGAGCATGAAAGTCGAAGTCAAGTTAAAAAGACCGCTTACAGAGACTATCTTCTATCGACTGTACGCAATCGCAATCGAGCACATTCATTATCTCAAGCGTTAGTGTCTATTTGGGTGCGTCGAGCTAGCAGATGCTGACGGGCTAAGAGATCCTGATGGACTAGGAGATGCTGACGGGCTAGAGTTGCACATAACGAAAACGAGGATGGCCAATTACCTCGATCAATCGAGCCTGTCCTTCCTGAATCGTTGCACGCTTCACCAATGCACTTTTTTGGAGCATTCCGTGCGCACTTCTTAGAAGGGTTGTGTCCTCTTCTACAGAAATACCCACTGGGACTGGTGCCTATTTAAATTTATCATCAAATACAATTTGGATGAGGATAAATCATTTACATACGTAGTTATTTTGTCACTGTCTTTATATCTAGGTATACTTTTTGTGGGGTATCTCTCATTTCTGTCGCTATTTCTACGTATATATGCTGAGTAGATCTACCTCCGTCCGACCTAGAGAAGAGGCATCCGCTCCAGGGGTGGAGGCCCCCCGTGGGACTTACATAGATACGGAACGCCGTAGAGCTATTACGTGACGCGTGACGCCGAGAGCTTCCGGGGTGGGCGAAATTTCTGCGCTTAATTTCAAGCGTGACGTAGCACACAGCAGCTCGCGTCTTGATTGAACAAGATCTGGACACTCACACACACACGCAAGGGTCTAGCCAAGTGCTAATCTTGAAGGCAAGTCCTCACGGAGTTGAGTTGATTGCTACCCCGAAGAAGTAAACAAAGCAAAGAACAAGAACGAAGAAGAGCCTTGCGAAGTGCATGGGCTGCCGCCTCCTGGTGCACGGATACATAAATGCCCGCGTCCGTGGTTCACTTCACTGGTCGAGCCGTGGATCGCTGAGCGATCCGTGGAAGGGTCACTGATCGATCCGCGGGCCACTGGTCGATCCGTAGGCCACTGGTCGGTCCGTGGATCACCTACCGATCCGCGGTCCACTGACCGATCCGCGGGTCACTGATCGAGCCGCGAGTCACTGATCGATCCGGGGGCCACTAATCGATCCCCGGGTCTCTCTTTGATCGATCCACGGGCCTTCGATCGATCTGTGAGCGCGTGCTGCGTCGTGGCGGCGGGTTGAGGACCAAAGAAAGGCGAGGAAGACGGGGGGCAAGGCGTGCCCGCCTGGGTTTTCTCAGATACATGCACGCAGCACAGCAAAAGGGGCCAAGCCTTGCCACCTGCTGCCCTCAGCGGCCTTCGACCGCCCAAGAAACTCCCCCAGTGAAGTACCCGCACGCGGGAGGTCTGTGTCTGTGTAGGGTACACGCAATACGGCACGGGAGGTCTGTAAGGTACATGCAACACGGCGAGGGGGCCACGTCAAGCCGTGCCACCCTTTCCGCCTTCGGAAGCCTTCCGCCCCAAGCCGGAGGCTCTGGAGGGTACAAGCAAGAAGCCGCGAGGCCGCGAAGGTGCGCGCTTCGAGCCCTTCCCGCCCGGCTATCCTTCGAGAAAAAGGGCCCGGGGCTGGAGGCCCCCCCTCGAAAATTTGAATCGGGGGGCCGTGGCCCCTGACCCCTGGAGCGTATATCTACACGCCCAAGGAGCGGGCCCACCAAGGGCCCGCTGCGCTGGGCATCCATAGGTTAGCAACTAGACAGATAAGACTACGACGCAAGCCGCTGCCACTAAGTCACCAAACTAGCGACGCGCGGCTGCTTCAGAATGGACTATCGTGGACGCGCTTGATGGCCAAACAAGCGGGCTGGCTGTCGCTGTCTTGTGGCTAAGGTAGCAAGCTGGCTGTGGCTAAGCCAGCGAGCTGGAGAGGCCATGGCAAAGCCAAAAAGCTAGATATGCTATGGCGGAGCTGGCAAGCTGGCCAAGATTAGGCTAAGAGGCTGGCTCTAGCTGCCGGGCTAAGCTACGCTAGCAGGGTGGCCATGGCCAAGCTAGCCAGCAAGGAAGCTGGCTGTGGCTAAGAAAGCATCTGCTGAGCTAGGTCGCGCAAAGGAACCACCTACCAAGCTAGTTATGGCTAAGCAGCTGGGAGCAGGCTAGCGATGGCCAAGCAGCTAGCAAGCTAGCTATCATGGCCAAGTAGCTAGCTTGCTAGCTAAATAAGGCCGAGCAGCTACCTAGTAAGCTCGCTAGCAAGCTATGGCACAGCAGCTAGCAAGCTCGCCATGGCGAAGCAGCTAGCTAGATAGCTACGACCGAGCAGCTACCTTGCTTGCTAGCTACGGCTAAGCAGCTCGCCGGCTAGCTGTGGCGAAGCAGCTAGCAGGCGAGCTATGGCGAAGCAGCGAGCTGGCTAGCTACGGCTAACCTAGCCAGGTAGCTACGGTTAAGGGGTAAGCAAGCAAGCAAGCAAGCTAGGGCCTAGCAGCTAGCAAGCTGGCCATGGCTATTAAGCTAGCAAGCTGAGGCCCTTGCGAGGTGGCTGTAGCCCTTAGAGGAGGGCCTATCAATCATCAGCCTCAGTATATATGGCAACTTCTCCTCAAGGGGCCTCCTTAAGGGGAATCTTTTGCCTTACGGAAAGTTATAGTAACTCTTTGCGCTAGAACTTCTTTAAGGATATCAGTTTCCTTCAAGGGAAGCACTTCAGGGAGACTCTTAAGGATTTGAGAAAAGTTGTCTATTACCCTATAAATACTAATATGTATATAATAAGCACCAAAAAAAAAAGTCCCGTTGGACTATCTTGATGTCTCTCGTTTCCGTCTCAGTTGTTCTTAGCAATATTCAGCTCCGCAGCCCATTGCGACCATCCAATAAACACAAGCAATGCTCCCACAAGAAAGGCAGCACACAGTGACCCAGCATTTCTGCAGATGTGTGATGCTCTGCCTGTAGTTAAGTCGTATAATATTAGAAATTTTGTCGATTTTGATTTTACCATGATTACTACAAACGGGTCGGTGAAGATTATGTAGATTGTACAAAGATACTAAATATATATAAGTATTTTTCACCGCATGGATGCACTATACCCTCGAGTTCGAGCAAGCACGAGTAATCAAGCTTAGACAATCAGCAAAAACTATGGCTCGACACGGACGAAGGAAAAGAGTCTTTCGACAGACTTTGAGTAATGATCCTGCTTATTTATATATATATAAGGAAGCCTTAATAATTCTGCTTCTTTTTCAACACTTTTTGTTCTGGTTTTTGCAGAAGATGACACGTCCGAGGACACGCTTCCGTACTTGGTGGACGTACTGCGTAAATCTACTCCGGTGCTAGTAGTATACTGTCTCGTTTCGCCGTCCAATTTTTGCAGCTCGATGAGCTTGCTGGGTCCTTTCGAGGAGGACCTTTCTCCTGATGAACCATCGCTCATTAGAAATAGAACTGGAACTGTTAAATCTGAAAAAAAATTATCCTCATCTATTTCTAAATGGAGATGCACCATCAAGATAGAAGAAGGACCTGGTGGATGAGAACAGCCCAGTAACAACAACCACATCATAAACTAATATATCATGCTGGTAGACCTACAGCTAGAGGAGCCTGCTAACTAAGTATAGAGAATCTGTATCATCATGTTGCAGAAACTTTGACACATACACAAAAAATATCGTGGCCGAAGACATAACAACGCTCCGGAAGACGAAGAGGTAGTCGATGACGAGCCTGCCGGACCATAATTTCCATTGTTCTTCTGTACCTGTAGAGTTTTTTTTATTAAATCAGATGTTCTAGTTCTACTCCTATCTTGTAGGTATGAAGTCATGAAGTCTACCCAATGCAATCTAAGTACAAATAGGGAAGAAAATGACCTATCCAAAAAAGCATCATCTCTATGTCTATGTACTGTTTCACTTTTGGTTCGGCGGGTAAGAATCTGCTCATGGGAACTTGCTGGAAGCGGCGCTTTCAGTTGAGCTGCTACCGGAAGAAGCACGAGCTCGTTTCTTTTTCTTACTGGAGAAGTGCAGCAGGCTAGGCCTACCGGAGGTGAGGAAGCTACGCTCGACGGACCCGGAGAACTTCCCGAGGATGAGACTTTTTCATTGTCTTCGTCTTCATCTCCAGTAGTTGGTGCTACATCAGTCCCATTTGGCTCTTGTTTTTATTAGAGGAAAGTTTCATTCTGTAGTTCCATGGCCACGTCTCCGATCCCGACTAAAAGGTAAAAACCTTTTCATTTGCGTATTCTCAGAATGTAAAAATAAATATGTATACCCCTATTGAAGAACACCAGCCCGCTTGGGCACTCATTCAGTGGAAACCGAAAGGCATAATTTTCCGGCACATCGCGTTCCGCTTCCGACGTCGTCGATGGGTCCGCTTTGCCGATGACATTTTGTTCGTTCAGCGATCCTGTGACTTTATGCTGTAGTTCTTGTTCTTCATCCATAATATTACCAAAATCGTGGACGCCCGCGCACGAGGCAGCCGCGTCCTCGATAAAGTCGCTTTCCATTTTTTCAAACGAACAATGAAAAAAATCAAATTACACAAAAAATTACACCTTGTTGACGTTGTAAACGTAAAGTAAATTATGGTTGGAGGTGATGGTGTTGGTGATATTCAACAATAATCGAGCAGCGGTCGTGAGGGTTTAGTATTGTTCGTAAGAAATAATAACGATGAAGCGTCGTGAACGAGATCGTGAATATAAATTATGATAGCAACAGATTATATCAAACGCAGAGGAATTCTTGAACGGAGCGACGAGATGGGGATCGGGACAAGGAGTAAGCGCACATACTCCCACTTGAAGGCGACCCATCGACGAACACTTGTAGAAGTCGAGGCCATGAAAGAATCGGATTAGGATTACATCGCTGACGAACACTCACGACTACCACTTGAAGTCGACCAATCAAGGATTCCGGTGTGTGCAACTACGACCGCAATTGCTATTGCTTATATGTGCGATGATCAGAAGATCTGAGATCAATCTCAATCATCGTTTGAAAAAATAAAAAATAGATAAGATTATAACTACAGACTACGGTGCAGGTGTAAAAGTGAATGTGACAAAGTCTTCCCTGAGCGCGAAAAAAGCGAAGTACTTAGTGTAGTTATCCATAGTCATAGTGATACCTGGAAGCGAAAAACCTGTTGCACCAGAAAGCGAAAAAGTTTACTGAAAAGCAAGTAGAAGCGGGCATACTTGAAACGATGAAGAAAACAAACATTGCGTCGAGCCCCGGACTAACATAGGCCATGCGAACACCATGATGACAGAGTTTTTGCAAGTGAAAAGGCACGCAAAGAGCCGTGGCCCTTTTCTCACCCGCTTCGGAACTAGCAAGACACCCGACGGCAACAGTCAACACGCACCTGAACATTCAAAGCATGAGCAGCTTGTGCGAACAAGAAGTGTTCATCTTGTTGTTACACAGATAAACTGCCTCCCTCATTGTCATTGTCGTACTGTGCCAGCGCAAAACTTCACCAGAATCTGCTATACATCTAGTACGCCAGTCGCGAGTGACGTCCATCTTCAAAACTCAACAGCTTTCCGACCCTTTTTTCGTGTGAGAGCTACTTGGATTATGTCTGTAATGGCTCCTGGGCGTGCCTTTCTATGTTCGTCTGACTCGTTGCCTTGTTTCTCGAGACTATCTTTGCCGTTGCCCTTGCCGCCTACGGTATTATGAGACTTCCCTCCGTCCGGCAATGCCAGAGACTGACTCGCTTCTTTTTGTTGGGATAGCGATTGTACTGCTGCTGTCTTTGCTGCCTCTGCACTACTTTGTTCTATTCCTTGTTTACGCAGGTGAACCCCAGCACTGTCGTCTTTGTTATCGTTCTTGTTCGCAGCTTTCATCAGCTTTACTGTCACATCGACGTCGTCGTTCCTGTTCATAACGTTAACGGCCTCCTCGGATCTCTTGTCCTCTCCACCTCGGCCCCAGGCTTTCATTTCGCGTTTCATGGCATCGAGATCGATTTCCTCAACGCCTTCGACGAATTTACGGTTCAGTTTTTTCAGAAGTTTCTCCATACTCTTCAGTGCCTCTCGTGTCTCTTTTTTATCCCCTAGTGCGTCCAGACGCTCCTCTCCGCGCCACCCCATGATCGAGTTCACTGTTCCGCGTTGCTGATACGGATTCGGCGTTACTTTTTTCACGATTTTACTCGCGTTTCCTTCATACCGAACGAACATGTCTAAAAGCTGCTCCTCGTCCAGAAACAACGGCGGCTTGTCCTTCAACGTCAGATACACAGTCTTCCAGGACTCGCTTAGTGCATAAAGCGGGTGAGTTGATTCGGACATCGAGACCTCGGATGTCCCGTCAGCTTTGTCCTTGTTTGTCTGCTCGATTGATGGATGATCATCCTCTACTGGTTCATCTGAAGGCACTTCTTGATCTTCTGGTATGAAGAGGTTCTTTAGCGAAGTGGTCGCTATTCCTATTCCGACTGCGTGTACTACATCCGTCGTTCCTAGTTCCTGCTTTTGCTCACTTGTAGCGCCCTCGACGCCATCATTAACAGGAGGAGCAGTCTCATCTTTGGAGGTTGAGGCTGCATCTGCTGAAGGTTCCTTGGTCTTTTTCTTCTTGGTGCCAGATCCCTTTTTGGCACCCGCTTTCTTTTTCACTTTCATTTTGGGCAAAGGAAATGGTTCTTCGTCTGCTGGTGCAGCTTCGATTGCTCTATCCTTATCCGCAGTATCGTTTCCAGTCACTGGTTTTTCTCGCGAACGACCCCCTACGATACTAGAAGAAGCTGAAACTCCCTGATCTCCACAAGAACCACCACCACCACTAGTGCTGAACTCGGTTGCGGTTGATTTCACCGCTTCTACTTGTTGTCCCTCCTGCTGCTTAGCGGCAGCGGCTTTTTCCTGCTCTTCTTTCTCTGCTTTTCGTGCGGCTGCTCGCTCTTCGACCTTCCGCTTAACGAGAGCGCGTCGTTGCCGTCGTTCTACTCGTGCGTAATCCTCAAACAGGTTTCGTGGGACACCCTTAAAATCGAGGAAATCTCGCACCTGGCTTTGCGCCTCATCGACAAGCAGTTGACTTTTCTGCAGCTCCAGTTCCATTTTGCGGCGCGCCTGGCGGTCTGTCTCCTTTTTCATGGCAGCTTTCGTATCAGTCACCAATTGCTTGTGTTCCGCTTCGAGCACTTCTGCGTACAGTTTTTTCTCGAAGTTCGCAGTGACCGCGTCGCGATAGAAGGTCTCGAAACTGCCGTGTGCTAAAAATGCCGCATAATCCCCAAACGCAAAGCCGCCCTCGGCTAACAGGGAATGAGGAATGTTGCGTCTTTTCTCAGCCAACGCCGCTTCGCGACGCTTACGAGCCGCCTCTTTATTCGACACCAAATCGACCACGTTCATCATTTTGTTTGATGGACTGCTACTAGTGCCACCGCCTCCTCCAAGAGAACTACCTCCACCACCAGTAGAACCTCCTCTACTGGGATCAGAAGCAGCAGCCTGTTGCCCACCAGCTTTCATGGACGGTGGAAGTTCGATTTTGATGACCCCAGTTTGAAAGTCCCAGAAAATGTCAGCTGCTGTTCGTGGATTCGTGATCCCTTCATCCTTCTCGATCACCTCAGCATACCAAGCTCTGGTGTCTATGCGGCCAGGTCGGAGCTTAGGTCGTGGACGTGCGGCTCCGGGATCATCCCCATTTGCCGCGGGTTCTAGAGGCTGAAGAGCCCGTGCTTGTGCATGTTCGGTTGTGATTTCTACTGCATCCCTTGTCTCCTGTTGCTGAGGCTCTTCTTTCTCCTCCACCTTGAGGCCATCTGGTTCTTCGTTATCTTCTTTAACATGACCATCGTACACGTCGTCGTCCTTTGTAGTATCTTCACCACCTCCCACTTCCACCTCATAGCCACCTGTTTCAACATCAACTTCATCTGCTGCTTCTCTTTCAAGAGAACAAACTGCAGAAGGCGCTGCACTGCTCGACGATGAGGAGAGGTCCAAGTACGTTTTCATGCCCGTCCGTTGCTCTCGTCCGCTTTTCTCAGCAAAGGATCTGGCTTCCTCTTTGTCTTGTTCCCCCAGGTCGCAGGGGGCATCACAAGGCTCTGCCTCTCCAACACCCCCAACAAGTCTCGCCGTTTCATTGCGTAAAGCGTGACCCTCCACCGCTTGCCAAAAGGCATCTGTCCGCTCTTCATCTTTCGCCTGAATATCGCAAATTTTGTCGAGCACATGCGGGGGAATGCGATACAGCTTTCGTTTTCCAACCGGAACACGCCCTGCTCCTTGATCGTCAGCGGCCTCCGATTTTATCGCGTCCTCAACGTCCTGCAGACATTGGAGAAATGAAGCATTTACAACTGTGCTAAAACCTGCCGCGGCTATGCCAGGATCTCTGTCTTCTAGCCCGACAGTATCATCCTCGTGGTCCTCACGACCGGGATCTTGGCGTCTGCCCGCACTAGTCGTGGCCGAAGTTTTATTGAATGTGCCATCCGCATCTTCTTTATCTTTCGTTTTTGTTCGATTAGTTGCAGGTGAAGGTTGAAAGTTCTTCTCTCCATCGCGTGTCGTAGATGATTTCGCTTGCTCCTCCATCTGCTTCCGTAGAATTTGTGCAACGGGCGCTGCTTTCTGGCGCAGCATGTCGCGCAACACCTCATCTACCAAATCGTGTGGAGGTAAGTTTTTCGGATGCAGCAGCTCCTCCGCAGTCAACTTGGTCTCCTCCGCGTGGTCTGGAATTCTAAACGTTGGTATTTGACGCGCACGCTGAATGATCTGACCATTTTCCACTATTTGCAAGTCGGCGTTCTTGGAGTTATTCTTCTCTTCGACTCCGCCAGGACCTCCATGTCCATGATATGTGTCGCCAGAAGATACAGAGTTGTAGTAAGCGCGATTCCTCCGCGTTGCATTCACGTCTAGAGGCTTTCGTTTTGCGAGTTTCATCTTGCTGATGGCGCCAGGGAGATTTTCTGCATAGTCCTGGATCCTTTCGATTTTCGAATTTTCTCCGCCGTCACTGTCCTCTTTGTCGTCGTCATTGCGCGTGAACAACAACCGCCCGACGCGCCGCGACTTCGCAAGCCCAGTTGCGCTGTCCTTCAAGCCGGCACCAAGCAATGTGCGCGCAGTGTCTTCCGTACTCACGCGAAGTGCACGTACTAGCGCTGCTTTTTCGGCACCACGCCGCGGAAAACGTGTGCTAACTTGCACCTCACTCGGTGACCGGAAACTTCGAGCATGCGACAACAGGAACTCAACATCCTCACGTCTGACGCCGTCTTGCAGAAAAGCTTGCGGGGGGTTCTCCAAACGCTGTCGTGCCTGTGCTGCTTCGGATAAGTTCTGGCTTTGGTGCCCGAAACCGTCGTTCGGTGTGGAAGACGAGACAACGTTCTTCGCAGGAGAAGGAGTCTTCTGATTCTTCGTTCGTGCTCCGGATGCTCCTTGAGATGCAGTATATTCTTTAGCAAGTTCTTGAGAATGCTCCATGGCTGCGTCATCGATCAAGCCTGCTGCCTCGGTCGCAGGCATCCATGCATCCCCACGCTGAAGGTGCTTCACGGCAGGTCTGGAGAACAGCTTTCCCATTGATTTCTTAAACTTTTTCTCCGATAACAAGTCAGCTTCTAGGACTCTGGTAATTCGCGCTCGTTCTGTCGCGTGCCGATACGTTGCGTCGGACCGCACCGGACCCGGAAGATTCGATTTGTAGTTGCTACGACGAATCAAAGTCGGCTGCTCCGTCAGCGCTTTGCGATACTTCTCTGCCTGGTGCGCAGTTACTGGCGTATCGTGCCAGAGAAATTTGCCTCCCACTTGGTCGTTGTACAACAGGACATCTTTCTCTTCTTGAAACGATAGGTCCTCGTACAAGCCAAGACGTTCCGGCCCTTGCTGGCCTTTCTGCTCCTGGTCTTCGCGATCGGTTTTCTTTTTCTGCATGATGAACTCGATTCTGCGCTTGAAATCCGCTCCGAAGGTTCGGATTGCTAGCTCTCGCCGCAAATTCGCAACCTGCTCCTTCAGGTCCGCATCGCGCAGATTCTTCTCCGAGAATCGGTCTACCGATTTCCAGCTACCGACATCGTTAGCGGAGCGGTAAAGCGGATCTTGAACCACAGATGACCACGCAGATTTGCTTCCTGAACCTGATGATGTTCTTGATGAAAGACGTTTACCCGGCTTCATCGCTTTCGACGATTTATGCCCTCTGCTGTTCTTGGTTAAGGCTGTTTTTGCGCCGTCGCCTTCATCGCCACTGCTGTCGTCGACCTCTCCTTCGTGGCCGACGTTACCTCCGTGAATACGGTTCCAGGCATCGAGTGCTTCCTCACCGTAGAAACGTGCTTTCGCGATGCGCGCTTTTTCATCGAATTTGTCGTCTTGTGCATCTGCAGAGTGGCGCAGAACTGGGTCGCGTACCTTGAACTCCCGTTCCAGCGGAGGCGGAGGAAGCTCCAAACGCGCGATCTTCTGTCTCGCGAGCTCCACCGTTCTCGGAGTCCAGTCTTGCTCGATCCCTAGCGGCACATACTTATGGTTCCGCGGATCATTCTCGTCGACCTGCTCCAGCATATCGAAATCGTCGGAAGAGACAGACGAGTCGCTAGGAGGGCCTCTCTTGTTCTTGTCGACATTCCCAACATTCGAAGACTTTTGATGCGCAGCTCCATTTGCATTTCCTGTCATTCGGTTGCTTTTCTTCTTCTTCGCCGCTTCGCGCTCTGCTTCGACGCCGAGTTTTTCTCGACGGAGCTCCAGCCGTTCTGCCTGCGTCATCGTCACCGCAGCGTCGTCGTCTTCGGTCAAACGTTTATCTGCGAGCTCCTCCAGTTCCTTCTGGAGAATGGTCTCCGCAAGCTCTTTCTGCAAACGCTCCTCTTCAGCATCATTCTTTTCTTGCACTACGGCCTCCAAGTCTCGGATTCGCAGTCGGATGCCCGCTTTTTCTGCCTCTACCATCCGCGCTGCGGCTGACTTCGGTCGTTCACGAGAAAGTCGAGACGTTCTCGTGCTCGTCCCAGAAGCAGAAGAGGCTGAAGACTTTTGGTTTTGCTGTGATGGTTGCCCGCTTCTATCTCCAGAACGGCGAGTCGTTGCCCTCTGCTCATCTACTTCCGGTCCATCTTCTTGGTTTTCTCTCGCGCTTCTTGTAGCGCTTTCGAGCATCTTCTCTGCCAGGTATGCGTTCTCGAGTCTTTGGTCTATCAGCTCCAACCGGCGTCTGGGGCCGTCTTGCACCCGAATAAGCACGCTTTTGTTGCGCTCGTTGATGTTGCGAACGTCGGGTATACCTGGCTCTGGCACGTGAGAAAAGGCTTTCTGGAAGTTGTGCGCTGTCGCTGGTCGCTTTGACGTGGCTCTCTTGTAGATGGAGTCAAACACGGTCTCACGTGGCGGCGCCACAGATGTGTGCCACATCTTCCAGCCGCGCTGTTCATCTGCAGAAAGCCCGAATATTTTGCGGTACTTGCGTCTCTTGCTTGCAGTGGATCCTGACGTATGGCTGGGCTTCTTCTGTTGTTCGTCTCGCATCTCTGCTTGTGCAGCCGCGGGTGAAGCAACCGGACCCTCAATTATAGGTTGTGCTTGAGCTTGAGGAAGACCCGCTCCGGCTGGAACGACTGCACCCTGTTCAGGTTCAGCACCAGAAGCAGGAGAAATCGTGTCTATTCGACTTGCCTTCTTCATCAGATGGATATCCTGGCCTCCGCGTTGTTCATCTCGCATACCGAGGCCTGCGAATATGCCTATGCAACGTCTAGCAGCATTGCGCTTCGCCAATGCCTTCTTTCCTGCAGCACCTAAGGGAGTGCGCTCATCGAAGACATCCTGTGGGCGACATCGCCCGCGATGTTCCAGCCTCGCGAGACCGTTCATGTGCGTCAGTCGGCTTAAGGGCGAAACGACGCCAGGCGCGGTGGTTCCAGTCTCGATTTCATGCATTCGGTCCACCACGCTCTTCGGCTTGGCTCCCTCTCGCAGTGCTGTTTTGAGCCTATTCCCCCCATCGGGACTTGGCGAACGCGACCGCAAAGCATCAGCCCTCCTCGAATAGGCGCTTTCGCTGTAATCGACTCCATTGATCTCACCGCCGCCTTCACCAGAAATTAGTGCACGTCCCGAGGACTACGCCGCTTCTTCGTAGGAGTGTTTTTTAGAACTAAAAAAGTTCACATGATCTTCAACATCTTCATCTACAAGAACCAATGAAGATAAAGGTATGATCCTCAAGTACAGCAGTAATTGTTGAGGTTGAGATACAAATCAAAAAATGTCGAAGACGAAGTCCGATCTGCAGCTAGCCGAATTATCATAATCAATCAATGCTAGTAAAGCTAACACTAACTACTACTTGAAAGTATTTCGATTTCTAATATTAGTAACGACAGCCAGGTCACACAACAAGCACGACTGTGCAGTGCTGGTACTTCTACTAGTACTCCTGCCATCAGTGCTGGCGCAGACTGAAGAAAGTGCTGGCTGTGTTATACGGGTGGAGCCAAGCTAACTAGGAAAAGATGTTGTGTTAATATAGTTATCATCCACGTGTTAGCCTAGCACTGCTAGGCAAATCGATTCACGCATTCATCCATGCAGTAGTCCTCTTATAGTTATCATCCATAGCTGTACATTGAAAAATTCTTCCTTGTCCTCGAAGACCTGTTCGGGTTTTGGTCCCACTGTTCCATCTCGAAATCCACGAACCAAGCGCTGTAGCCGCTCGCGTGCTCCTTCCGGACCGGGTCGTCTGTAATTCTTGTGCCGCCAAAATCTTAGAATATGAACTTCTTGTTCTTGTTCAACTCCAAGATAAAGACTGGAGGTCCCGTCTAGCTACTTCATGCCTTTCTAGTCACAACTACAAAATTGAGATAAAAAAGGCCTCGCGTCCTCCGTTTTTCTAGTCAAAACAAATACAAAAAATAGAGATCTCGAGCCGTAATTCTTTCTCCTCTATTTTTCCTCTTCTAGCTTCTTCCTCCGCCAAACGTGCCGCTTCGGCTTCCTCCGCCTCGACCTGTCGCTGAAAGGCTTCCAGCTCTTCGCGGTCTCGTCGCTTGGCCGCCTCTTCCGCAGTCTCGGACGGAGGTCGGTTCTCTTCTTTGTGTTAGACGAGTATACACAGACATCAACATGGTAAGAAGCCTGTATGATTAGGAAAAGCAAAAGAAGTAGTTACAGTTAGGAAGGGGAATAAATTAGACGCGAACTACTAGATGGCCTTGCATGCTCCTCGATCGCATTAGGAGCTATACAACAAGCTCATCTATTTTACAGGTTCAGGTAAGTCGGAAACCAAAGAACCATAATCTTCCTCCTCTAGCCGCTTGCGTTCTTCCTCATCTCGTCGTAAAGCCTCGACTTTAGCCACATCTGCTTCCGCTTTTTTGCGTTCCCTCGTTTGCTGGACACGCTGCGCGGTCTGCATTCGACGGACATTTAACGCCATTTTCTTGTTTATTCTTCTTTTTACCAACAATGAGAATGTGAATGAATTATAATCTCAATCAGTCTGTTCCTGTTGAGTCCTCAGACTCTACTAGTACTAAAAAGTAGCTTGTCTTCTATGTGACTGACTTTTGCATCGTAAGCATAGTGTAAGTGCTACACACGACGTTCACGTCGATGACCCATCGCATATTAATACTGGAATGTAGTGGATGAGCCATTTTCAACGGGTTTCGCTTTCAAAAGTAACCGACGGCAGGGGATTGCCACAACAGTCTTGGGCAACCTCTCTTGCTCTCTCTGCATCTCTTCAACATCCATTCGCGTCGATGAGAGAGAGATGGCATCCTCGCTTGAAAATTGCAGACCACAGCACCTCTGGCTCTGCTTGCTCTTGTTGTTGCTGCAACAGATATAATCGATAGCTTCTGGCTATGATGATCAGAAACAAGATTATAATTTTGCGCCATTCCATTATGTTACCTTAGGCAGACACGTCAAGTCAAGGGGGTGGACCATCACCATGATGCGTGATAAATATCATGTTTTTGATGTTCAAAAATCACAATAAACGAGGACAACAACAGGTTCTACCTCTACGTGCAGCTTGTTATAATGATCACTAGTCTCTTAGTCATATAGGAACATCACATCCTAGATTTTAGCGCGACGCTATGTAGTTAATCATGTACAAGATGATAATTTTGATTACATTTACAGCAGAAGATAATACTTACAAGATGACTGGCGCACCGGGATGAAAATATTAGTTGAATCAAAAATACAAAACGCTATCGGCCTCCGACTCAGACAATAATTTTATGAGAAACAACGTCGTCGCTTCCTTAGTGACGTTGTCGTCACAGGCACTGCTGCTAGAAAATAAATAGATTGAAAACGACTCCTAGCGAACAGTATTTGACAATTAAGATGAACCAGGAACAACAACAAGAGTTCTCTATCAAGTGATCACATGAAGTCCAAAACATGTTTGATACCAACATACGCGGATAGACGGTGAATGTGTAGGAACTATGTCTATGTGTATGCATTACGCAGTGCTTGTTTAACAGTCTTCTTCTCGGCAAGGGGATGGGTCTAATTTTAAGTGTAATTCTACTTGTTCATCTCTTTGCCTTTGCTCGCTTTATTCTCTACGTCTACTTGTAGTAATTAGAGTATAAGCGTAGAAAGTATATTGTCAAAGATCAGAACAACACTTGAACTTCAACTAGTACAAAGCTCATAAAGATGAAGAACACGACAACTACAACTACAATCAGCATGTGATCCAAGCTCCGTAGCAACCGAGAAAGAGGGTGTACGTAAAGAAACCTTGGTTAAGAAACCACTCTTTTCGGGATTTTCTCGGGGACCGCAACGTTCTTAATACGATCAAGTTCCCCTCTCGATGCCGCTACTATTGACCGCTGAAAACGCATCTGGCAGTGAAGCTTCGTCTTCGACGTCAGGGTAGGGTGACTCAGCAAACGGTGTCGTCGATAAATAGGGAGCTTGGTCGACGCCAGCATTTCCCGGACTCAGTTCTACAGACGACGCGGGGCTAGCAGTTTTAGAGCAGCCTCCTGGAGCTGTAGTACATTTACGACATTTAGACGTTTAGATTCACAACATACTAAACTATTTCATGTTCATCAAAGGAAAAGCACTTGCATTCTCGCTCCGCGACTAGTCCTTCTGTTTCTTCTAAGTACTTCTAGAGAGGCTTTTGCAGATAAAGTTCATCACTGAGTGCTTGTCATTTGTCCCTAGTCGTGCGCAGTAGAGGTTTTAGATTTCTAGCCGTAAAAGAGTGAAACGGGACTGCCTCACCCAACGAGCTCGGGGCTACACGGCGCAACGCCTCCCGCCCCATCGAAAGAAGCGGCTCAGCCCAGCCACACTCAAGTGTACCTGAGGAACTACGTTGTTCAGACCCTACAACTGGAGGTGAGTTGCTAGTATTAGGTTGGTACATCGATACTAAGGAGGCCCCAGAGCGCCACCCCATGCTGTGGAGCAACATTGACGCTGGTCTCAATGACGCAGCAGATCTAGAAACCGCCGTACTGGAAGATGACAAAGGCGATGATGACACTAGGCCGTTAGGTGTGGAAGCGGAGCTTGAGGAGAAAGACAAAACTTTCGTACTACCAGGAAGGCCCGTACTGTAAGACGTTGAAATGCTTTTCGCTGGCATGTCAAGGTGGACAGTGCGGATTCCCAGCGCTTGCTGTTGGTGCTCGGTCAGATCGCGCACGAAGCCCATGTGCCGCGCACAGTTTGCGAGTGCGCGGACACTTCTGTTTTAGAGGTTGCGGAGTTGCATTCTTCAGATTATCCCTGACCTCCTTCCAACTGGAAAACAACAACAAGTCAAGGACAGTAGGTAATGGGGAATGCAATGCGGTAACCCTTAACTGTTGTCTGTGTACAAATTGAAAATCGGCTGATACGTCTTCAGTGTCAACTGCAAACAAAACCTGGGCTCCAGCGACCAACCCAACAGCTCCCAAACCGTTCTGGGCGATACTTCGCGAACTAACGTATGCAGAAAAATGCGACACAACTCCTGTGAATGATTTCCACCTAAGTTACTACTCCCTTGATCCGGGCACAAGTCCTGTAACCAGAGTCGCAAAACGCGGATACGCTGCGCAGCGTCGACGTTGCGCTCTCGCCCTCCGTCTGTCGATGTTAAACCTGCCATTGAAGAACTAGCGTGTTGCTGTTTGGACCGCCGACTATTCAACATGCCTGGAATGTTCGATCCCCTCGGGAAAGCGCCTCCACATTCTTGTTCTTGGCCCCTCGACGCCTGCTCGTCAAAAAGACCCGTCACAATCATTGAATTCGGAATCGTTTGTCCTTGGTTGTTGAGACGAGGTTGATGATGATCGACGCCTTCAACTCTGGAAGTACGAGCACTGCCCGCACGACCTCCAGAAAGATCATCTGACTGCGCTAAAACAAGACCTCCCCAGAGAAAACCGAGAATGAGTTCTTCTAGTTGTTCACTCGTTTTCTGCTGCGATGGAAAGGTTGATTTCCAAAATGCCATTTCGTTTTCCGAGATAAACGGCATGCCTGCGATCTTCAGTACTCTTGGGACCAGGTCGTGAACCTGTTGAGATGTTGCTCCAGTTGCTCTCGAGGCAGCTATTGCGGAAACAAGATCCATGTCTTCCAGAGTGCTCCTAGAAGACCCTAGAAAAATCCGACTTTCCTCTGCCTTGTGTGTCCCTGCAAGCTCACGCCCACCGCGATTTGATGTAGTTCTGGCTTTCGCTGCGGCACTGGAAAGGTAACTTTGAAACACCTTTTTCTCCGTCGCGTCCTCCTGGTGGTGGAGGTAGTCATGATACTCTCCATGATGAGTATGACTATGCCCTCGAGGACTCGTCAAAGATTCATACGAACAAGAACCATTCATCTCGATATCAAGCACATTATTGAGTCGCGCGTACTGCCACTTGCGAAAAGCCTTAGCGAAACGAACGCGCCGCGTTCGACTGCCCTGCCGCAGTGCTGCTATGATTAAAGGCCGGCACTCGTTGGTCACTGATGCTGAACGGAAGAGACCACCCTCAAAGCTCTCCCCTTTCCCTTCATTTTCCTCTCATCTTTCCTCCAGGGGTCTCCTCCTCGGTCTCAGTGACCAACGACCTCAATGACCAAGGAAAGCTGAGGCTTAATATGACATCGTGGTACCATCGCAGGATCACAAATTTCCAAAACACACTGTCAGACACAACGCCAGGAGCGTCGACGGAATTTCTCGGCTGCTGGTCAACACCACGTTCCGGAGGACAAGAATGTTGAGATGAACTGGCTTTTGCGCTGCTTCTGCCATGCTCATGTCCATGATCTTCAGCAATACCCCTCTGCTGGTCCTGGTCGTCCTCGCTGTCGTCCTCCAGTGGGTGATAGTCCTCTGGTATCCCTGCCGCTTGTCCATCTGCTGGAGAACCTGCAGCAGGGCTTTCGACTTCAGCGGAAGTGCTACTGCTCGAACACTGTGCTGACTTGCCGCTCGACGATGTTTGTTTGCTCCATAGCGCTGCTTGGAGTAGCTCCATTCTACTCGATGAAGTGGACGCGTGCTGCGCTCGTGCTATCGCCAGTGCCTCGTCTGGCCGCAAATTGTGACCGCAAGCAAGTGCGCGTTCCCAGACATCCAGGTTGTATTCTGAGATCGGGCGCCCAGCCCACACATGAGTCAGCAGGTCCACACGCTCGTCGTCCAGTCGGCGCTGTGCATCCGCCCCGACTACAGACGTAATTCGATATCGCGATCCTGTCAAGCCTCCGCTTCGTAAAGGAGTCCTCCTCCGAGATGGAGGTTCCAAAAAATTAAACGGACTTTGAGTTTGAGGTTTCTTTGTCTGTTCTTGTCGAGGCTTGACTATGTCGTCCGCTGCCCGTCTTCTGCGCCGCTCCAGTCTAAACGATCGCACAAACCAACTTCCGCCAAAGCGCTCACTCGATGCTGGGTTACCGAAGATGCTTCTCGTAGTTTGCTGACTCTGAGCCAAAAAACAGATGGAAAATGCTCGGAGCAGCACGACGAATCGTTCCGACAAGCAAGTCATGTTTTTTCGAATTGCTGCAATCTAAAGATTCGGGTAGGAACTTCTACAAAAAACCTAAATCAAACTAGTTTCACTAATTCATCGGGAAGTTTCAACATTTATCAAAATCACGACAGTGAGAGAGAATGAAAGAAACAAGAAGATCAAGTAAGAACATCAAGACATTGTATTTGTAACAGAACGAAAATGCTGACGCTATCCTGGTAGTAGCGCGCGGCTAGTGAGTAAAAATAGACTAACCCCGTCGTCCAGCCAAGAGATGCACAATACGAGATGAATCTCCACCTTCTAATACTTTCTAGATTGTCATATCCGCGCAGGCCTACCTGCAGGTCGAGAGAACCTATTTCAGAACACACTCTTATCCGTAGCGTATCTCTTGTCGCACGTCTTGACTTTCTTGCGGCTCCGTGCGAACCTACAATCCTTGTTTCTTGACTGTGCAGCACTTCATCACCGCAATCAGGTGTAGGTTGGCCGAAATTCTATCCTCGTTGCCGTTCTGACATACATGGTCAGCGTTCCGTATGACAGCACAGCTGGCCCCCTTAACTCATTACGACGCGCCTCAAACTACACGCAACTGAGGACGAGGAGAAGATGCCATATCGAGCTACTACTTCTACAACTACGTTTTGCAAAAATAGTACAACGAGCTCAACATCACAAGTCAAGGACGACCTTTTAGTTTTACAACCTCCACATTCACGTGACATTGAATCACGATGTGCTCTCTTGTGTGTTCTTTAGTAGTTCGGCGGCTGAACGGTCCTCTATACCACTTCCCCGCAGGTCTACGACGTGTATAGGCATACCGTTAAGCGAAAAAGACAAGAGCTCCTTCAAAACCTCAGGTCGCTCCGTATGGCTTGATTAGAGTGAAGCATGCCCATGGTCGTCAAGGAAGGAAGACAACTAATATCGTCGTTAAGCAGGTGGTCGTCCTCTATTTCGATTTCAGCAGTGTGGTGTATTATTTACTCCGACATGATCTTCAACATAGAAATTCAGATAAGAAGATAGAAGAACATGAAAGCTGGAGCTGCATGTACTAAAAACGATAATGTTGACCAAGGTAATCCACTTTGCTTTATCTCTATCACCATAATTCAATGCAAGTTGCATGTAGGGTCTGGGAAGTATCACTGGTGGTCGGTACTCCATCTTCGTGTCCACGTAGACCCCTCGTTGCCTCAACGTATCTAGAACAATCTTAAACCTCTGTGTAGCACGGGCCCACAAAGCGAGCCATACCTGGTTGATCATTTTCATTTTTCCATGTTATATTTTTTAGGAAAAGCAGAAAGAAGGACTAGAGAAAGCGTGGTCCTCTCATGTACAAAGTTACCGAATTCGTTTTGATGTCACTCCGTTATCTGATGTCCCATATTTCATTCAGATCTTCATCCTACGCCTACGGAAACATCAAACAGGAGACGCGAAAAATTGCCAGAAGTAGCAATATGTATACATAGTAGTAGTACCGTCTCGTCGCATATGAGAATCCTGCCAATCCAGAGAGCACCGCCATCCATAGTGTCATGTCCTCTTCCAAGTCGTTGTAGCTCTAGACTGTACAATTCCTTCGCATATTCATAGCTGTCGGCCTCCAGCTTGTACATATTTTCGTCGAATTTCTTCTGCCTCCAAAAGGATGAAGAAAGGAAAATGAAAGTCAAACATATAAATAAACTGAGCTTCATAATCATATTCATCAGTACGAATTGCCACCAAAATGTGAGTTTGCAGTTGGAGGAGGGTTTCCACTCCGAGGCACGGTCAGGAACATGATAAGATTGAAAACAATCACAATGAATCTAAATCAACATAAGTATTCTCCCGCTGTGAGCGTCTTGCCTTCTGGGGACACGTAGCTAGTGCCATCCGCGTCTTTAGAGGTTACTTGTGCCATCGCTCGATCATTCCGGTCTATTAGGGCTTTCGTGTAAGGCGCCCACGGAGCCGGCATGTCCTTCTTCACCGGGTCAAGCATTCCGAAGCGCTTGTGCTTCCGAAAGTGAGCAAAGCACTCATACGGATGCCTGCCGTCTGGTTGGGGAATTAGACAGAGAATTTCACGAAGAGCACCTGAGCGTGTGCCTGAGACTGAGTTATTGTCATGCATTTGCACAGATATGAAAACTGATAGATACGTAAGCGGGGTACTTCCACTGACAATGCACTTAGTTCGTACAACGTTTGTCTTCAACTTCATTCGCAAGAGTATGAGGATGAGCATCCTCTACATGCTGAGTCTACTAGAGGAGGAGAAAAAGCCATAACAAGGAGGACGATGAAGATGCGGAGTTGTCACCGCCAGCTTCAGCGGAGGAAGGTTTCGCAGCAGAAGCTGACATTTTTGTGATTCTTGGTGTACTTGCAATTGGAAGCTGGAGTCGCGATGTAAGAAATTAAAATATTAATCTTAATCTTATTTGTGTACTGAAGCCGTTAAGCACGACTCTCAGTCTTTTCTATAATTAGCTACTCAAATATTGTGGTCAACAATGTGATTTTGAAGGGAAGCAACATTAAGATCACCGCAGTCTCTACTGCATTTGTTCTTCTTGTTGTACTCTACGAAATTAGTCTTTTCCTAGGCATAAAAAATGAAAATCAACCAATCGTATTGAAATTCTCTATCCAGAAAATGCGACCATGATTCTATGACAATGCAAGTGAGTAAGGGCGGGGAGGAGGGCATTGTGCGAGAAGCGGTAGACGACTAAGCTCACCATGGTCAGAGATGACACACAAATTATTTTTGGGACTACTTAGGAAGTTCCTGACGAGCAGGGTGCATACCACAGCAGAGAAAGACGCATATCGAAAGTGAGTGAGTACAACTATGACAACAGATTCAGCTAGGTCTGAATGTAGCGCTAGATCTCTCCTTCAAGGATGACCGATGCTGGTACGATCGAAGACAAACAGACCACCACTTCAAAGACTCGCGCTCAAAACAATTCTATCTGAAATATCACCCTTCTGTTGGTCTTCGCAAAATGCCTTATATTTGTAGTTCAGCTATTAGGGACAAAAACTAGAGGAAGTAAATCAGGGGGTCATATCGACGGTGGGGATGAGGGAATCTCTTGATGCCCATATTCCTCGTGCTCATCCTGGGGGTTGCGGTAAATCAAACCTTGCACAGAGCTGTATCAAAGGCACATTCTCCTCAAATTCCTGTCTCGTAAATGCTGGCCGCCCTTCTAAAATCTCCGATGCATGGTATCGACAGGCGTCTTCCGATATCCCGGTAACGGTCATGAGAAAGTGCACGATATCTCCTTCGTTGACACCTAGTTGCTTGTAGTGGAATGTTGATGGTTTTGAAGTGCGAACAACAAGATCATTGATACCACCCTCCACCACCTGAGAATTTCTCGAGACATCTTCGCGATAGAACAATCATGTCTTTATTGATTCCATTTTTAGCCTATAAGCACAACATCATGCAAGAAATGTAAAGCATTAGCGTCGGTCTAATCGAGTAATACGTCCATCCCCATCGAAATCCAACAGCTTGAAAGCGAATTCCATTTTGCTTGATCTTGGTTGATAATTGCGCAGCTTCTCGTAGACGTTTATGAAGTCTTGTAAGCGCACTGTTGGGCTCTTTGACAAGTCTTTTGACTCCTGAACGGATGAGATTACTTAATCAATTTTAGTGGTCCTGATGGTATTGGTATTTTGGTAATCATGTTAATCATGATAACTATCGTTATTAGTAGTTGTAGTTGTAGTATCAAGATGATCCTATAGTTTTCTTCTGGATGTTGAAGATGTACGAAATGCGTAACAGACGTTGTAAGCATACAACTTCATGATATTTGCATATCGTGGTGGTCGTGCTCGCGGTGACTTTTAAGTTAAATTTTATCGTTACCATTTCTTGCAGGTGAAAAATGACTCCAGTAATACCTTCACACCGCTGTTGAGGACTTCAAGTGCCCTCGGAACAAGGGGATTGCCATGCCATTCGGCAAGGTTGATGAATTCCTGATAGTGCATGTCCCGCTTATTGATATTTCTCGCCCAGTATCGATTCAGCTTTTTGATTTCGCTTTTGCTTAGTTTCTCCTTCGGGCCATAGGTTCCGCCGAACATGCCCTTCGTGACCGGCGGTTCCTTGTCGGCCGTCGCATGCTTCGAAGAACTACTTCCCCCAAAGATGTAAGAAAACATCTCCTTTCTGAGATGAATTCTCGGTTTCTCCTTCTTGCGTTACCTTTCAAAAATTGAGAGGTTGATACTTGCTATCAGCGTACTCTACGCGTCGTGTCTTTTGAGCGGGCGGACACTTTATCGTATCGCGCTGACAAGTAGTTGTAAGTTGCAGAGATCTGCAGGCGGCATTCTGTGTTATTTGTTGAATATGCTGAGGACGCTGAACATGGTTAAACAAGAACTATGTGAACAACAAAAACACGCTTCTGTGGGCGTAGATATCGGCACTCCGAGACTCTATAACCTAACGAGTTACAGATTGAAACAGATGCTGCGCGTGTGCGAGTGAGACGACTTCTCTGTCTTAATGCTTTGGTACTGATGGATGAATGAAGTAGATGATTCATCTCTAGCTGAAAGACAATAAATCGAAATGCCAAGAACAGGCCTATGCTAGAACGAAGGAGTTACAGGAAGCGGGATGTCTGGGAGGTTCTTCATCTCACAACAGAAATGTTGACGCTGGCAACCACTCACTCATTGTTGCCTTTCCGTCATGCTCATTACGACTGCGCTCGGCTCACAGCATGCTCTAGTTCTCCTACATTTAGATGTCCTCAGTTACTTCGACTTCGTGTAGTTGGGTGTGCAATCAAACCTCAGCACGACGACCGATTTACTTGTTTCTAAGATGACTGTGATTGTAACGAAGAAGAGACCGATCGAGAATAGAGCATCCAGCATGCTTCAACACTGGACAGTGACGAGAGTACTACTACCATTGCACCTGGCTAGAGAACGCAGAAGAAAGTAAGAAATTTGGGTCATAGCATTTGCAACGTGCCCAGAAGATGCGGAAAATGATTGGAAAATAAATCCAGAGCCATTGTTGTTGTTCATCTCCACTGCCAGGTGGCGGTAAGCATCATCAGTATTACTATGGCGTTAAGTCAACTAAGAACTGCACAAAAACGGTCACTATTGTCGCCTCCTCGTCCTGGAAGTGCTTCGCTTAGCGACTTTTGCAACTTGCTCTCTCTTGGTTTTTCTGTCTTTTGGTTTCGTTTTATGTGATTCCCCGCGCCCCTCCAGAGTCCACCGCACCAGCCTGCAAATGTATGCTGGGGGATTCTGGAGGGGCGCGGGGATTTGGAGGGCGCCCGAGGTTCTTGGCTCGCAATTGGGTGAGGGTTTTCCAGAAGGGAGCGCAGTAGGCGGCGAGTGTTCTGCGGATTCGTATCATGCCCGAGAAGATTGAATTTTGTCCGGATTTTTGCAGTCCTTAGTTGAATTTTCTCCATTCTAACTCCACTTGTCTGTGGTCGAATTTTTCGCCATAATCGGAAAGGTTTGAGACACTCCGCCCGAGGTTCTTCGTTCTTGGGTCTTTTCATGTTGTTAAGTGTTGGACTTTTGACCACCCGGCGCCCCGAAGCTCTCGCGCCGGGTGGGATTAGTTACAAAGAGAAGCGACGCGCTGCCGCCTTCAAATGGTCAGACCACTCACGCGCGCCGCCGTTTGTGCGCAGATTGTCGGGGGGGTTTGCTGGCGTTGTTCGCACTCTTTTGAAGTATTTCAGCGGGGAAGTTTGCGGGGGTTTCGCCAGAATTGAATAAACCTCTCTATTGTTTGCCGCTTTCCTGCTCGCTAGGCCATTTTTGATGAAAAAAGTGAAAAGATGTCTTCAGATTTTTTTCCAAAAATGGCCTTGCGAGCAGGAAAGCGGCAAACAATAGAGAGGTTTATTCAATTTCGTGGCATTTCTCAAGAAGGGCTGGACCGGTTGCCGCTTGAGTTCCAAAGGGCTCGCGCCTCCTCTTTTTGTTAAGTTTCGATGGTGTGGCGTGCTCGCTGTGCCTCTGGTGCTTCCGCAGATGGCTGATTAGAATGGCGCTAAGTCAACTAAGAACTGCACAAAAACGGTCACTATTGTCGCCTCCTCGTCCTGGAAGTGCTTCGCTTAGCGACTTTTGCAACTTGCTCTCTCTTGGTTTTTCTGTCTTTTGGTTTCGTTTTATGTGATTCCCCGCGCCCCTCCAGAGTCCACCGCACCAGCCTGCAAATGTATGCGGGGGGATTCTGGAGGGGCGCGGGGATTTGGAGGGCGCCCGAGGTTCTTGGCTCGCAATTGGGTGAGGGTTTTCCAGAAGGGAGCGCAGTAGGCGGCGAGTGTTCTGCGGATTCGTATCATGCCCGAGAAGATTGAATTTTGTCCGGATTTTTGCAGTCCTTAGTTGAATTTTCTCCTATATATTCATAATGTTATTCTTGTTGCACCATCTACATCTAGACCTACCATGATGTAAGTGTATGTTTAGAAGAGCACAAAAAACGCATTCATCTTCATAAATATTCTGCGTCTAAGTATATATTTCGTTAGGCGGAGCAGGGATTTTCCAGGATACCGAAATCCAGGTGGGACATCAATGCAAGAAATTTACACCTCAATTTTGGACTTCATCGCAGCATGATAATTACTGGAAGATACCTCGCACTAGCCGCGACGCTGATATATTCCGTTGGCAGGAGCCGTTGTCCAACATACTTAGCTCATGTATTCGAAACCATTTTTTGCAAACTTAAACCACTACGCACTGCCCGAACTCTTCGAAACGAGTCCAACACTACGATGATCTTGTCGCACGATGCAAGATGTGCTCTTTCCGGGAAAGCACGAAGTTCTTTGATGATTTATACGCTAGACGCATGCATCCGCTTATTTCTGACAGCTGGGAATTTTAGTCCCAGAGTGTCTGCATCCAAACCAGGCGACTGTCTGGCTAAGCCCGGCCTTGCACACAGGACACTGTGGTGGGCGCGTCGGTGAAAAAATGAACAAAGCAAGACCAGTGAAATTGATGGTGATCCAATTGTGAGAAACATTCTAGACTTCTATGCAGCTGCAGGTTTTGATTGTTTTACCTCTTGATTAAAAGACGCGAAAAAAAGAAAGAGAGTTCTGTAGCAGGCATGCACAAAGGGTTCGAAAATGGTCGGAGATTCATCAAATGTCATGCTAAACCACCTCATAACTGCTCGCCTTCGATCCTCGTTGCTCGTCGTCCCATCAAACGAAAAAAGCCTTTGTCGGCAAGGCAGACACGTCGCCGCATGACCACACGGCATCGAGATGTGATTCACAGGGTGATCCATGCAGATCGCGCACAAACCATCTCTTGTCACCAGATGCATGCGGCGTGGTCGGTTTGCTGTGCGTTGTCAAGATTAGAAGAGAAGAAAGAGTCGAAAGGTTCGGCTGACAATAGAAGAGGAGAAAGAGTCCTGATGACCGGAAGACAACAGAAATAACAGAGTGATGGAAGTATTCTTGTCAACGTCAAGGTTCTCACGAGCGCCTTAACTTTCGAGAATGAATCGCCACAATTGGCTAGGTAGCATCTCGTTGTCGATGTTGGGTCCCCTGTTCAACAAAGCGTGCAGGAACGGTTTCATCAGTCCTTCGCTATGATCAGTTTTTTCCATCTCAATATCTTCACTGTTTCCATCTTGTTTGTGGTCCTCGTCCTCAACTACAATTTGCTGGGCTCGGTCCAAAACGTCCAGCAAAACCGTCATAAAGAGATATGAAAGGTGGAAGCAATGTTTTTGTAGTTGTACTAGGGCTTCTCAGGATAGCAGGAACACGGCCACACTTTTCATCATTGATGGCCTGACGAGTGGAAGTACTAGTACAACAAGATCGAAGTTAATTGTGTTTTATTTGAACTCTAACTCAAAGCCATAAAGTACAAAATGGATCCTCATCCCTGTCGGACTGAAGTAGCATGCCACTAAGACCCGATTGCTCCTCAGGCGAGTCAGATATGGAACCTGAAGGCCATCGCCATTCAGCATGGGCGTTGAAAATTCTCACTGGCGCTGTTTGCATCTCTGCGTCAGCCGTCTGACGAGGGAGCACAGTCTTAGAGAACGCACCAAATAAAAAAGAAAAATTTTTTGCGTTTCTCAGGATGGTAATTATTTTTCTTCAAGTGGTAGACGTAGACGTAGAGGTAATGGTATAAGCAATTTGAACATATGGTTTTCAATTGCTCCTGTGTAAGTGTATGTTAGCTGTAAGAAGTCTACAAGTAAAAAAAAGCGAAGGATTGGTTCCTTAAACAGCATCGGAACTGTATCTTGAGACCAAGATTGCGGTTGTGCTTCGTTTTGCGCTACCACCTCGACAGCTTGTGGGTGGTCCTGAGGTAGTCGTGATGGAGGTAGTTGTGAAGATGCTGTTGGCGGCGAAGGCTCGAGCAGAGGAACAGGCCATCCCGGAGCTTCACATGTGGGGCAACGGAGTTTCGTAGATGCGATTTGCTCTATCAATCGCCGCTGAACGCCATTCACGAGATCTTCAACGGGACCTTGATCATGTACAATTTCAGTCGCAGTCGTTGTACTAGAAGAAGTAGAAGGTCTTCTACCTCTTGAACCTGTAGTTCTAGTTCCGTGTCGTTGCTCATCTTCATCTTGTAGACCACCGAGGAGGCTGCTGCCTCCGTTCATAACGACACGGAGGCAACTTCTTAGGATGTCGTCATCGTCAAGCATCTGCTCAAGCCGCTCCAAAGCTGCCTGTTGTACACCAGTCGCAGCTCCTGCAGAGCTAGATGAAGAATTTTCGTAGTCGTCGCTTATCGTCACTCCTGTAGTACCTGCTCCTCCTTCTTCTTCTTGTCCGCTAGTGACACGGCTGATCATTCGGTCCCTCTTCTCCTGCAGACTCATCCCTTCCAGTGTTTGCGCCAACTCCTGCATTACTTTGCTGTCATCTTCAGCCACAGTCATGGTCTTCCGAGAAGATTGCTCTTGGCCTTGCCTCTTCAGGTCTAAGACAAATTCTTCTCCAAGCGCGCACGCCACACGTTCTAGAACGGATCGGGTAAAAAAATTTGCAGCTCCGTCTCCATGACACGGGCAGATAACATGCTTACACTGGGAAAACTGATATAGCAAATGTTTCCTAGCAGAGGCTTCGGCGGGTCCTGTCAACGATGTTCTTTCTTTTTTAGATGATGTAGAAGCAGCAGCGCTACCACTTGCAGCCCCTCCGCTTTCATCGACAAGAAAAACATCATGCTGAGCGTCTTCTTGTTTATTACCGACATCTTCTTTCGGCGGATGTTCTAGTTCTTGCCCATCTTCAAAACAATTAAGGTCCCGCTCTAAATCACAACTGCAAGATGCATACATTTCGGAACCTTCTGCACCCGACCTTTGTTCTTCCTGCTCATCGCGAGCCTCCAAGTCGTTCCTGCACAAGGGCACACTGCACCAAAGTTTTGCGCGACGCGACGAAGTTGACTCGGCATCCTGTATCTGTTCCTGTTCCCCCTCCCCGACGCAGCTATCCTCCAGGTGATAGAAGTCTGGCGGTAAGCGTAGTGGTTCTCGAAGCGTACAAGAAGGCTTTGGTTCCCTCGCTCTCCTCGCTTCACGAAGGGAAGGCACGACGTGGTCGGGTTGCAGTGTACTGAAATTATCTTCTTTGTATCCTAAGAAGCACCGCTCTAAAGCTTCGAGCAAGTCTAACAGAGCACCCTGCAGCGCGTCTTCATCGAACTTTGAGGCTGCTGTAGTCGTACGAGGACCCGTGCCATCTGCTACAGGGCGTCCTGCTCCAACACTCGGGGATACGGATACTTCTTCTGGGGTGCTATCATCCACTGGCACTATTGTTCTCGTCCTGCTCAGTGGGTCATCAAGTAGACGAGAACGGGTCGCGGCGATTATCGCACCGTGAAATATCCCTCGAGTAGTCAATGTAGTGGACGACGAAGCGGGGTGAGCGTAAGAATGTGCCCAGATGCTACTGCGTGCTCCGGTGCGTCCACCCAATACCTCTCTGTCCCTTGTCTGGTAGTTCTGGGTATTAGTATTAGAGACCAGGGTCGATGCTCCATGGGGTCCCAAACCTCTAGCTTGTTCTTCCCGCAGAGGACGTAAATTCTCGGAATCTGTTTCCTCAGGAATTTCCCTGGTCTCAGGGAAAGATGAAAGTCGACGATTATAGGCGTGCAGGTTCCGAATCTCACGATAGGCGTGCAGGTTCCGAATCTCACGTCGGCGCTGATTCTGTTGCTGAATGAACAAGTTCAACGCTCTATTTCGCTGCTCAGCACGAGCTCTTGCCGTCTCCCCTGGTGTAGCGGGACTCCTAGTATTACGAAGAGTCGATAATATCGGGTGTGCTAAGGTCCTCGTCGAGTCATGTCTTGCTCTTCTACCACCTCCATCTTGATCTTGACCTGCGTTCGAGGACGGCAAGAATAGGCGATGCTGAACCGCTGGTGGAGTATTAGAAGGTACCGCTGACGCTGTTCTTGTTTGCGGTGAAGACGTGCCAGACGAGTCCGAAAAAGTGAGAGGCGATTCTCCTCCTCCTCCAGGTGAAACTGCTGTTCTTGAGAGATACGATGACGCGGATGATGATGGCGAGGCAGTGCTCCCAAGAGCAAGAGAAGACCACGATGGCGGAGAACTACTGATTATACCAGGAGAAGCGACTGTCCCTCCATCCAGATCAAACCACGCGCCCGTCACATGATCCGCGTTAATGTGCTGCTGTTGTTCCTCATTTGCTGGGAAAGGAAACCCTAACATACTAGTTGATTCTTGGTCTCGGGTCCCTTGTGTCGTGACGTCCTCGCGAGGTTGTTGTCGGTCTCCGCCTGTGGAGGTGTCTCGTCTTCTTCTACCTTCTGGTGCTAGTCTGCCGCCCGTGACCCTGTCTATTGCCGCCAATTGCAGTTGCCGTTGCGCCTGACGTCGTCTGAAGGCCGCGTCATTCTCTTCAGCCTGCGCATGCAAAAACCAGCGCTGAGGCCCTAGCGCCATGGAATTCGGGGACAGAGCTATTGTCCTAGTGGCAGCATCAGGTGTAGCCTGAAAGGGCCCAGCGATCCCTGCTTGCGAATGGGCATGCCTTGATGTAGTAGGTCTTGCATCTTGACTAGTTAGTCGCGGTGTTGCACCTCCAGGTCCTTCGCCCGCTTCACCAGCAATGCGTGAAGATGTTGTGCGGGGGCGCCCTTGATGATGAAGTTCTTGTGCAGCTCTAGCATATGGAGACGTCCAGAACGCATCCTCCCTACTGCTTGGAGGACCGGACCCAGATGATGTTGGGCCTGCTGGTTGTTCACTTCCAATTCTTCGATTCTGATTACCATGATATCGTTGCATTTGTTCGATTTGCAGGAGCAACTCTTCGAGGGACAGCGGATCCTCTTCCCCGTGACCTTCGTCTCCCAAAGTAGTTGGTCTCCATGGATTGAACAGTATCCGTAGCTGCCGAGCAAGACTTTTTCCAGCTTGGAAAATGCGACAAGCCTGCTGCTTCAAATGCGAGCAGGAGCTGCAGAAACCTCGACTGCGTCGAGATGAAGACGACGGCTGCGCTCTTCTTCTCCTCGTCCTGCTCCTGTTCCTTCTCGTCTGGCGCCTGTCTGATGTCGCTGTAGTACCTGATCGTGTTGTGCCAGCGGATCTTCCGAACATGCCGGTTCCATTATTTCTAAAAGAAGTGGTGACCTCATAGTCAGAAAAGGCTGATTCTTCTTGACTAGAAGATGTAGTCGCAGAAGACCACGCATCAACAGAAGTTTCTTGATCATGATGCGGACGATTGGTTCGTTGGTTTTGCTCTCGTTCCTGACTGTGCTGGGCTGGTAGGCTTGGACCAGCATCGCCACGTGTAGGACCTTGAGGATTTCGCCGCCTGTTACGAGCCGAGGAAGCACCAGCAACGTGGTCACCGTCTTCAGTCAAGCTACGTAATCGACGTAAGCGATGATTTCCCAGATTCGGCGAAGGCGGAAGGGCAAGGATTACAAGTGCTACGGACACGACCATAGTCGTTACGGGATGGTGCAAGCTGGTCCCCAAGTACTCGAGCGCACAATCAAGTGCTGACGGTCCTCTCCGACGTCGTGATGTTCCTCCAGGAGAAGAGGAATTTTCTTCTGCAGCTTCATCGTCAACGTCTTCTACGTCGCAGTCGCCTTCCTGGAGGTCCTCGTCTGAGTAAGACCTACACGCTTGTTGTTGACCACCTCTGCCGCCACGTCGTAGAAAAGCGTTGTACAAAAGAGCACTACAGGCACGACAATTCACTCGGCCTGGAAAATTTTCCACATCATCTGGCCTACATGTGTTTGTTATAATACTAGAGGACCTCTCTTCTGTGCGCGCCTTGAGAATATTGTAGATGCAATAGACCTGGAGTAATCGCGCACCACACACCATCCATGTTGCTCGCCTAGTAGCTGTTTGAACCACTTGCCTCGCCTCAGCGAGAGCGGCGTGCTGCCTTGTCAATAGCAAATGTCGTCCACGCTGGCGTCGCTCTTCAAGTACTTCCTGTGCTCGCGAGTTCCTTCTTGTATTTGGGACAGAATCATCTTCCATCGTGTGTGTTCCAGCAACATCTCCCCTACTTTCGTCGCTTTCCGTGTCCCCTCCACTTCTACTTTCATCTCTTTCCCTGTCTCCTCCACTTCTACTTTCATCATCTCTTTCCCTGTGCCCTCCACTTGCATCTCTTTCACGTGGAGGTCTGTGCATTCCACTTCTACTTGGTCCTCTGTCAGTGACGAAACGACCTTCGACGTGTTCGTCGCGCCGTGACAATGAGACCCCCCGTCGTCGGAGGACGTAGACGTTACGGCTTTGATGACTGCGGTCATGATGCAGAGATGAAGTAGATCCGACAACGCCAAGATCTCCATTTGACGTAGGCGTCCCGGTAGCGGCCACTCGCAGGAAACCGAAGGTCACTGGAAGAGCAAAGCAAAAGCGAAGGAAAAACGATGATGACATTTTGCTGCGAGACTTAAATCGGCGATTTTTGATGTTGATGATGATGACGTCGTCTAGATTTCTATTTTAATTTTATTACACATATTACTAAATCAATCGAGATGAAATAGTCAATAGCCGGGGGTCTGAAATACAGAGACGGACCATGACCAAAGGAAAAATGAAACGGGATTCGAGCAGCAATGATATTCATTCTCACAAGCGTAGGCCCGAATGGAGGAAATACAAAATAGAGACTTTTTATTTAAGGATTGTCCACCTTCAGTTCACAAACGGAAATCCCGACTTCAAAGGCAAACGGACGATAAAATTGAAGACATGAGATCAGGAGAAAGATCTTGAATGATCTGCAACAATATACAACTCGTTCTTAATCTTAATGTCCTGCGTACTACACTTACACAGGTGGAATCAGATAAAAGTTTTGCAGGTCCTAAAAACATCAACCGACAAGGCGCAGAGGAACCTTGTGGTTCTTGTTTTCGTATTTCAGCAAGGCTAGGACAGCACTCATGAAGGTGGGTGGGCAACGTCTTCCTCCCTCCACCTTTAGGAAGCAGCACACACGGCATGAGAAAGAGATCAAGCGAAAACATGAAGTCATTTTTCTCGATCCTTGTGAGCATTCACAATACATAGGGGATGATCAAAAATCTTGCGCAGACATCGACCGACCTCAGCAAGAAAAACTGAGCAAGGAAGTGGAGAGTATCAAGCTTCTGCTGTGATGACTGACAAACTGAATCTGAAACACGTTATAATGTTGTAGAACTGTTGTTGTCCTCGAAATCGCCTTCAAAATGTTGAAGTTGATCTTCTTTTCGTTGCTTTAGCTATATTTCCATTTCGTTTCGTTTCAATATCGTGTCAGTAATCTACTTCACTTGCAACTTTTTAGATGATATTCGAGGATTCCGCTTTCGGTTTCCTCTGGAAGTACAACACAGGAGTCACAGACTACAGAGGTGGTTCTTACAAATAGAAATACGACTACTCCATGATGACATTAATTATCGGGTCGGGACCGACTAGGAGCAGTACTAGAAAATTGGATGTATGGAAATAGCATATTGACCATATTGGCGCTGGGATTCAGGCCAGGATGAAGTTATGAACAAACAACATACTCTATTGTACTGGAAATGAACAATCTACCACTGCAGTTAAAGATTGATTGCGATTGTGATTGATGTGTCTAATTTGTTTCTCTTGTTCGTGGCAAGTAGCAATAGTTCATTGATGATGATGTCGTCGTGGCTTGACCTAGTAAGAATGTGTTCATCTTCACCCGTGTTAGGTTGTCGTCTTTGATGTTAGCGTTTTTATGCACAATATATCAATTTAAGGGTTGTACAAGAAAAGGAGGTCGCGTACTACACCCAGCACGGCCTTAGAGGTTTTTGTAATTGGCTGGGTTGTAGATTGGATGATTAGCGGAGAAGTTTCCTTGCATCATCGGTGATGCGTGGCTACGCGCTGGCCGGGCTGCTGCTTTTTCCACCTGCGCAATGTGCGACGCGATCATGTCTTTCGTATCTGTCAGTCTCGTTTCGCTCAAGCGATCTATCGTCAGAGGCTTCAACCGTCGCGGCTTTTCCGCTCGAAGCAGACACCGCTGGAGTCGCTTGTCCAGCTGCATGGACATACGCTCTAATTTCACCTCTGCAGACTCATAAATCTTCGGCAATTCCGTGTGGTAGCTAGGACCTGGCACCATAGGAGTAGGTAGACCCGAGGACGGGGTTTTTTCTTGCTGCTGTAACATGTTCCTAGCACCACGTCGACGAGGCTCCGGAGAAGCCGATAATGGGGGAAGAATCGCACCTGGGGAGGGTGTTGCGAGTTCGTCAACGGTCGATAAACCTGGCAACGCCCTTTTACCACCAGAAGGGAGGCCGTCACGCTGTGGCGAAGGGCTACGACTTCCTCCGCGTGGACTTCGACGCTGAACGTCGAGCACCTGTAGTTATAAGTAGATTGATGAGCACTACTGAGCAAGTCAATAAAGTTTCATTGTCAACACGACCATCTAATATTTATAAAACTGGCAATGTGGATGCCCTTGCTCTTGATGATCATGCTGGTCGAAGTTATTGTCCTCAGTCTGATTGTCGTCTAGGACGACGCAGCAGGAGTGGTCTAATTATTGATAACGACATCTGGCTGCAAAGAGTTGTGTACTTAACATCAAAAGGTTAAGGTAGATCAGTTGTACCTGTCCCAAACTCCGACTCCGGTTGCTCGTTTCGAACTTCTCTAGTTCTCGTAACTCACTAGATGGAAGCGCTGTGTAGGCCTTCGTCCTGTGGTCACGGGAACGAGCTGCTTCCTGCGTAATGCGAGCGCGCAATACCTCTCGATATGCGTTGGCATTATCGAAGTCGTACAACTCCTCTCGTCGATTCTTCTCCTTTAGCGCGCTCTCCTCCTTGCGCTGAAGGTAAGCACCCCATGCTGCCGGATCGACCCCCGGAGGAACCAAACTCGTGCTGCGTTCCATGCGGGACCGACGCTCAAGACGCCTGGTGGACAATTTTCGTGAGGATGAGGAAGGTCGTGGAAAAAAATGTTGAAGGATGTATGGGAAGTAGATGAACTGACAATGACCACGAATGACAATGTAGAAGTGTGTAAGTATGAATCTGAAAAAAAAGGCGGACAAGAAAATAAATCCGGAGACATACGTGTGAAAGTGAAGACAGTGGGAGGTCCTGTTCCTCCCACTCCCACTTACATCAGAAACATAAGCAATTCAATTTCAAAACGTCGAACCGAAAAAAGGTAGTAGTTGTACCTTTTCGCCATCTGGTACTGCAGGACCCGCTTTTCTACCATCTTTTCGTCATACGTTTTCGGCCTCGGATCTCCATGTTTGTGTTTCGACAAACCGGCCGCACCGTCTCCCACAGCCTCATACAGCTCATGAAAAAAGTTCACCGTCGCTTCCACAGTGTGCTTTCGCAGTACGCCCATGGCCTTGGCTTCTTTCTTCTTATAGATTTCGGGCGACAGTACTGTTATCTTGCTTTTCACATTCTTATGCTTCGAAGCGATCTCCTTGTGTCCGACAGGTTCGATTTCCGACTCCGACTCGCCACGGAAATCGGTACCGAACACGCCACCTAACTGGACAATGGCTTCGTTCGTGACAGTAACTGACTCTGGTGGAGGTACTACTTTGTGGACTCTGGATGACGAAGGAGATGGCGTTCTTTCAGCATGATCAGGACCTCCACCTGCAACTAGCTTGCTTCCGGCCGGTCGCTCTGGCGTTGACGGTACTACAGCTACGGCCACAGCTGTAGAAGTATTCTCTACAATTTCACGCGTAACTACCTCTACTTGCTGATCTTGCTCGCCTTCTGGCTGTTGACCTAGTCGTATATCCTCGGCAGCAGCACCAGAAGCGTCTAGATTCGGAGACGTGATTTTGGTATCGCCTTCCACAACAAACGCTGTGTTGGTGTCAAGATCAGTAGCAACCAAATCGGGACTGCTTTCGTCGCGCACTGGCTCACTCGGGGCAGCAACCAGAGCAGGCTCCTGTACGGTGATTTGATTTTTCATCATAGTTAATATTGATCATCATGATCTTCAACTTCATGAAATTGTAATAACTGTTGAGGCGTGAGGTAAGTGCCAGAATGGTTAAAGAAAGAGACAGAACGAACAGGTAAAGCTTTTAAAGGTAAAGTGAGATGAGTCATAGAGTAGAAGCTTGTTCTCTACTTGTACTTATCGACCCATAAAATTGTAATAAATAGGTACATACTATTCATCAGTGACGAAAAAGCGAGAAGATCTATTCTGGATCAAAATTACACCTGACTTCATCACGTCGTACTTCTTCTATCTTTGTGGTGTACCTCAACTATTTCTACGAATTCGAATAACAACTGATGATCAAATTATATTACCTGCTCAGCCAACTGCGGCTTCTCTCTTCCAGCAGCATCAACCTCCTGTTGCATAGCATCTGCTTCTACATCATGTTGTACTATGGCATCATCTTCGAAGTGAGCCCGCTTTCGCTCGTGTGCCTGCGACGCGGTCTCGACGTCACTTGTTCCAGCTGGAGATTCGAGAAGGGTAGGATCCCCAGGCTGCTCGGCTTCTTGCAGTTGGGACGAGAGTGCTCCTGTATGATCTCGTCCGATACCGTCACCGACTTCTTTCGGTTCCTTCCCTCCTGTCTCTACAACATCTCGTGCATGAACATTGTCGACCTCCACCTCGACTGGATCATCGGAAGGATCAGTGTTAACTCGCATCTCCAAGCCGCTTGTGACAGCAGTCTGAAACAAGAAAGACGTAGTCGTAGGAGTTGGGGGAAGATTCAAAAATATTTATAAGATGAAAGTAGTCCAGCATCAAATGATACGACTAGATACAAAGTAGATCAAGATCTCATCAAGCATCTTGTGCACTGTCGCGACAGCCCTTCTTCTATCGCGGCTCACAAATAGTACTCCCGAAAAGTAGGAGGCACTGGCAACTACACTATCAGTGATACCAGCTACAAAGTAGACCTACAGAACTACTCTCAACTTTAGAAAAACAAAAGGAGTACCCAGGAAACCAGTTCCGCTGTGCGACCGAAACCGGAAGAGGCTGATGTGCCCGAAATCGAATTTATAGTCTCGGTCTCTAGCTCATCCTGCTCCCCTTCTGCTCTAGATGCTCCGTCTTCATCGTCTTGATAGAAACAAAAACCTCCTCCCGGTTGCTGCTCAGCTGTGCTGGTGGGTGCTTCGTGAGCGTCGTGGGGAGTAGAAGAACTAGAACCCGGTTCGAGTTGGTCTTGGTGTTGCTTACTGTCGTGGTCGGAATCTGGCAATTGCTTGTCGTGCTGGTCCTGCTCGTTTTCTTGCTCCGACGTCGCACCGAGAAAGGAATCTAGTTCAAAATCCTCGTTATCATAAGCATCTTCTTCAGCAGCTTCGAGTGAGTTCTCTTCGGTTATGACGGCTAAGCCATCGCTTCCCAGACTGGCGCAGTGCTCTCCCTCGAAGTAGTTGTAGAAGTTGCTGGAAAGGAAGAATGAAGAGGGGTCGTTAGCGGGTTTATCTTCGTCAAGGCAGCAATCTTCTCCCTCGTGCTGTATGACTACATGAGGAGTTTCGTCTTCTTGATGCCGCAAGTCGAAAGCAGCTCCTCCTGTATATGCATCGGGCACTGCGCCTCCGTCTTGTTCCCCGTGATGAACAACCTTCATCTTTTTGAGTGCTCCCTTTTCCTTGGGCAACACCAAGCTCGACCTTCTCGCCCTGCTTTTCCTTGCGACGTGCCTCGCAAAAGCTCGATTGTTCAGTGGGGCACTGCTAGAGCTGCTCGTTCCCGTGAACAAGTCACAAGCTGACGAAGCTGACTTCATTTTCATTGATTTCTATGACCTAAAAATTTTATTCTTGACCATATTTGTGGATGGAGAATCAAAGTCACTTCATCATCAACGAGTGGTTCTATCCTCGAAGTTATGTACGAGAGAGAAGAGAGTCGCCAGATGAAAGCTGTATCAAACTGTATGGGCGATGACAAGTCTGAAAATGTGTGATCTCTTCTAAGTACTGGACGGGTGCTTCGAACAGCAACTGAACGACGCGGGGTGAGAGTGGGGAAGAGGTGGTGGGATAATCAAGAGGTGGTGGGATAATCATGAGAGGGTTTGGTGGACAAGTAAGAATCATACGCAGTCGTGCGCTTCGCCTATCTTCTACAACGATACACCTGTGGAATGCGACAGAAGCAAAACGGCAATACTTGAGGGACCTAAACCTAATCATTTGATGACAAATGTTGATATACGAGCTGGACCCGGACAAGGACTCTCGTAGCGAAGTTCGCTCAGCAACTCTCGGCAGATGCGACAGATATCGATGACCACAACATTGCTTCTAGTGGCACCAGTCGACAGACCGTCCAAACACTTAATATCGCTTCTATTGCAATTGCCACTCGACAGATCAAGAACATCCACGAACTTACTACTCCTCAACATCTACTTTCACATTCGCTTATATCTATTTAATAGTATCAGTATGGTATTAGTACGGTATTATAGTATACAGATCATCACCATCACGTGCACGTGCCGCATAACAAACTGGAAAATGGTTTCCAGCTCACAAAGCTCACACATTGGATTTCCTTTTCCACCAACATGAAGACTTATCACGACGGCTAGAACTGCTGACGCTCTGTCGATCACAAGGCTCTCAGACAACTCAGTCTCAGTTTTTTACAGACCAAGTCTTTGACGAAGTTTAAAATATAACGATAGAATATGTTTCTCTCCTGTAATACTACTAGCTGCGTTTGAAACTACTGCACGTTTGCATTCGCACTGATGATGACGGTAGTCGGTGGCTGTAGTGGTATGGAGACCACTTTTCGTGCAGGCGAGTCATGTTGGAATGGGCATCCAAAAAATCAGAAAGTTACAGAAGCCATCTACTTGATGTGGACCATGCATGTAGTCCTTCGGCACCATGATTAAATGTAACTTCGGACGTATTTTATGTCCCGACTTTTGAGTAGCGCATGCCCCGACTCGCAGTCAGGACCTATGCTGTTGACAACGTGATCTGGCTGTCGGATCCCACGCTTAGTTAGAGGGCAGCAAAATGTTTCATTTCTGCAGTTCATTTCTTCCGATTCTCACGAGGGAAACAGAGAAGAATGACCCCTGGAGTTGGAAATAATTCAATTGAGCCTTAACTTAGCGTAGTCCTGATTGTGCACTGAACTCATATTGCAGTACTTTGCCCTGTCTCGATCAGGCCTCAAGTGCCCAGGCGTTCGCGGATGTCGAGGAAAACCATACCTGGTCGTGGTCGAAGACTATAATGTATAGATACAAATAATGACGATGACCTACAACTACTTGTAAGTGTGGATGTTGCGAACGGAGTTGATCGAATATTCCTGAGAGTCGTCAGAAAGCTACTTGCTTCTCGAAGGTACTAGGAGTCCAACTACTACTCCTACACTAACTACAGAGCAAATGATCCAATATCTATTTTCACAACATATATATCATGCGATATCTGTTATTTTTCTTTGCCTATGATAAATACGATTTTCGTAAGGGACGAATGTAGTACGAACAACCTGTTTCGATGTTTACTAACCTGTTTAGATGTTTCGGCCAGTTCCACTCGTTTGCCATCTGGTAAGGCTGCCGGCAAAGCCACCTCGAGGGTCCGCAGTGCTCCCACGCCCACTGATTTCTCCTGTACTTTTTCATGAATTTAGTCCAGTTTTGAACGCCCCCTGGTGGCGCGTGAAGCGGCGTCGATATGGACAACATCTTCGTCTGGTTCTGTTATTCTGTTGTTCCTTTACTCGTGATATCAATCTATGTTAAGCCTCCGGGTTATAATTTTATTTCGCGGGAGTCGTTGATCTGGAGGTCGCTTACCATTCGGGATTGCTGGAAAAGTCCGCGGGTCAAAAGCATAAGCAACTCGCTTCTGTAAATGGGCAAGGACCGCGAGACGAAACGAACGGGACAGAAGACGACGCCATTTTCACGCTGATGGTGCAGATTTGTAGCCGAAACTCTCAACAGACAGACACTGTCAACGTTACTAGTACTTCCATATTAATATAAGTGGATGTCTACGTGGTCTACTTTACTTTTACACCAACTCTTACTCATAGAGTACTCTATCTCTAGAGCTCACATGATTCACAGCAATGCCTTGACGCTTGAGTTCCAAAAAGCCACTACTTTGTATGCCATCTCCCTCAGAGCAGAAATGCCTTCTGACCTTCTACCTTGGAGGAATGTGCATCCTCTATTTGTCTCCCCGCAGGGCTGATCGTCGTAGTGGATCAGTTGTTCTGCTGCTAGTGCCTATGTATTCAGCAAACACAGGTCACTATGTCTTCATCGCGAGCGCTCAACAACTGTGTTCAGCCAACCCAGGTTATGTTGATTCAGCAAAGACTTGGTCAACATCAACTCCCTCAGCCCCGAGGCTGGCCCAGCAGACAGGCAGCAGGAGATAAATCAAGCTCAACCAGCACAATAATCAGAACGATCCCAACAAAGGTTGTTGTATCACGTTAAACAAGTAGATCCTTAAGCAGTACAAATGACATACATATTCTAGTAGTTCACAACTTCTACATCTGGTGCCGACGAAATCAGGTTTAGAAGCAGGAAGACGACTTCTAGAGATGACGACCGTCCTTTTATGGGACGATAGGCGTTGATCCAGCTTCCACAGGGTAAACCTGAAATATCCTCCGGTGGATACACCTTCCATTCAGTAGTACTCCTACTCGCACAAATATCTGCGTTGACTCGCAAAAAATCGCAGTGCCACTGCCAGTCTTGTCAACAAGAAGCACAAGAGGCCCCTCGATAGCTTGTTCTACTTGGTCTTGGCTGGGCTTTGTTGTCTTCGGTCTTGTAGTTACGTTTTTTGAAGATAGTACCATAAGCACAGATATTCATTTCAAGATTTCATCAAAGTCAGACATTCACTTCAAAATCATGATTGTTCATTATCTCATTTTTTGCTCGGCAAGGTAGACAATTGAATATCTTAGAGCTAGAGCTTCGCTCACCACGACAAGAGAATGTCATGCAATTCGACGAAAGTTGTAAAAGAAAAAGTTTGATACTTTGATGTTGACCTTCCACTTTCTAAGTTTAATATGTCTCAACTTCTTCTGTTTGTGTTTAATACGTTGATCTTTTTGATCGTTAGGAGGATCCTCACACTTTTTTCTTTTTTGTCCCGTTTCGCGGTATCGCTGGTCCTTCCGCCTTCTTATCACGCGCGTTATTTTAGAGCCTGAGCGTGAGCCTCCTCCTATTCTAATTATTCGGTATGAACAAAAATCAAAAATTTTGATCTCTAATGCTAGAAGTGGTAAAGGTCTTCTCTCATGAATTAACCATACCTGCCCCAAAGTCTTTCATAATTGCCTTGCACTTGCTGCACAGGAGAACTACAAGGTGAGGACCGCTTCAGCAGACCTCTCCGTTGGCGTTGCTTTGCATTGCCGGCCATTTCAGCGATCCCCTCTCCGCCTAGCAAGAAAGACGCGTCTCGAAATATTGCTGATTGCATGCTGCATGGCAGCAAATTAGAAGAGGTATGTATTCTACAGAATTCTCACCTGGGTCCCATTTTCATCCTCTGGTGATCTTTCTCTTCGAGAAGATGACTTTGGTTTTGGAGATGAATTCACACCCTGGAAGGTCGAGGTGTGAATTCATCTCCATAAGGAAATACGGCATTATGAAACGAAAAAGTGCACTCACACTCACGAAATTGGCTAGGATTTAAGTAGGAAAATAGCCACTTTTTCTGAGTGTGAGTGCACTTTTTTTTTTCATAGGCATTCATATTTTCTTATGTGTCCCATAAACAAATACTGTCCGAAGTCTCGCGCCAAGACTTTTTGGAGCAGGAGGAGAAGATGCAAGCTCTGCAGGACGATGGAACTCCACTCCGTCGCAGGGTTTTCGCACGCGGGATGGTTCCCCTTGCCCTCTTCTTGGAACTCACTACAGTCCATCTTTGTCCATCTTTGTAAGTACTTGAAGACAGCTTAGGCTGTTACAGATGAGCTAAAAGATCACAGCGATGGATTAAGTGATGCCTTAATCTTCGTAGCAGTGCGTTGCTTTCGGCCAACTATAGCACGCTTCGACAAAAAAATAGAGTGCAATTGGAAACCACCAAAGGGTTGGAAGTCCCGAGAGTGCCTGACGCAGAAGGTCTGCAATCGCTGTGTCGTCCCACTGACTACGATCCCGACAAGAATAGCTGACATTTGCAAACGGTTCACCATCTTCAACCTGGTTTAGATTCAGCCTCTACGCATCTTCTTGGCGGGCCCCTCATCTCGACCCCTTTCTTGGCCTTGTATTTCACAAGAATACTGGGCAAAAGGGAGCAACCAAGTAGACGGAGGCGAGAAAGACGAATAAAAGCTGACCTTAATTGATCTTTTTGACGGCCTAATCCAGCTAAGGTTTCGTCTTCTCGTAATATCAGTGCACCACCTCGCGTCGCTGAGTCACCTGCTGTTCTCTTATCATCTGCAGGAAATGCTTTCGGAGACGAAGAGGAAGATCTCTTTGATGAAGATGATGTCTTTCGAAGAGACAACGTTGTACTAGCCCCTGACGTCGATGTTGTTGGTGTGCCAGCTCCGCCAGCAGCTGCAGAGAACGTAGGAGCTCCTGAAACGGGGGGAGAGGCTGAAGACGATTCTCCACCACTAGTTGTCGTCGTGCCTGACGAAGGCCTTCCCCTAGAACCTCCTGATGAAGGTGTGGAGCTGATAGTTCTATTTGCATTTGCTGGAAGAGGTTCTACTACTTTGTTTGGCTGTTCTATTCTTGCTAGAGCTGGAGCCTCTTTGTTCTGTTCTCTGTGAAAAGAAGCAGGACCATCGAGAAAGCCATTTGTCACCATGTGCAGAAACTTCCAGATGAGAAGCGTTTTGTTGCCACTTTTCTCTATTGCTTGTGTCGTTCTTTTCCAGTCCTCCTTGTTGTAGACTAGGAAAGGGAGCGAGAAGACATACCACAGGTAAAACTGGTAGTGCAAGGACCGTGCGAAAACGATGCCAGCGAAGTTGCACAACAACATCGCTTTGGCAGCATCAGAGCCAGGGATCATGCGTATCCTCCGCACCTTGAGGGCGGCTTTGCGCTGCAGTTTTGTAGTCCGCATTGTAGTCCTTTCGGCTGTAGCTTGTAAGGCACCTCCTGCTAGTACATGATCATCCGGTGGCTGCTCCCCTTCACAACTTGGCAAAGATGAGTCATCATTACTACGTCTTCTCAACACTGTGGAGGTCTGAGACTGAGTCTGACCAGAACCACGTGAAGATGAAGCAGAAGATGCAAGCGAAGTAGATGTCATCATCACCGTTGTAGACGCTCCTGAGTCGCTAGGGCTAGCTCCTGGGGAAATGGAAGTAAACTTGGAATCATTGTATGCCAGAAAGTCTTGGACGATACTCTCCCGCGTAGCCGGTGAACTCGTACATGGGGACGGTAGTGATGTCTTGGACGATGATCGGGAAATATTAGACGTCTATATAATAAATCGATATTCATCTTCCTGAAGTGGAAGAGGAGGAGCATCTTGGTCTGGTCATTATTTTCCCTTACAAAACGCAAAGCCCCTTCCAAGATAAATGCTTCTTAAAATCTTGCTCTTCTTCGAACTGGTAGTGGTATGTAGTCAGAGTCATATTCCCTTACAAAACCTTCCAAGATGCTTCTTAAAATGAATATTTTCTTCAACATGTATGATTGAGTAAGCCATAAAAGTCGCACTAGATGAGGACAATGATGATTTACTTGCGCGCCTCATTCTTCCTCCGCTTCGAATCGGCTCGCCAACGAGTGCCCCATTTCCGACGCCAGGCTGATCCACACAACCTGTCTCGTTGATGTGCGCAACTTTTATCAGCATCTATTAGAGCGGAATATGTTGAAGAAGTGCCGGGTCTCCTAGAAGATCCACCTCTTCTGTTCTTGAGTCAGTGAACTTCCAGCAATTATTTCTGGACAACAAGAACATCTATGAAGACCACATTTTGTTTTTCGTTTATGTTCACGCTTTTGAGGACTATGATGTCGCGCAACTAGAAGGACGAAGGATATTTATATTACGAAGAAAGATTTCATTTTCAACACTGTCGTGAAAGACACACAAGGAATATAAATTAATTGGGAAACAAATAAGGAGCTTCTTCTTGTTCTTCCTCTTCGCTTCTTCAGTTAAAAATAATACTGACCATCTTCACCTTCAGGAGGCTGCGTTTGTTCATAGTCAACCCTTGTTTCTTCAGGTACTCCGGGCTCACTATAGCTAAGACTCGGAGTGGGACTTCCCGTTGCTGCAGTGGTCGCCTTGCTCATATTGCTACCACCGATTATTTGGTCCTTGTTGTTGTTGTTGTTGTTGATGTAGTTTTGTTTATTGTTCTTCGATGATGTTGACGTTCCACCTCCTCCTGAAGCTTGTTGTTGTTTATTGTGTGCCCTCTGGCTAGAAGAGCTTCCGCTCGATAAATTGGAAGCCTTACTCGATGACCGACTCCCTGCTAAAAGGGAAGATGGTGCGCTGCCAGCCGCTAGAGCTGGAGTTCCCTCGCCTCCTTCACCTTCTGCAGCTAATTTCCGACGTAGTGATATGGCCAGAAGGTCTCGATTCTTCTGATTTTTCGATTTCTTCTCCCCTGTCCAGTACTCTCGGAGAGTTTCCGTCAGGACATACCAGACTTTTTCTTGTGTTCTCATAGAACAGCCGAGGCTCTCCAGAATGCGGCGAAACCTAGAGACGACCTCTGCCATCGGCCTATGTTGTGCCTCTTTCGGGGGCTCTGCTCCATCATCCTCCTGGTCAACGTCTCCAGACGTGGAACTTGCATTCGCTACCCCTAGGAACCGATCCAACATCAGCACGAAGTGACTGTCGGACTCTAAAAACTGTGATGTAACTTCTACAACTGATGGTGCTTCTGCAGTTCTCTCGTCTGCTGAAGAGAGCTCCTGCTGCGAGGACTTACTGCTACTTGAAGATGTCACACTTCCAGCAGTCGAAGTTTTACTAGTCGACTGGCTTTGACCTCCACTCGACGTGGTCCTAGCGCTTCCTACTGCATTGTTGCCTGAGAAGAATGTTGGTGTTGCGGACAGGCTGCGCGCTCCTCCTCTCAATTGCTTTGCTGGACGCGCTTTCAAGAGCCACTCTCTGTGCACCCGATACACCAGTACCGCCCAGAACAATATCGTGGTGGCGAGGAGGAAGACCGCCCATGTTTTGCTGACAAAGATTTTTAGACCTCTCCCCAGTTCATCCCTGTGGAAGTCCCTCAATATTAATATGCGCTAGCATCTCCCACTCCCGCCTGGCGCAATACCATACAATACAATACATTTACATTACAACTTAATATCTCGCACAAAGTTCAGTGCAGACTGCCTACTGGCATAGTACGGTTGCGGGATCCTTATATAATATACCTATAGAGATGGACGATTAGCAGGGGGAGGCATAAGATTCTTTCCGGGATGAATTTCCAGTTCACGGTCCACTCGTACAGGAAAACACGTCCCAAGTTGAAAGATCTCGTCAAGTAGGAGTACGGCGAGACGGCCAGGAACGGAGCCCCAATCAACAGCTGCACCGAAGCCATCAACGAAAAGTAACAGAAAACCCGACGCCAACACCAACGTGGATTCACGAATAGGTATTAGAAGGGCATCTTGTTGAGAGAGAGAGAAAGAGCAGAAACCATGTCAAGTAGTACCATAGAGATTGAGTCAAGAACAAAGAGCAGATGAGTCGACGTACCATCACAAAAAGCTGCTCTTTCACTGTCAACTTTTCCCACTTGAAAATGGAGAAAGTGAAAGAGGATTTTCGTAGAGTTATATGACGAGCACTCCCTTTATGTTGCACCTTAAAGATACCATGCGAGTCCGGGTGCCATCAGCAGCAGGTTCATTTTTGATCCAACTGCAAGAGAGTAGAAAAGGCACCTGAAAAGAAATTAAAGGTAGTTGAGCACGTTCGCAGTCGTGGAACAACTGGGTTTTCAGACTCCTCATCTAAGTACCTCTGCCTCTATCTTGCATTTTTAGCAGTTACGATTTATTAGATGATCTAGAAGCACAGTTCTACTAGTGGAAAACATGACTTCCTTTTTTTGTATTCCTGTATCAAGTACCCCAGCGCCGTTTTCTCAGCTGAGAAGAGACAGAGAGATATTGCTGCAAGCGTGACACCTGTAATGTCGTTGAAAAGCCGCAATACGAGCAGCGACCACATGCGCCTAGATAGCAAGGGCAAGAGGCAGTACAACCTTGGGACTCGGAGATACCGGACCATGAGGTAAATCATCGCGCCATAGCAGGCTGTGCCGATCGCAAGAAAAACCTTCTGTTGTGTTCGTCGGTCTGAGCCGCATATCCTGTCTATCGCTGAGAAGGTGTAGAGGAAAAATGCGGGGTAAACTAGCGGCCCCGTGTCGCCTTCGATGCGGGAATAATCCCGCTCGCCTGCTCGATAAAGCGCGACCTGTTGCATGTAGGCCCTGTAGTCGATTTCCGTGTAGGTGCCGCCCTTCCAGATGATAAAAGACCCGATCGCGACCATGAGACTGCAAGCAATCGCTACAAACGGGAGCACAAATGCTGGTTTTTCCTTGATGCGCAAGCCTCTCGTAGACTGCGAAAGAGCGGAAGTAGAAGACGCGCACCTCCGATAGTCGCGACCTGTGCAAAGCACACGGATCCCGAGATCCAGTAACCGATAAACCCACATCATAACCATCATGCTTTTGTACCAAGATGAAGGCGCAGTCAGTGCTGAGGCCTACGCCTAGCGCCTAGGGTAGTTGTTGTGGTACTCCTTTCTTAGTTGTTAGCGCTGGCTCTGCGTGGTGGCTTTCGCTTATAAGATCGGAGAGGACGAGCGTCTTCACGTCGATCATCCTAGTTCATTGCTACATTACTTGCACGTAGAAGCAAATAAAGGAAGTTACAACTAGCGTGGCAGGATATTGTTCATTTTCTAGCAGTCGTACTCCTCTTTCCATCCAGCAGGACAAGATACAAGTGAATGAATCAAATGGAGCTTGACGAGCACGAGAAGCTCTTCCTCTTCGCTATCCTAATTTTAATATCTGAAACTAGAGGGTTCGAATTTTCCAAACTATAGTCATAGTGAAGATCTTCTTGATGTTGTTTTTACTTCTTGTTACACAGCAACGACAATGGGAGAGGAGGGCGCTTAATTTTAATTCTCTCAAAAAGCCTTAGCTCCTCAACTCGAAGACTACACAGACATTACTAAGACGATTACACCAGAGACAACTACTCACGTTGGCTTTCCGACTTTGACCTTCTCTTCAATCAAAGTGCGACACGACCGAGGAGCTACTGTCATCGTGCCGGATTCTACAAGCAGAACACGTTTTCAAGGATTCCGGTATGCAATGAGTGGGTTAAATGCTTAGTGTTGAGGTTTCATCTTCCTCTTGCGTGAGTGGGAATAATATCGGTGAACGAGTACTATCAGGCTAGTACCAGGAGTGAACCAACTGCTGTAGATTCAAAAAGTATAAGATAAATGACAACGATATTTCTTGCGTTTACACCGTTAATATCTGCTATGCGACTATGCAATCCTCCAGCTACTTGGAATAGGACCTGTGCAACACGACGAAACGACGTGATAATTGACGTTGACCCGAGCAGGTGGTCAGCACACACACAAATTTGGAAACCATGATCAATATCTTTTTTACACGTGCTAGTAGTTGTAGTAAGTACTATTACAAAACTAAAAAGCTTTTTAAACATGATAATCTGTAAACTCTGTTCATCACTGATTGATGTCAATTCGTTCTACCTCTACTCGATCGGTACATTGTGATAATGGTAATGCCTATCGTCTGTGATAATAATGAATAGTATGCGCATGTATGTTTTGTCGATGATGGTATTTGTGTTTGTCGCCACGATGTATGTTGCTCCTATAATATCTTGATCATCATGTAATATGCTCTTATAATATCTTGAAAAGTTCTTCTAGCCTACCCACTACTGACAACAACTTCTGCACAAAACTCTCAAAGAACTCGATATCTTCTAGGTCTCCTCCGACTACTATTCCTACTTCTAGTAGTTCTACTATTTCCACCCTCCTAGTACTAATTCCACCCTCCAAGAACCTTCTTCCCACTAGAATTATCAACTAGTTCCTCCCATTCTCCAACGCCGATTCCACAATGGCTTTGAGCTTCTCGCGTTTCAGACTCTCCGATCCGAAAATGCTGAAGCCCGCCTCACAGATCTCCAGTAGCGATATTCGTACCTGCCCAGCCTGCGGACGGCTCTCGTCGATGGCTGTGCGGCCACTGAGTGAAGAATCCCACTTTTCCTCATATTCAGTCCATGGTTTCGTAGGGGTTGCGTCTGGGAGATATCTGGAGGAACAAAGTTGTATCTTCGGATGTTGAACAAAGGTATTCAAAGTAATGAAACAACAGCGGAACATCGATGACGTCGATGTAGTAATTCTCATATCCAGTAGCAATTGAGAAGTGGATGAGAAGTATCTGAATATCTAAATCTGTGGATTATACTGAACAAACAGGTCAAATCGGATCGCTGGTATCGTAAGTTCGCCGGTTTGCGTTACGAGCCAATCTAGGAGAGATTCGGCCAGCAGCTGGCCTTTTTTAGTGGCCTCGCGAAGCGCTTTCACGTCTCCACGCATATACGAGAGTGCGACGCTCTCGCTCATGTAATAAAACTCTCCAAATTCGTTGTTGCTTTTCACGCTGTTAAACCGCGTATACCAGACCTTGAATTGAGAGTGGAGAAAATAGAACTGTGACAAATGTTGAAGCGTGGGTGTGGGAGGTGGAGGAGGATGAAAAACGATGAAGGAGGGCTAGAAGTGCAAAAAACTGACCGTAAGCCATAAAGTGAAACAAATAACTCCTGACAGTTGTTTGATTTGCCCAAAAAGATCAACAAGAAAGAAGAAAAGCAATACCTGTTTCAGCTTTCCCTTGATGTAGTAGAGTCGCATTTCGAGAGCGTGAGGAACGAATTCCTGAACCATAATCCAGTCGAGACGATGTGCTTGTCCCACAAGCTCGTTTGATATATTGATGGTATCCGACAGATCCCTCAATGCGGCTGAGAGCGGGTAGTTGTGCTTCGTATTCTTACCTTCTCTACTACTTAGAGCTCACAATTCAGTATAACTCATCTCCTATGCCTATGGAGGGCGTAGTCAGCTCCCAGCATCCAAGGGGAAACTTCTGAGCCAAATACAAATAGGCTCAGGAAAAGAATAAAAATTGTCTTGAGTCCTCTTAATTCGCGTGGCTCTGACGTCGTCGTCCCATCTAGTTGTTGTTGATTGTGAAGCAGGCTATTCGTATTCTGCCACAGTTTCACGTCTAGTGCTTCCCACGAATAGCCGAGCTTCGCGACCCCTTTGACAACATTTTCTGAATGCAAAAAGATGGGAGTCTCATTCGTCGCCTGCTCTTCCATTCGACGCTTGGAAGAGGTTAGAATTCAACTCAGTAGAGAATCTCATAAGTACTTATGTTGATGTCGACACTGCCTTCCACAAATGATGATGATGAAAATGCAGAATTGTAAATGATGACATAGACATCTACATTGTAGATGTCTATGTCATGGTAAAAGTAGTTCAACATCAATTATGCTAGACCTAGTGATGCTGATGAAATGAATTATTTTGTTCTATCGTAATTGCACTCGCTTGATGTGCTCCAGAGCTCGAATCGCACGCTCAGCTGCACTTTGCGGATCCTGTGTAACGAAGACACGTGGAAGCGACACGGTAGGCGGGATGCTATACCGCGGCTCCAAGCTCAGTTGGCTCGACCAAGTCTTCGCAGTCAATTGGTGATACAGTGCGCTCTGGTGAGGAAACGCGCTGTATATGCCCAACCTTTCGGACGCACGCATCATATCATAGAACGGCGACTGTTCAATATAGCCAGCACCATTGGCCGATCCCGTCTGATACAATGGCTCAGAACCAAAATCGAAAGAGGACGGATGCAAAAAGTAGAAGGCTGTAGATATAGTTTAGAAGAAGAAAAATTCAAAAGTAAGCCTGTGGAGAATTTTTTTGTGTTTCAAAAGGACGTTGTTAATGGAGAGGTAGGCTGCTAGAAGTTGTAAGTAGTAGGTATACAACCATAGGATATAAGATCAACATCAAGAATCTGACGAAACAATGAAAATGATGAATGTGGTGGACAAGACGAGTTTACAACATTTACAAGAACAAAGCACAAGTTGACTCACCAGCTATGCGCTCTGCCCGTCTAGCCGGATGATTTTTTCCAAAAATGAGGTGCAAGCTCTTCGATAGGATAACGCATTCATCCGGTGATGAGACCCAGATCGACCAAACTTCATAGTCATTTCCAAGCATCGGCTGCAGCGCAAGGTCTTGCCATTATGAAAGCAGGAGGCAAGAACAAATAATAGACATACTACTAGATCTAGTTCTAGACATAGTTACTTAGTACTAGTAGGATTTGGATTAGGAAGTGAAATTATAAACAATGCCGAAGGACAAGAAAAGGGAAAAAAAACTCATCAACTTCGAGGTCTGGAACTACATGCAGCGGACCTAGCTAGTGGTCATAACCGATAACCCCTTGAATATTACTGACTCTTTGTTTAAGTATTTTAGGAGGAATTTGTATCATGTGGTAGGTTGTGTCTACTTCTAGTGCCACTTGTTAGGATAGCGCAATGGGCTACTAGTTTTAGTTAGAAAGGACTGAGATCTTTCCATAACAGGTGATACATGAATGTCGGACTTGTTGCGAGGAACTCGCTCTCCTTAGTTGCCGGAACCTCCCGTCCGCCCCAGCGAAAGGCTAGAATAGACAACTTTGGCCGAAAATGATCATGATCGCTTCCTCCAGTGTAATCCGAACCACGCACCATATTCGGAGGCATCGCGGACGATTCATCTTGGCCGACTCTTCGAAACACAAGTCCATTGCTGGTGACATTGCGAAAAATTTGCAAATTCCGATCGTGTCCGCCAAAGAAAATGCCTCTAGCATCTGCAAAATGCGGCCACTCGGATCGAACAGTGTAAACCAAATGCTCTGGGCCAAAATGAGGTCCAAGCTGCACCCGAGCACGCTCGATTATGTTGTTGTCGTTGATGTCCCCGTTAAGTGGAGTTTCATCAAGAACAGACGTCTGGTGACTCTCCTGTTGAGTCATTTCACGACCAGCTGCTCTTTCTGCAAACATCTTGCGCAAGCTCGATCCTAGTGATGTAACCTTCGCCTTTATTGAGATAGACGTTTTACTGATATTGCTAGGAGGTGTAAGTGAGGACATGTAGTAGTCGATGGCAGTGATGCGACCTGGCAGATAGCCTTCCGTGAGACCAATGCGCGGACGATAAATGCCATGACTGCGATCCAATACTGCAGCAAACCCTGCTTGCTTGTGCGAACTCCGAAACTCACGATGAAAATACCACACCGGTTCTCCTATCCCAAAGATCTTCTTCTGATCCGTTCTATCATTTTCAGCACACGCAGACGCAGATCCTGCGCTTGATCCGGTACCACTACTGTAATCTGCACCAATGGACGAGGCTCCTGAGCATTTTCTGGTGTTTTGATTTCGTCCATGCTCTTGGTTTTGGTGATCAGCATGACCAGTCGTGGTTTGCGTTGCATCGCCGATGCTCCGAGCGGCTTCTTTAACAGCGGCAACTAGGAAGCCGCTCCATATTGATCTTGATGAGAGCAAGAACGATAGTACGGCGACACCGCACCACGTCCACCGACCGCTGGCAACCATTCTTTTTGTCTTAGTGGTAAAAATAATAATTGCGAGCTTCGTTACTAACCCTAGTCTTAGTTGTAAAAAAAGAAGTGGACGAGGTAGTGTTAGCTGCTCGGAGGTGTTAGCTGCTCCGTTGGCCTTACATTTGCATGCTTACAAGACGTAGCCCCAGAAGTAAAAGTATCGTCGAGGAGTGCTAGGTGTACTAGTTGTAGATGCAGTGCGGGTACAAAATCAAGACATGATCACTTCACATCCTCAACCTCATCCCACCTAAGATGAACAGTATGAAGTTACTTCTAAGAAAATACATGTCTTCTCAAGAAGGTTCATTATAGCAAAGCTAATGCTAAGTAGCAATAACTATAAATATCTATAACTACGGAGGTCAAGGTGACCCCACCACCTTAACTACCGAAGTGGAAGTGTGAACGAATTTCTATTTCGTCTCCTAGCCAAATAGAGCAAGGGATCGCATTCATACGAAGGAGGGAGCTCTGGCCACAACATTGGAATTGGGGGCTTGGTATATCATATCACTGTGCGATACACCACATGCACCGGCAACTCTAGTACAGATACGTAGAATAGAAGGTTGTCACAGTGATCTAGAGCACAGAGAAGATGCACCAGAACAAGATCAATGAGCAGGCGTTAAGTGAATTAGATGAACATGAACCCCATCAAGGTCAAGGTGGACCTGAACAATTTACAACAACCGATTGAAATATACGACAACGTCATCGTGAATACATTGTCCATCGCATCTTTGTTCAGTACGCATATTAACCGACACAAAGACCGACATGATGTATTAATCTAAGATTTCCACTACCACTCTTTTACTCGTTCGCAATCCCGACTTCGCATCAGGCCAGAGCCAGACGTCGACCTGAGATGTCCTCGTCTTCCTCAATCGAAGGAAGACGAGGAGGAAGACGAGGACATCTCAGGTCGTTGGTAGATAAATTCGATCATGAAGAATAAAATAGAAATACCACGAGGACGAGGAGCATGATTGAGGTGGACACGACCTACTAGCCGCATCATCTCAGTGACAGTTGATGACGCAAGAGAGGCATGGTAATGGAAAATTGTTATGCGTTAATTCAAGATCAAGATTAGCCGGTTTTTGAACAAAAAATATTCGTCTAGAACGGGAGGGGGAAAACGTCGGTAAAGACCGACTACATGTAATGAAAAAAATATACTCAAAAATCTATCATGTGCTGACCGATGCGATTACTCCAATATGTCTATGCTCTACAAGTTCAACTTCAATCACGTCATAGTGGTTTAGCATTAGCCCCGCCCTTGCATCAATCATTTAACTGTAGTTGATCATATTTATAAATTTTATATTATATATAAGTGTCGCACTTCTACTAGTAGAAATATTCGCCGCCTGGGCAGATAGCTTCACCTATGTCACAGGCGTTATAGCGGTTCATGCAGGAGGACCTATGTTCTTTTCCATCTCGTGGCGTTATCACTATGCGCTCTGCATGTTCATTCTCATCTTCTAACAAGATCGTCCGTGTTGAGCTAATGTGTTGGCCATGTAGTCGATGTTGATGTTGATGTGATGCTGGAGCATGTTGTACATGTAGACCAGAAGCAGCACTACTGTTTATACTTCGATTCATCTCAGTGTCTTGAGAGCAGTAGGGACGAGAAGTGGATGGGCTTGGTCCCTGTAGTTGTCCGTGTCCATCTGGTGGGCTCACCGCATCATCGACGACGCTACTCGGAATATGTTGTTGTCTAGAAAGGAGCTGATTTCGGAGCTGGCGTCCCGACAGAAAACTCGTCTTGTCTCTACTCTCAATGTCGATGGGTGTGCTGCTGCTGGCGGATCCACTCGTCCCAAGCAAACTGTGCTTTCTGGAAACGTTGGAGCTCTCAGGGAAAAGACGCTCCCCACTTATTACTTCTGCTCCACGTTGATCTCTTAGTGGTAGGCTTTTGGTGTTCAGTTAACCCGTTTGCTCATGCTCTGCCTATCCCCTATAAGAAAGGCAAAACGAACGGCAACAGGAACACCTAAAACCTACCCTTAACTCTCTGTTTCGCAAGCCAACTCGTGTGCGGTGTGGTGACACGCGGTGCTGCCCACTCAGCTGCAGTTGCCGAAGGTATTCCTGAGTGCCAATATGATAGCCACGATGCAGGCTCTCGACATCGGGCCTCGAGTCTCCTCGCCATGCCTCTAATCGCCGTGGTGACAACCGGCTAGGCCTACCGTGGTCATCGAAAACCTGTGATTGATTTGGTACCAAAGTAAGTCGCTGGTAAATTACAAGGAGAGCAACTTCTATGTATAATAGAGCAGTTTATAAGGTTTCACAGCTCGCATGGCATGGAGTGCATGGATCACATGGAGTAGCATGGAGCTAAAGGGGGAGCTTCTTGCGCCCCTTAAAGCTCTGCGCTCCATGCACTCCATGCTACTCCATGCACTCCATGCACCATGCGTGCTATAAACTACTCTGGTATAACTACTTACTACAAGAATAGGTACTATTTACAGCTAATACGATCTTCTCTCTTCGCGCGGCCACTGTGCCCGCAGCAGGCCCCGTCCCCGAAATGCCTGTCAAACCCTTCCTACACGCAGCAAACGCGCCACCTCCAGAGGCAAGAAGGGAGTGTCCTACAGTCCCGCAAGCTGACGACGCTGACGAGGCTTGAGGCAGGCTCTCCCACACCTCACCCACACCCGCTCTGGCCTCAAGTTTTGCGCGTAATTCTGCAGTCGCCGCCATCTTTGTGGTCCGTCTTTATTCGTCGTAAGTAGATACTGTTACAACGTACTAGTACTAGACACCATAGAAGTAGATCATAGAGAAGTTCTAGAACAAGATTTTTGGAAACGAACTTTTCTACTGCGGTCGCTCGCGCGATACCTTGATTGTAGTCCTTACCAAGGAGGTAGTTTTTTTTTTCCACCTTTTTTTTTTTTGTTCCATCTTCTTCACAAGCCAGCAGTAGAAATAGCATAACAGTAACTTCTCTTCACACTCACTCGTCACCATTTTTTCATTCTTTCGGGTCTTCTCACTTCCACGTGGTTTCATCTCATTTGTTCTAAAAAGTAGTGGTCCGTCAACATAGTTCAGGGTGAAAGCCGCTGACTACACCGAGACCGACTGGCGCAGCTGTTGTTCAATAATAGGACGCGTGTTTGATGGACCAATATGACAGTCTCAGGAGAGTTGCCATGAATTGCTTGCCGATTCGAGGGTTCTTATGATCACGTCAAGCATGAACATCATGACAATATCAATATCAATCGCTAATATGTTGGAGATGAGAGAACGGAATAGTACAAGATATGATGTAATTGATGAATCAGAATCACCTTTACAGAGAGACTTTGTTGATGCATACCTTGAACTCATTTGAATTTTGATGATGACTCTTTCTCTTGTTGAACTTGAACATTTAGCATAGAAAATATCATTATTTGTTTACTTACACGACAGCTGCTGGTGCTGCTACAGTTATGCTGGCATGAACTACGACCTAAGTAAAAAAGATAACCAGTATTTGCTCGAAATACGTCGTTTGTAACAAACCATGGAGGCGCTGTTCGCATTCACCTTGTGAAGATCACAGTACTAGATTAGTGAGACCAAAGGTTAGGTTAGGTTATGGATCCTGCACAACGAGCCCCGCCGGCACCTGATCGCCTCAGAGGATGATGGGCGACCTGCGTAAAGTCAGCAAGCACCGAGGCTGATGACCTGAGTAAAGTCGTAAGAGCTAGAAAAAAGCTGCACTTTATTATTTCTAAGCTGTGGGAATTGTCGCTGGGGTGAGTGTGGCAATCAAATGGCAGGCCTCTCACTATGACGAGCCTCAGTCTTACTGTGACGCGCCTCAGTCTTACTCTGGCGAGACTCAGCCTTACTGTGGCGAGTCTTAGTCTTACTTGGAAGCCAGGCGTCCCCAAAAATGGCCCCAAGGCACGGGCGCCATTTTCGTTGGCGGCTCGAGACAGGCGCTTGCGCCTTGAGGGCATTTTCGCCTGTGGGCATTCTGGTTAGCATTCGAACAGCTCGAGAAACTAGGGAAACAGGTGGCGCCTCCCCCGTTTGAGGGGTACTACAGCGATTTTGTCTCTTGTCGTGACCGTGTCCCCTTCTTCGTCGTCAAACCTCCAGCTCCACACGAGTCGCAGTCACCTTTCAACAAACCAGGAGCACTGCGTGGAAAAACCTCCAGGAAGAACAGGTAGTAGTAGTAATAGTACGTGGCGCGTGCTAAAAAGCATAACCCACAACAGGGGTAACGAAGGAGTGGGGTCTCAACTAAAGCAAAGTGTTGAAGTTGATCTTCGACTTTCGCTCAATTAAATACCTAGACCTGTCATACTTATAAGCCCAAAGCCAAACTCCGTATGGGGGAGAGGACGTGGCAAAGGCAAACAAGGCGCGGGCAACCTTGAGCCAAAATGGCTTGAGCCAAAATGGCTACGGTCACGCCCGCACGACTCGGGCTACCGCGCTTTGCCCCCTGGTGACCGCGCATTATTCTTTATGTTTAACATTAACTAGCGTAAACGTCCTTTGCTCAAGATAATAATTATACATAGACAACGAAGATTCAAGATTCAAGGGCTTTTCGCTTCAGCCTGGACGCTAGAAGGTGCGACAGCGTGGCGAAAATTAAGTATAGCCTCACTAGGCAGCGTGAGCTACTGCGGTTAGGCACAGCTGAGATGAGGTCCACTGATTACCCCCCTCGAAGATGTTGACGAAGACGACAACGCAAAAATTTTAACTTTTACAACACCCATTCCATTGAAACTTCTACTTCCTCGACACATCATCTAAAAAGATCATAAACATTTCCTCTTCGGATCATTTCTTAGATGACGGTGAGACACCACATAGACACTCAATTCTGCAAGAAATCCAGTACAGGTCATAAGTAAACGTATGTATGCTTGAAAAAGTTGAAATTCTTGGATGAAGTTAATGCAGGACGAAAGAGCCTATGCCTAGCTAGTAAGGAGACGAAGACGAAGACGATCAGAATGACTATGACAATGTCAATGATGAAAGATAACTTTATTAATTTTACACGGAAAACCAAAATCGCATTCTCAAAAGAATTAGGATGCGGGTATTAGGGTACGTTTATGGAAGTAGTTGATACAGAACAAATTTAGACTTGATATTTCGAAAATGAAAGTTATTAAAGTTGTACGATTTTTAGTTGTATGTTGCGTGCATTATATGTAATATTCATTCATTCAGTCATTCGAACCACGTAGCAACTCAGAGCTGCCTGGTGCCGTAGCGACCCGAGTAAAAGAGACGCGGGAGCTATGATCCACACTAGAAATCTTAAGCTTAATGTTGAAAGAGCCGAAAAACATACTACTTCTGAACTGCAACTGCAACCGCTTCTACTAACGAAGGCATACAATGTTGATGTTGAAGATATTCTTGGTAACTAGTAATCTACCAACTTTTATCGCGAAGGTGCAAGTGAAGCTCTCCAACCTGTCTTGTTCTTGGTACCCGTCCATCCCATCATCTTCGCCGCCTCAGGAGCCTCGGCTGGAAATCTGGTAGAGGCTGAGGTGGCACTGGCCGTCGGAGCTTGGTGTGAGTTTATTGTGTGTCCTCTGGTTTGATGAGCTTGTGCGCCTGTTCCTCTCGTGCTGGCACTCCAGGTCGTGCCACTGGTGCCAGCACTTCTCGTGCTGTCACTCCTCTCGTCGTGCTGTCAACACTTGTTGTTGTTGTGGTCTGGTTCCTAGATCGTTGAACAATTGCTTGGTGTTGATGTTGCAAAACGCGACGTTTAGACGTGTTCTGAGACTGGTTGAAGTTGTTGTCACCATTATGAGTGTGTGTTTGCGTATGTCGCACGCCACGTGTTCCACCGTGGTTGTTTGTGCGACCGCTACCTCCTCCACGCCCCGCCGCACCTCCGCCAGATCCACCAGCATTATTAGCACGTTGAGTCGGTCCGCCACACCGGTTGTTTTCCCTTGTACTTGTGGTGCCCGGTGGTTTTCCTCCTGCTGCTCCATTATTTCGAAAATGCAAATTTTCCTGTCGGACGAAGTGCTGCTGGTGATAGTTTTTTCCTTGCGCTGAACAAGAATAGCTCTGGTTGTAGCTGTAGTGGGTCTTGCGCGCGACTTCTACGCTTTGGTGTTGGCCACGAGGACCAGACGTAGGACGAAGACCACCACTCGGCTGTTGCTCGTGCTCCTGATTATGGGACGACGATGAGTTGTAGTTATTGTAGTTCTGATTGATGCCTTCAAGCTGCTTCGACAAAGATATGGTGGTGCATTTTCTAGAAGTTGCAGGAAGACCGCGTCCACTTCCTCCCTCACGAGAAGCGGCATTGGCATTGTGGCTCGTTCGAGGCGGAGGACCCTGGTCATGGAGGTCTTCATCTTCGTCGAGGTTGTGACCGGTGTTGCTTGTAAGCTTCTTGTATTGCGAATCGACGCACCAGTGCTGGTCTACATCAACGTGTGACGAAGATTCACATGGTTCTTGTAGTACTCGTTGGTGATGCTGTCGCCGAGATGATGATGAATTGTAGTTGTAATACGGAAGATCATGATGATCCCGATGTTCATCTCCAAGGCCCGGCTCCTGCTCGGGGAAGTGCGCGTCCCCGGGGCTATCATAAATACCAGTCAGGCTCTGCGCATGTCGCAGAGGCTGCCTTTGTCCGTTTGCCTCCTTCGTTCGCGCCTTATTTCCTTGATGTCCATGTCCTGTAGAGGCAGCTGGTCCAATATCCGCATCATGATGACGGTCACGCTTTTCAGAGTTGTTCCTGTAGAGGCCGCGTTGTCGAGAGTTATTCATCCTCGAAGATGCTGCGCCTTCTTGACGACGAAGATGCTTCCGCTCCTCGTCATGATGTCCTCGAATTTGTTCTCGTTCGACACCCACTCCAGCACCTCGCTGAGAGGTCGTGGTTGTCGTGCTGCTGTAGTCCGCAGCATACAAATTATCCACATGATCTTCATATTGTTGGGTCATCTCGACGCCCACGTCTTCTCCAACACTACCTGCTCCTAGTGTTGTCATCGATGGTGAGTCATATATTCTATGACGTTCTTCAGCAGAAGATGAGAAATCGCGATTTCGAAGCAGTTGGAACATAAACTGGCGAGCCTGCTCATTACTAGATAGAGAGGACAGCGACAGAGTACAACCTCCAACCCCAAGACCATTAGAGCTCGCCCTAAAAATGCTAATCCATCTCGAGACGCATCCTGAAAGACGGCTTATTTCCCCCTTGTTGAAAAGTCTCTTGAGGATGCTTGCGAAGATGGATTGGGGGATGAAGCCTTAAGATGACCAGAGGAAGACTCACTCTTCGATCCATCAGAGTTCGTGTTGGACGCCATGAGACGCAATAACTGTCGCAACCTGTTCGGGTTTCTCAAAACATACTCGGCCAGTTGCCGGGAGGTAAGACTCAGACCGCTCAAGGAGGATCCTTCTCCCCCGTCCTCAGGCTCAAACTCGTGACCATGATCAACAGCAGTTGTAGTATCGCGATCGGGATCCCGTTGAAGATGTGTTCCATTTTCATACCGTTTTTTGTTGTTATCGTCGACGTCGTAATGATATTCGTTGTCGATGTTGTCCTGCTCAGTTGCTTTGTAATTGCGATCATTAGGAGGGAGGTAAGCACCAGCCAGATGGTGCTTCTGCGATTGGTATGTAGGAGCAGACCCTGTGCATTCTCTTGTTTCATCCCAAGAAGCAGGCTGCTCTATTAAGTGCTCTTCATCGCCTAGAGCTTCACGTTGTAGTCGTTGTGCTTGTGGGATATGATCTCGATCACCAACATCATAATGATCAAGAAGAGCACCCTTCCGACTGTACCGTGACGACCTGATCCCCGTCGCTACTCCAACCTTTCCGTTGCCCTTTGGAGCAGCTCCTGTTGTGCTCGCTGTGTGCTGTGCTTTGCTGCCACGCTGTGTACTGGCCGTGTGTAACTGTGTAGTTTGCTGTGTAGCTGCCGTGTGCCCCTGTGTTAGCTGTGTGCTCGCTGTTTTCTTTGAGTTCTTGCGTGATATTGAGTCATCATGAAGAGTCTCCAGACCCGAAGAAGTTGCGGAGGACGAGACCTTCTTGTATTCAGAAGGACCTACACTACTATCTTGAAACCTTGAGGAAGAACGTTAGCGCTCAAAGCCATTCACTTCTTGTTCCCTTCATGATTTCTTCCGAATCCTAAGAAGGAAACCAAAGAAGGAAACCAAAGTGGAAATGAATTCTATCCATCGGGCCTTAAGAACAAGACGTCGCAGGAGCGCCGTGCTGTCGTACAGGTGCAGGAGGTGGCGAGGGAGCTATCGCTGCTTGGGAACTGGCTGAAGATGTCGTCTCTTCACGACCGACAGTGCATGGTCGTGAATTCTCTTGCTCCCGTGGCCGCTGAAGATATCCTGATCCTCCAGAACCTTTATTAATAAAACTTGGTCGAGCGACGTTGACGTTGTTATCGCACGACTGGTGTTGGGATGAGGCTGAAGATGACTGCGTATGTCGAGGCCCCCGTCCTCGTGACCACGAACCTCCTGGAGACTTCGAAAGTCTCTGATGGTATTCGACTCGTCCAGCTGCGGTGGAGCACAGAGTCGTAGGTGCGGAGGACATTCCGGCGCTGGGACGCGTGCTCCTCCTGTTCAGCAGGTGAAGCCCAGGAGGAGGAGGAGGAGGAGGTGGCACGAGCTTTGCTTGATAATGATGTAGTTCATCTTCTTGCGCTGATGTTGACTGGGCAGCAGTACCTGCGTGATGATGTAGTTCATCTTCTTGCGCTGATGTTGACTGGGCAGCAGTACCGAAGGTCAAGGTGCCTCCTTTGTTATTGTTAAGATGATTCGTTGCAACATTGGATTTTGAGTTGCGCCAGGTCGACGCCCTTCTGATTATATTCTTGTTCACGGTGCAAGAGCTTCCGGCAGAGCTGCTAGTACTGTGCCAAGCTTCTGGCACAAGAACAGGATCTTCATCAAGATATTCATGTTGATTACCTTTAGAATTGAGGTCGTTTCTTCTAGTCGCTGTCATACAGCTCTCGCGCCCTCGAGCCGAAGCGGATTGCGTGGACGAAGGTAACCGCGACGAGGACGGCATGATATCCGCTTCTTGATGGTGTGTCCTCACCGAAGACTGCAGCTGAACTTCAGGAGACGAGTTTTGCTGTGCTGTGCCTTTGCCAGAAGTCGCGTGATGCCATTGCATTGACTTCTCGTCGTGACCGACCTGCTCGTCCGGGTAAGAGTTCATTGTTCCAGCTGCACCTCCTCGACTTGCCCTGTTCGTAGCCCGCACAGATGTAGTTTTAGACGTTGACGTTGCAGCAGAGGAACTACTAGAACCTCCTGTGTACGTTGACGTTTCGATTCCTCCCTTACCAAATCCAGGCATTTTCTCGTCCAGTGCCGCCACCTCGTCTTCAACGGCGAGAGACACTTTACTAGAGAAAGACGGTACTTCTGCAACTGAGAGTCCTTTTTGATCATATCGGGAGACGTTTTTAGATATTAGAATGTCTTGATACAGTCGGGACAGGGCCTTGTTTTCCTGCGCAGGGTTGCGTTCGCCAAAGGGTGCGCTGTTTTCAAAGTGGGCCGCCATTTGCTCCAAAAGCAGTGTATCAATATTGAGCAAGTTCGCCTTACTTGTACAGCTTTGAAGATGGCCATGGTCGCTTCCTCCATATTCAAGACCAGTCATTTCAGGAGCATCACCAGGCTGCAACTGCTCATGCCACGCTCCCTCCTGTCTGCCTTCTTCGTACCCGACCCCCTCAACATAGTCATAGCCCTCGTCCACACCTTCCAACGGAGCTGAAGGGGCGCCTGTTAATGTAGAAAACACAATTGACATCGAACGCAGAATGAGCAACATGAACAAGAAGTATTTGGATGAAACTTGTGCAAAAATTGATAGCGAAGCAAGGCGGCAGCGCAGTTTTTTTTCTCGGTCCTTCGGTCTGTCGGGTTGTACAATCTACCAATATCTTCGAGAGCGACCTTGTCTGCTGACGAGAAGTAGCACGCATTTGTCGAGAGGAGTGTAAGGAGTGAGAGAGCAAGAAAGAAAGGCATGAAAAAAGGGCACGGAAGTCTGAGGCTGTTGGATGCGTTGATCCTTCGTTTTTCCCTCGTGTGTGTGCAGTTCACACCCTTACTTTGACTAGGTGGCTAGCGACACCTCCCTCCGAGCATTTCCCTATTTTTACTTGACAGATTTGTTTCCAATTGAGTTACTTTGCTTGGCTCTAAGCTTCATGGCTCGGTCGATGACCTGCTGGCACAAGACATCCCGCTACCACTCAAAGGACATGCCTCTTCGTGGCTACGCGGCGTCTTCGACCGTGTGCCGAGTCTTGCGCCACCGTGTTCACGCCTCTAGTTCGAGGCATTTTCTCAGCGCAGGAGCGCCAGCTCTTGCATCAGCAGGACAGGGACAACATCATCGAGAGTTCGAAGAGGCGAGTGAAAAAGAACAAGCATCTAGATATAGGCCTACTTGCAACCTCGAGATCACGAAGCCAGAGAACCAAGGAGAAGAAGATTCATTTTCATATTTTGACACAATTGACTTGGAAATAGAAATGAATCAATAATACCAATACCTTTGAAATTCTCGGCGGGCACACGAGAGTTGTGGATCGCTCTATCCGTTCGCATAGAAGGCTGCTGTGTCTTCACGCTATGCGCCTGCTCAATCCCGTTCAACATTTCTATCTGCATCTGCTGAATTTAAATTTTTTGTCACAAGCATAACAGGGGGGGTAAAAGCACTGCAAGAGCCAAAAAAAAGCTTCAATTTCATGTACGCGTTCTCATGGATTTACATTTAGATCTTGAGGTTCCGTAAACGTAAAAATGTTCTGTGTTCAAGAAAAAAATCAGACGGGACCTCCCCTTGGCGCGCGGCACTTGTCTTATTGCTGTCTGCTCGGATCGAGGCTAGCCCTAGATCTTGTCCTCCTACAGGGCCTCCGCTTCGGGCTCCTCTTCGCAAACATCTGCTATAATTGGTATCTGTGGCTCCTCCAGTTGCACCTCCTCCTCCTCCTGAAAAAGCTGAATCTGCATCCGTAATAGGAACCGCCGGCCCAACTCCTCCTGTTCCATCAGGATCAAAATGATGGTACTTGGACGAGGAGGCTGTCGTATATCTCCTATGATGATTGACGTAGTTGCAACTTGTTGTAGTACTAGCAGCTGATGAACTTGAATGATGAGTCGTCGCGCCACCTGTCGTGCTCGTAGTCGTCATATCTTCGTGATCCTCCATCATCAACGGAGGCGATCGTCCTTGTTTGAAGGTGCTATCTCCGAAGTCGTGACGAGTTGTTGTACTGCTCCTGTGATGAGCTGCGTGCTGGTAGTGTGGCGTCCACCGGGCGCGCGGTCGAGAAGCTCCGCGCCCTCCGCGGTTATCACGACCACCAAAAGATCCGCAGCGCGTATGCGACATTTCTTGGTCGCTTTCATCCTCATATACCCAGAGCTCGTCCGCATTCCCAACGACCCCGTTTTCGACACCACCTCGAAAATTTTGGTGATGCCTTGAGGAAGCACTGATCGTTCCGAATGGTGCACCAGGCTCGACATGTTCCTCCTGCACCTGCTGAAGTCTGCTGCTATAGCTATACTGGCCAGGATGTTGGTGTGGCGCTTCAGGACCTCCGCGCATCCGGTGTGGCTGGTTGCGATCCCGATCATGATCTTCTGTGCTCCTGTACTTAACAAGAACGTTGTAACATTCATTTTCATACTTTGCATCAGATCCTTCAGCAGCGGGAGTAGATCCGTCCTGATTTTGACCGCTTGGAGTTCGATCATCAAGCACGTTCCTTGGCCGCGCGTTCAGCGGCTTGCACGCATAAAGACCGGCAGAAGGTGGCGGCGGTGGTGGAGGTGGTGGGTGGGGTACTCTATTTTGCATCTGGGGTACTCTATTTTGCATCCTCTGCAGCTCGTGCCCGCACCTATTATCAACAGAACCATTTGTTGGACGTTCTTCTTGGTCTTGCCCTCCCCTACCCCTTTGAACATCACTACGATTAGGATTAGCATTGTGGTTGTCTAATTGCTTGTTTTCTTCAGTTTGCCCACCCGTCCAATAGCGCGATAGCGCGGATGCCCACCACGAGGTCGTTCTGCTCCCACTAGAAACAAGGTTATCTCCCGGGGGGCATAACCTCTCAGTGTCAGTGCTGCTACTGTCCACTCTACTAGCACCAGTGTTCATGTTCCAAACACTACCTCGATCCGGAGGATTTCCATCTGCTTTATGATTTCCTGCATCGTTTGGCTTGGCAGGAGAAGCAACATTAGAGCAAAGACTCTAAGATCTCGAAAAGCATTCCAGATGACGTTGTTGACGACCACGACGAGCGGATGCTATTTGTATGGTTCTGGTATTTGGTAACCTGAGTTTGATCCTAAGGGTTCTCTTCTTGTTTTCCCTTAGGATCAAATTCAGGTTACCAAATACCAGAACCATTCACTATTAACACTACCACCTAATATAGTATCTCAACTTCAATTTCAATATAATGAGTATTAGTATTTCTTTCTATACTATAATTATCTATATTATAAACCAAAACTTATTTTGAATGCTAAACAGGAGCGAATTTACGGCTTGAGATGTACGCAAATCATGGCAAAGATGTACGGGTGAGATGTATACGTCTGAGATATATATCTCGAGATATATATCTTATACGTAAATCACGGGAAAGATGTACTCTTGAGATGTACTTACACCGGGGCGATTCATAGTAGGTTTCCAAAATTCCACTTTTTTGAGATGTACGGAAATCATGGGAAAGATGTACGGGCTAGATGTATACATCTCGCGCCGTAAAAATGCCGCGTTTTTGAGTACAACTTTCCCGCGATTCTGCTCCTGCTAAGGCTTTCGGCAGTACCTCAAAACCCTGAACCAACAGCACAAGCCAAGGACTGCGCTGCATGGACAAAAATAAACGAAGAGCGAAGCGCCTCAGCCTGGGGCCAGTCATCTCATGAAGAAAATCCGCTGCGTCTGCGTATGTGCTACAAAAAGGACCCACATGCAAGCAAAGAAATGCAAACAGAGGCAAGCACCCAGCAGCTGCACGCTGAGCAAGTTAGCACCTGGGTGCTTTTTGGGTCAGGCGCCTGAGCTGGCTCAAAGGGTCAGACCTTTCAAGCAGGTCAAAAGTAGACAGCTACTTCATAAAGCTGCGCGCTTTGGATAAGGATTTCGAGCTGACTCAAAGGATGGGGCCGCTCAAGCACGTCAAAAGTAGACAGCAACTTCATAAAGCTGCGCCTTTTGGATAAGGAGTCTGAGCTGGCCCAAACTAAAAGGCTGGGACCTTTTAAGCACCTCGAAAGCGGACAGCAATCCCATAGGTTTGCGCTTTTAGGATAAGGAGTCTGAGCGGGCTCAAAGGGTGGGACCTTTCAAGCAGATCAAAAGTAGACAGCAATCTCATAAAGTTGCGCTTTTTGGATAAGAGGTCTGAGCTGGCTCAAAGGGTGAGACCTTTCAAGCAGGTCAAAAGTAGACAGCAATCTCATAGAGTTGTGCTTTTTGGATAAGGAGTCTGAGCGACGTCAAAGGGTGAGACCTTTCAAGCAGCTCAAAAGCAGACAGCAACGGTATAGAGTTGCGCTCCTTGGGCAACAGGTCTGAGCTAAGTCAAAGGGCGACACCTTTCAAGCAGCTCAAAAGGAGGCAGCAACTTCATGGCGTTGCGCTCTTTGGATAAGGGGCGGGAGCTGGGTCAAAGGGTGGGACCTTTCAAGCAGGTCAAAAATAGACAGGAAACGCATAAAGCCACGCGCTTTGCATAAGAGGCTGGAGCAGAGTGAAAAGGTGGGACCCTTCAAGCAGGCCAAAAGTAGACGACAGCAATCGCATAAAGCTGCGCGCTTCGGATAGGATGCCTGAGTGGCCTGAGCTGGGTCAAAAGGTGGGACCTTTCAAGCAGGTCAAAAGTGGGCAGCAATTTCTTAGAGTTGCGCTCTTTGAGTAAGGCGCCTGACTTGACTGAGTGAAAGCGCGGGACCTTACGAGCAGGCCAAAAGTAGGCAGCAGCTTCATGAAGTAGATTGCGCTTTTTGAGCAAGGAGCTTGAGCAAAGAAAGGCAAAAGGCGGGACCTCTCAAGCAAGCCAAGCCAAAAGCAGACAGCAGCCCCATGGCGTTGCGCTTTTTGGATAGGGTGCCCGAGCTTGGTCAAAAGGTGGGACCTTTCAAGCAAGTCAAAAGTGGGCAGCAATTCCATAAAGCTGCGCGCCTTGAATAACCAAGCTGGCCAGATCTGGGCCAAAGAGCGAGACCTTTCCAGCAGGTCAAAAGTGGGCAGCGATTTCATAGAGTTGCGCCCTTTGATTGTGGAAGACCTCTGAGTGAGCTGACTGAAAGGCTGGGACCTTTCAAGCAGGTCAAAAGTAGAGAGCAATATCATACAGCTGCGCTTTTTGGGTGGGAGGTTTGAGCAGAGTCAAAAGCTGAGACCTTTCAAGCAGGTCACTCAAAAGTAAGCAGCAACTTCATAAAGCTGCGCCTTTTGGGTAGGGTGCCTGCGCTGGGTCAGAGGGTGAGACCTTCCCAGCAAGTCAAAAGGGCCAGCAGCTTCACAGCGTTGCGCCGTTTGGATGAGGGTCTTGAACTGAGCCAAAGGGTGGGACCTCTTAAGCAGCTCACAAGTACGCAGCAACTTCATCGCGCTGCGCTTTTTGGATCAGAAAAGAATGGACGCAAAGGACAAGGCCTCTCGAGTAAGCCACAAGTAACCAGCAAGCCCATAGGCTTGGGCCTGCTTTCTGATCAGAAAGCTCAAGCGGCTCACAGATTGCATCGCCCAAGCACATGAAAGCCGCACAGCACTGCTCGCGTGGCGTTGTTCTTGTTCACTTAGATCAAAGCCTTGAGATGACGCATGCCCACACCTCTCGAGAAAGCCAGAAGCAGATAGGGAAGCTAAGCGATAGGGCGCAACTCGCCGTAAGCTTGGGAGGGTAAATGGCTCACAGAGAGCAAACGCGAAGCAGCTGAAACGTAGGCAGCAACGCGACACCATAAAGCTGCGTGATTTGGATGGAAAACCCAAAACGGCGCAAAGAGTAAAACCCCGCAAACAGGCCGAGAGTAGAACGGGGCCGGCCCCTAGTTCTCTCCACGGAAAAGATCCACGGTGGAGTTCTCATGGTGAGCGGAGTCGGGCGTAGTGCTTCGCCCACTATGCGGAGAACCGAAAGCGACAAGCCTGGGGCCCCCCTCGTGGCACTGCCATGCCAGCCGGAGACGCAACACACTCCAAGAGTAGGGGACCCACGCCCAAAACCCGGGCCAGGGGGCGCGCGAGGTTCTCACGGTGAGCGGAGTCGACTGCAGTGCTTCGCCCAGCCACTACGCTGAGAACCGAAAACAGCAGGCCTGGAGTGATCTGCTCAAGGATTTGACTCTCGGCGTATGTATTTGGTTACCCGTTTGCCTCATTCGTTCGAAGTAGTTCCTTTTGGGCGTTTCGGGTGCTGCCAGGGTGGGGGTTTATGTAGCACGTAGTAGCTTGTAGCGCGGGGCAGGGCTGCTTTGCTTATTCCATAGCCCGCCACTCTTTACGTAATTCGTAGCACGCCGGTAGGCCGTATGGATTTTATGTAACTCGTAGCATTTGCCAGACCCTTCCGCCCTGCCCCGGCGTGTGTACACGCCGGGGGCACGTGGGCGGTATTATAATCATCCCGAGAGCTAATGCTGGCTCTGACGACGGCGACGACGACCAATAAAAGAACAAGCCTTAATGATACCAGCTAATATCTTGGATGCTAAGGCATTTATCCGACTGGAACGACCTGTCGTATTGGCACCTTGATACTGCACGACAAGAGGATCTTCATCTAGTTCTTGAAAAACTTCTTGATCATCTTCCCTAACATGATTAGGTAGGTAATCAAGACCTACGCGAGTGGATGTTAATGATCTAGCGTTCTTAGCTGCAGTAGTACTTGTGGTATGCGGAGCAACTACGTAGTCAGCAGAAGTTGGGCCAGATGCGGAAACGGAGCGCTTTATTTGGTTCTTGGATGTGCAGGAGTCTGGCTCTAAGTGGTCGTCCACGCTAACACCACGAGCACGATGTTCTTCTTGAGTTAGAGCCCAAAGCAATTCACTTCTTCCCTTCGTTATCATTCTCTTTTAAGTAGAGGAAATGGAAAACAGAAAAGAACGTTGAGAAAGAGAATGACCGTTACAAATGAATAGTGTTGAGCAGCCTTAATTGAGTTTGAGGGACCATTTTTCTACTGTAGTAGCCAGAACTCGCTCCGTCATGCGACACAGTCCTAGTAGTCATCGAATCCTCGGTGACCGCAGCAGTAGCCTCGTCGTCGTGGGCTTCGCTAGGTGAACGCGAGAAGCTTTCAGCATGATGCAAGAAACGAGGGGCCTTCACAATCCGTTCACCTCCAAGAACGCCAAGTTGCCGTTTACTACGTTTAGTTGTTGTTGTACTTCCTGAAATTGAAGATGCCGATGCACTCCCTTGGTGCTGCTCTTGCACCTCAAGATTATCAGGAGCTCCTCCGCCTGGCAATCCTGTTGCTCTGCCTCGCTCCACTTTCATTCTGTTCGACGACATCATCCTACTGTTATTAGTGTAGTTAGAGTTAGTATTACTACAACTACTAAGATGACGATCTGCTGCTCCGCCCTGCAACTTATTCCTCCGACAAGAACTTATGGAGGGTACAGAGACACCGGGACACCGACGCTTCATCCAGTCTTGCGTTGTGCCTGGACCACTGTTTGCGTTTGCGGTACTAGCTCCGGCACTGATGGTGCGTGGCATCAGGGTGGAACCACTACCCTTATTTTTGATGTGCTGCTGCTGTCTCCTTGCGCTTGCAGCTGCGTTCGAGTTTGCCTGGTGGCTCTGGTCAACGCTTGTTTTTTCCACGTGGTGTTTATAATCTGCTGTTAGATCATTTACACTAGTACACATACTTCTACCACGATCCCCAAGAGCGTTCTTCTGGACGTGGTGGGAAGACAAAGGCGACTGGGGTAGTTGGTGCGCACCCCCCCTCGCGGAGGAGCTACAAAGATGAGATGAAACTGCTTGTTCTGAGTCGCTAGGTTTATTTTTCAGCTCTGTCTTCGGCGATTCGCGTCCACGGCGTTTTCCATTGGTGTTTTCAGGGCTGTCGAGTAGCGCTGAGGAGATCTGAGTGCCACTCTTCCTGTTGTTCTTGTGGCTCCTTGCCCTGGCCCCACTTAATGGACCAGGACCATTTCCATTTTCATTTACTTGTTGAGCATCGTCAGCCGACTCCGCTAGCAAGTCGTGCCATTTTAGCAATCCACCACCATCAGCAGCAGCATCATCATCTTCATTTTCTTTTTCGGCATCATCTTTTGCGAGACGAGGAGATAGGCTCGCCCCAGCTTGCTGCGGCTGCACCTCCTCAGCACCATGATGATCTTGAACATTCTTCACTTTGCTCGTATTCTCGGTCTTTTCTATAATCACAGCTCCTAGAGCGCGCTCTTTTTTATGTTCCGCCTTTACGCCTTCGCCACCTTGTTGCGCCGCTTGCTCTTGTCCTACTACTACTGGATTTGCTGTAGTATGTAGAAGATGTTGCACATCTCTGGTGGGCCTCCTGGTGGTGCTGACGCCCTTTTGCTGTTTCTCGAAGATCTTCTTGATGCTCTTCGATTGCAATGGTGACGAGGAAGTGCCTACGTCGTCGTCCTCATTTTCGGGAGCAGAATCGTGGCCGAGGCCTGGCGGTGGCCGTAGACATTTCACAGGAGCAGCCTGCGATGGAGCGATTGGAGGCAGAATCAAATTAGAGCCAGCTTGAATTCATCTCGGTCCCCTCATCTCGAACCCTTTCCCATAAAAGACAAGGGAAACGGGTCGTCTCGAGATGCCGAGAAAGATGGAGAAAAGCTGACCGTAATCAAAGGCAGAGGCGGCGGCTTCTTCAGAACTTGGCTATGGTTGTCCTTGTTGATGTTGTTGTCCCCTGTCGTGCAAAATGAACTAGTTGCGGACGAGCTAGAAGGAGCAACGCAGATGGTCACGGACGTGAGGTGGGACCTGCTTGGTTCACCATGAAGATGACCATCACTGCTTCCAACACATTTTACATCAGCTATGGTAGCTGAGCCTGTGCCTGAGGTCTCATGGCGAGAACACACATCAGCTGCGTCCGCAACCACAGAGCTGCCCAGTGTTGTGGAAGCAGCTGATGCGTGTCCGTCCTCAGGCGGAGTGTCACAAGAAGTACTTTGTTTTTCTTGGCCGACCTTGTTTTTCTTGGCCAGTTTCGACGAGGGAAGAAGATTCTTTATTTGCTGGCTTACAATAGGAACTACATCTGCCTCCAAAGTAGCTCCTTCTTTTCTTGAAACGCAGTTGTGTCCGCTGCTCGTCAACTTCGTCATGGTGATTAAGTCGCGTGGCGAGCCGGGATAGCCAGAATAAGGCACATGGGAGGAATCTGATAAATCCTCATCTCTTTCAAGATCATCGAACACACCACCAGTGGTCCGCGACTCGATTCGTGTTGTAGTAGAAGTAGTTCCCATCAACCGTTTCATATCATTCTTCTTTTTCTTCCTGCTACTTAAACTTATGAACGTCGAGGAGCTCGAGCTAGGTTGTTTCGTTTCTCCGCTACTTGTGATAGTACTAGAGTTTCTTGGAGAAGTCCCCTCCTGTGCAGCGTGGTCACTACCATCCAACAGAAGTGAGTCATCCTCGTCTCTTTCCGCTTGATTCCAATAATCTAGTTCTAGCTCATTGCTCGAACTGCTGCTACTTCTTAAACTTGTGTCATTCAGATCCACGGGAGTCAATAATGCTGCACTTTGCCTCGTCTCAATAGACGCGGCTGCTGGTGGTCCGGAGCTTGTAGTTCTTGAGCCTGTATCTCCTGCAATACAACAAGGTGAAGCACTAGCGGCATGAATCGCACTAGAAGCAACATCTTCACCTATTTTCTCAATGAAATTCTCAGGATCCCTCGTCGCATGGTCAGATTTATCGACACCAGTAGCTGCGACATCTTCTCTACCTACTTTTTCAACCTGCTTTTCTTCAGCTCCAACTTCTTTATCGTCCAGTTTATTTGCTCCACCTCTGCCCAAGCTGGGAGGCAACGGAGGCAGTATTTTTTCGGGTACTGCGACATCAGCCATGGCAGTTTTCTTCTCAGGCAGACGGAGAGATGATGCCGTGAACGACGTGTCGGTCTCCCTGGTATCATAAACACCTTTATTTCCTCCCCTCTGATTGCGATCCTGGTTCGATGTAGAAGACGCTGCGCTGGTGACCACCCCGCCCAACTGAATATCACCACCAGAAAATGGTGCGCAACAGGTGGCGGGAGATGAAACAGCACAGGCTCCTGCGCTTCTGGCACCAGTTCCACTAATCGTTCTTGTTCTAAAAGTTGATGTACCTGCTCCTGTACTAGAGTTTGAGTTCGATGAACAAGTTTTGTACTCGCTTTTGTTCGTATTCTTCGAAGCAGGTGCACCCTTGCTCCAATTACGAGCTTTAGAGTCATGACTTTGGGCACTGCCTCTACTGCATGCTTTTTGGTCGCCCTTCTGTTCGCCTGCTTTCTGCAACACGCCTTTTGACGTGCTGCTATTGGTACTTTTATTCAATCCGCCTTTACCGCGATCTGTTCGAGTTGCTGCTCCGTCGCTCTTTGAAACCACTATGGCCGCGTGAGACGAGTTTCCAGCTGCAGCTATGATAGACACTCCCTGTCCCTGTTGCTGTTCGGGAGCCCCCTGTTGAGATACTAGTATGGGCGATGCCGCAGCAAGTACCGGAGAAGAAGAAGCTGTAGCCGAGACCTCCGTACTAGATGATGAAATGGAGCATTTTGTTGAGGAAACAGCAACGGCATTCTGGTGGTGCTTCGTGCACGCTGATACAGAGGTAGAAGATGACGTAGCCGCAGTGGAGGTTGAAGTTTGAACGCCGCTCGTAATTTTCTTTTTCTTATCAGCCTCAACGACATCATGATAATTATTCGGAAGATTCTGTTTGTCTGCATCGGCCATGCCCTGCGAAACTTTCTTCAAGCTAGAGGCGTTCGGCAGCGGCGGCGGCCCTTGTGGGAGCTTGCATTTGGCAGCTGAAGCTCGAGTCTTCTGCTGACCAGCCTCTTGTGTCGACGGAGGTGCTGCTCCGCCAGGTGGAAGCGGTGGCTGGCTTGTTCCTGCGCCCCCACCACCTCCCCCTCCACGGCGATCAACGCCAACTTTAATCCACGAACCATAAAGATCACTCCCACTTGTTGCACCGTCTGTTTCGTCTCCTTGTGGTCGTTTCTTGTCCTCTAATGTTGAAACCAAAGCTGACCCTTTCTTGTTCTCTAATGTTGCGCCTGACCGGTTTGCGTCATCTTGGTGCTGTGAGTGGTCGCTGCTTGTGCTCTTTGTCCAAGTCGTCCTGCTCTTGGTCAAGTCGGGGACGACATCCTTAGTAGAGACAGAGGACGCACCAGAACCACCTTGAGCTAACAATTTTGCATCTTCTGTATTCATATTCTTTTCGCCGTTTTTCTTGACGATCTCTCCTTCCAAACAAGACGAACCGGCGTGGGCGGCTCCCGCAGCTGCATCATCTTCAGGGATGCCGCTCACACTAACAGCACACGAGGTCGCTGGCTCTAAAATACCAATAACAGGAGGAGTTATTTCCCTTGCTCGTCCTTTCCCTCGATGGTAGTAATCGGGTGGTTCTTTACATTTGTTAATCTGTCGATGTCGCAGCACGACAGGATCCGGCTCGGCAGCGTTATCGGTGGATAGCTCACTTTCATCGTGCTCCTCAAGACCCTGCTGACTCCCAGCTCCTGGTGAGAAAATGAGGGTCGTGATGAGGAAACGAGATTACATTGGCAAATGTATGCAGTTCAATGAAAATTAATCACACGACGCACCTTTATTTTCATCGTAATTCTTATACACATCCGATGCTGGTAATGGATGTTCACTGCTTTAATACCTGCTGCTGGACGCTGGTGTTGGACGCTGCTGGTTGCAGAGACCGAGACGACTGCCTGCGGCTTACCACGTTTCTCCTTCTTCGTTTTTGCGCTGCCTTTCACTGTTAATTTATGTTGTGTTTTTCGATCGTATTCGTTTAAGTATATAACTATATTTTTTGATCCTCAGTAGAGAACTCGAAGTTGTGACTTCCTCCTACAGAGTTCAGAGACGTTCGTCATATATATCGTACCTGTAGCTGCCTTGGGGATTTTCTTCTGATCTTGTTTTTGCGCGCCACCTCGTCCAGCCTTTTTTTTATTCCCCGACGTCGAAGTGCCAGAAGTACTACCGGAAGGCCTGTGAAATCCCGTGACTACGGTGATAATGACGACAAAAGCGGCAATTGTAGACGTCCCAGGTATGAAAGCGAGGAAGAGAAGTAGATGGGAGTGGAAATATGGAAGAGGACACTTCGAACAAGGACAAGAAGATAATGGTTTATGAAGTAGAAGTTACTATTAAGTGCAACAAACTAGTGCTGTTTTATCGGCCCTCGATACAAACATCCTCAAAGACTGTTGCTAGGGCTAGGATTTGGAGGAAACTTTTTTATGCTTCCACGTCAGAAGGACCAAGCCCCCTCCACCTGGTCTGATGTCACTCCATGAGAACAAGAACAAAATAAAACAAACGTCCAAAAATATGCCATACACATCAATGACAGACGCAATGATGTAGCTATCTTAGCGGCCAAATCGAAGTTATCAGCGAAACGCAAGAGCCACCAGCCGCTTGACGCAGCAAGAAAAATTCCGGTGCAATAAAACATGGCTGCGGGGTATAGGAATAGGTTGCACTTGTTAATGATCTAGTAACAAAATAAAGCGGCGTGGTCGTGGGGGCAATAATACAGCACGTCGTCGTTCAGGTTGGTATTATCTTTCTGGCTGCTGGGAGTGGAATGTGTCTGGCCACGGTGCTTGTGGTGTGCTTGTGGTATCTGTTGGCGCTTGTGGTCTGCGTCTGGGTACACGTTGATGTTGTCGGGATCAGCTTGCTCTACCCTCTTCTGGGCTGCTCTGGTTCAAGTTCAAATTCAAGTTCAGGGTATCCTACTGTTACTACAACTACTGCCGATAATTGTTATTTGCTACTAATCCAGCTAGGAAGAAAAGTGGTAGCTGATTCTTTTTTGTCTGCGATGATGTTGCTGGTCTTCTAGGTGCTTGAAGAATTCATCTAGTGCTATATCGATATCGTGAAGTCTGTTGATATTTCTTCTAGGCGTCGAAAACGAAAAGGGACGGCAGTATATAGTTTTTTTAGAGTAAAAATCCACCACGATTATAAATATATGTCGCAGCTATTCATCAATGATCTTTTTCTACTATGGCAATACAAATGTGAGTACAACTGCAGCCCAATTACAGATGAGTAGACGCAAGATCGTCAAACTTTAATGATAATACGAGAACGAGGATGACCATCATGAGCTTCTAAAAAAGTAGAGGAAAAGGCTAGAATGGAACAAGTGTAAAAAATGAAGAATCACAATTACGGATGTGAATACGGCAAAAACAAAATATCATAAAATTGAAAACCAAATTCTAAAACTGAGTAAGGAGGAACGCCTTCTGACGAGAGACAGGGGTTCACAACCGGCAGACCTCGACGCTGAAACAATCTGAATCTTAACAGTGAAAGAAAAGAATGTCAATGTCTTGTTCGCAACCGCACTCACAACTACTTGCGTATCTAGTATTAGAGCTTGTATATTTGCTGCGCGGGTCTTGCAGAGAGACTAGGAAAAGACACAGCTAAAGATTCCACAGCCACAAATTTCAATAATGTTGATCGTATCCCTATCCGTACTAGCCGCCCTCCTGTTGTAAAAGTTTACTTTCACATTCAGCACGCATAATCAGGATCAGGTTGTTGGGCAAGAAGGACGGGTGGAACCAGAAGGGAATTTATGTGTCTTTTTTGTCTTGTCCGGAGGTAAAAATTCTAAAAAGCGACTCTTCAATCAAACCACGATGTATCTGCATCTCTGATGTCACACGACAATATCTACTTGTTAATTCAAATCCCTCACCACGGAAGCAGTTAGGTAAGTCACTTTTTTTATGTTGTCTTCCTTATGTATCTGGTTCGTAGCGCTGTGGCGTCAATCACTGTTACGTCTAGTCCTCTGTATGTTCGTGCATCAAGGTGGCTACACATGCAACTCACGAAAAGGTCAGCATGCAGATGCACCAAAACCATAAATCATTCCTTATTCTTACACAGCTAGCTCAGCAATATCAATCGTCCTAGGGTTGGCAATATGTCAATGTTTGTCTCAATTGTGAAATTTGAATCAATAGGAGCTACTCACTCATATCTTATGTGGACCACTCATTAAGGTTTTTTCTAGTATGCCAAAGATGTATGAAATGTTTCCGTCTGTCTTTCTTCTTGTAAGTAGTTGTGCTTCTAATCTTTCTGGTACTTGTCAGGAGGGCGAGGGTGATCCTTTTATTTTGCAAGAGTGAGAACCCTCAGGGTCTACTTTTTGATGTAGAAGAAGATGAAGTAGAAACGTTGTTGTTCTTCTTGTTGTTCCGGAACTGGAGGTTGGCACTAATACCATGCATTGGCATTCTTCTTAGAAGAGCGAAGCTGTGCTTGATGAGGTACTAGATACTGCTCTATATGATCATTCTCGAGGCAAAGGTTGATCCAAAACCAAAACCAGTACCTTGTCCCTGGTGTACTACTGCTACAGCGACTGCAACTGCTCGTCATTAATTATATGGATGTAATCCCTGCTGGATCAATGATCATCAAACTGCAGTCAGCCGTCGATGTTTTATCTGATACGGTCTAAAAATCGCTTCACAGAGACCAATCTCAGCAGAGACGTTTCGCCTCTCGTGAGGCCCTCAGTTTATCTTTTGCTTTTCAGTCCAGCAAAGCCCATCGACTTTATTCACATCGACTTCGACGTGCGCGTCCTTTGACGTTCTCTACTTCTAGGGTTCGGAACTTCCCTCCAGCAATTTTTAGCAAGCCGATTGATATCGCAGAAACGAAGTGCCATCTGCTTGTTGATTTAGATATTTATGGTCGTGCTGCTGAAAAGTAAGTCGTCCGTGGTGGATGAAACAAGTAATGATCTTCAATCATCCGGCAAGAACAAGAAGTGTCAGTTGTCCGAAAACGAGAAAGTCGATCCTAGGTAGACGTCGATGAAGACAAACCTACAAGAAATATACTTTTTTTAACTTCATGTAGTGAATATACTAACAACTACTGCTAGTACGTCGTGTAGTACCCGTGTACGTAACACAAAATACAACAGGTGAAATAACAGGGAAAGAGTTGTCACAAACCACGATGATTTTCTTGTACTACCCTTCATATGTGCTTCAAGATCAAGCTTCTATCTTCGTTAGATAGTCGGATAGGATAGGAGGTGGTTCGCCGTCCACAGTTTGACCTGCATAGTAGAAGTAGTATTACATTAGTCTCATACATATTAACATCAAACCAATTGCAGCCGCGTGTGCATGAAGGTACTAAACGACCATGCAGAGCCTCCAGTAAGCGCTCAAGTTCATCAACATGTAAACGTATTCTTTATCCTTGTTGTTACAATGCTACATATACAATATTCAAACTTGAACCGTTAGGACCGGTGAACCAACACTACCCGCCATCGAGAGCTAAAACTTCTGCTCCTCGTTCAATCCTGGTAAAAAGTGTGAAACCAAAGCAGCACTGTATGTAAGAACTGTAACGAAAGGACTAAAAGATATCATCTAAGTAGAGGACTGGAGCCTACGGACGAAATGCTGCATGTATGTGTATTATCTATTGGAATTGACAAATTGGCGCGTACGTTGCATGTTCTTGTAACATCATTGGGACAAGGAGCCTGTAATATCTCGACCGATGTACAAGAGAAAGAAGATCAAAGAAGAACGCTGCTACAGCTGAAGCTAGACCGCTTAGAGGACGATGTCGAGCTGGACGATAAAGAACACCAAGTAGATTCAGAAATAAAAGCGCATATCTACTCGGAGTCTCCATTCTCAATCACAATGGATCGTGATTCAGTTTGGTATCAGATTGATATTGAAATTGATTGCTAACATCATTATCAAGTAGTTCGTTATAGCGTTAAGATGCAATACGTCGTGCTGGTGGAGAGATACGATACGAGTATGTCTCGAAGATAGCTTTGGCATTGGCGATGCAGCTAACACCACTAGCCAGCACACATGGACAGTTGTAAGCGTCCAAAGCATCATGGATACAGAAGTATATGCGGCGACTGGCTTCTTGTAGAAGTTCCTCTTCAACAACATCTCGATGGGGAGAACATCTCCTTGACAACGACAGCAAGAACATCCTAACATGCAAGCAGTGGAAAGTAAAGTGCACAAGCACGACCTCCTTCTTTCAGTTTTAATATGACGAACTTCTGCTATTCCTATTTCCTTCATGAAGAACCTCGATCGTCGGCAAAATAAGTGGCCGCTTAGGGAATTTCCACCTCCGTTTAAGGAACACAATCAAGTAGCATGATAGGGAACGAGGACGGAGGCCCGGAGTTGCAGCGTGCATCTGATGATCTTTCGGTTGATGAACTCCTACAACTCTGATCGATGTATAAGTACATAGAGATACAATTAATACAAGCGATTATGATGTCATGTTCTATTCGGTTTTGGGTGTTGGTTGGGGATAGTAAGAAAAGGGGGCTGTCGTCCGACGCGTGGGGAAGGAGAACGAGAAGCGTGGTCTCGGTCATCGAGTCGTGAAGTTCGTTGAGACTGAAAAAAGGTAGCAGCTCGTCAACATATCTGTTCATTTATTGAGCATCAAGAGAACAACGAAGACCACTGCAAATCATGTTTATTTCTGATGGTAGTACTCGGCTACTATCGTCCGCAAAAGACGAAGCATCGGACCTGTCCTCGGCTCTTCTTCATTCTCTGGAATTCTTACCTTCATCCCCTCCAAGCGGGAGTCGCACAACCGTCGCAGGTCTTGCAGCGCGCTCATAGTTGTATCCAAGAGTGGCTTCTGAAGTCCCGCCAAGTGTACGAAGATTTCAAAGAGTTCGTCTTCGCGAAGAGGATCTACTTTTAAGGACTCAACATCTGCTTCTGGTGCCCTGCTCGTCTCCTCTGACGTTGCTTGTTCTCGTTCGTCCACCTCCTCTTCTGCCGCTGTAGGAGACGATGACGAAGCGGATAACTTCTCAATAAGTCCTTCTAAACTTTGTGCCATTGCTATTGGGGACTTGTGTACTAATAACCGCTGCATCGCACCTACTCGATCATTTGAGCATGGCGACGATGGCGATGGCGATGATGCCAGCATAGGATTCTCTGAGGCAGACGCCGCCCTGAGAGCTTCAAGTTCTTTGCGCAGTTGCGTGAATGCTCTCAGTGCTAACGCGTCCTCGTTTTTCGGAGGTGAAGAAGTAGTTACTCTAGTATTAGTCGTGCTGGCTGCATCATCATGTTTTGTATCTGTAGCATCGTCTAGTTCTTCTGCGACCACTGTTGCTTTGCAGAGGTGCAATCTTTCGTACTGCACACGCTGCAAATATGCTGTGGCATCGAGATCTTCGATCTTTTCAGTCTGCCAGTCTGGCGCCACAGGCTCCGCGCCACCGAGGTCCAAGGCCAGTCTGCCCAAGGGCTCGTCATCGTCATCGTGGAGGTCTTCGTCATTATTATAGTTTCCTCGGTTCTTCTTGTGTTTAGTCGAAGAAAATGTGCCTCCACGAGACGTAGTTCCCGTAGTTGGCGGAGCCTGGTCGTGGTTCTGCTTACCCTTATCATGTGGCCTGGAATATGGTGAGCTTTTCGTAGCGATTTCAGTGGTTGATGTTGGTGCGATACTAGTAGCTGCGCTGCCACCTCCTGCACCAACGGCGGCCTGTTGAGCCGCACGCGAAGCAGCGCTTTTTCGACCCATATTTTGCGGTCGGAAGAATGACGATCACTGATACACAAACGACTTATTTTTGTAAAACGGTTAACTGAAAGAATTATGACTAGAAAAGACAACGAAGAAAATGCAGAACTAGTAGAATTGTATACCTGCAAAAAGAACAACAAGATCACGAACTAAATAAGTAAAGAGGAATTGAGATCATGAGGGCACTGAGTGAAAGTGTAAATGATCTGAGGACATCCTTCTAGATCTTCTAGTACGTGGTCAGCCATCAACATATTATCAAAAAATCTTCCCAACAAAACACGACACGAAAGACTAGTTAGTAGCTGCCTTGAATTGGTTGAAGAGCAGGGCATATTAGAGACTTCAAACATCCTTCTAGAATTCTGAATGAGCCTCTTGGACGAGAAACTACCACAACACACATATTATCTTTGGATCGATATTTCTATTGCTCTTTGTCCTTGTCGACAGTACGATCTTCTGGTTGCACTACTTGCACATTTGACAGTTAGTGATCTTTTTAGAACTAGGAGAAATCCATCTTCAGCAGCATCTTGGGCCTGCTTTCTCCTTGAAAAACGGTGTCAGGATGTCTGTGAAGATGCATTTATTGTAGCTTTAATCTTTGTCTAATATATTTTTGCCATTTCATCAACAGATTCAGATAGCAGCCGGAACGACTCTTGATTGTCCAGGATCCACACCACGATCTTGATTGTCTTTGTCACCTCCTCCTTGTCGGACTCATATTCGTATTTCAGATCTTCTTCTTCATTCCCATTGTGATTGTCGATATTTTGGGGAGCTTACAACGCATTGGACTCTTCGGAAATATGGAGGGATGAGAATCCCTAGAAAACTATCATGATCAATCTTTCTTTTTCATCTTCTTAGGGGCGTCGAATATGGCCAGAAAAACGAGGGAAACCAATGTCATGTTCTACGTGTAGAAGTATGCTCATGTGTTACTATGGGGAGTATGTGTATGTTGAAGGTTTTTACCTATACAACGGAAGTAGCAGCCACTGCGCAGCTTCTGTCCAATCAGTGACTGCTCTTAAAGCGAGGACATGAAGGTATTTTTCTTGGAGGAGATAGAGTACAAGCGGGTTGTTCACGCTCACCGCTTACTTAATATTTAATTTCACGTTGTTGAATCAAACAAGTCTAAAGCTAACGCTAAGTCAACAAATCACAATAATTTTCAGGTTTACCTTTGGTACCTTTATGAAGTCTAGAATTTCGATCAGATAAGATTTTCAGGACGGGGAATGCAGTGACGACCTCAGCTGCCTTCTTGACCGAATTCTGCGGTCCATGCTTCATTCCGGGCTATCTCGTCTGCTCCGACACTAGACTTTGTAGTTCCAGCAGCAGCGAGAAAATCCTGAACATTGGCAACAGGTTCCATCAGTTCGTCACTCGCAATATCCATTACCTGATGATTTTGATGATCATTGTGGAAAAACAAGAGCTACAACAAATGCTCCTCCACTGCTGCTGCTATTAATGAAGTAAGAAACGAGAGTTATCAACTACGAACAACTAGTAATGAAAAAAGGTTAATGCTGTAAATGTTCTCTACCTTCATTGCAATTCCCTGTGGATCCATAGGACTGCAAGGGGTCCACATTGCCTTGCCATCCCTGTGCGCGCGTTTGAAATGAGTTGCTTTCATGACCTTCCCTATCACAGCGAAAAGGGCGTCTTTGCACAACGTGCCCACATCTGCACCGGAAAAACCCTCTGTCCGTTCTGCGAGTAGCATCTTATCTTCCTCAGTCAGCTCAACTGGCGTGTCGCCGATCCCGATATCCACCATCGCCCGACGAGCGTGCAAGTCAGGAAGAGGAATATAGATACGCTTCTCGAACCTGTAGAGGTAGTTCGTGTGGTAGCTAGAGGTTTCTTTAGGTGGAGGAAGACGACAAATTTATTGAACAACGTTGGTCCTCGCAAAACTGACATATATTAACACGTCCAGCAGCATGATTGTTACAACAAATACAGTTGATAGTCACATGGCTAGAAAACAATGACATCAGTTAATGCGTAGTGACTTCTAAATATAAATCATAGATAAAGAACAATTAGTACCGCCTTCTAATCGCGGAATCCAGATCCCACGGGCAGTTTGTTGCGCCGAGCATCAACACGCCCGTTGTGTCGGTGCCAACGCCCTGCATTTGCACAAGGAACTCCGTTTTCATACGGCGACTAGACTCTGACTCGCCGTCTCCACGGCTTCCGCACATGCTGTCTATTTCGTCGATAAAAATGACCGCTGGCGTCGAGTCCCTTGCAACTGAAAACAAATTTTTCACAAGCTTTTCTGACTCGCCCTGCCATTTAGAAACTAAATCAGACGATGAAAGTGAAAAAAAGGTGCTATCCGCTTCGGTTGCGACCGCTCGCGCTAAGTGCGACTTTCCGGTGCCTGGTGGGCCGTACCTGAGGAAAGGATGACGAGAAATACTTACACTTACAGAAGACAACGATTTGGTTTTTGGTGGGTACAACTAAGAATGGTCAGCGAGCAGAATCTCAATGTCAAAACAAAGGAACCACAACCATTAATTCCAAATTGATTCAAACGCAAAACCTATAATACAAGAAACAGAAATTATAAGATCATTAGGGTCGTCAGGCAGGAGTAAGATTGAGAACTACAAAAACAAATGTAAGATTTAGTACAATAATATGCCCTTCCAGGGTTTTCTTTTTCCGGTGAACAATTGCGGAAACTTCACGGGTAAAATAACGGTCTCCTGCAGTAAATTTTTCGCACCCTCTAGACCTGCTATGTCGCTCCATCTTACATTGGGCTTCTCTGTAGTATTGAGGTTGATATTGAATGATTGGAGATGATTCAGATTCACGAGGAGTCTTCAGAGTGGTCTGTAGTTACAACTCTTGTTACTGTTTCTCAGAAAATGACGTACGCTAATGACTCAGCGGTCTAGGAGGTGGGACGAGAGAGACGATCGCGATTGCAAGTCTTGACTTAATATTATAAAATGTAAATGATTATGCAGATGATGTTCCAGTAAGTAGTGACACCTGTAACTATTGCTCCTTCGAGACTCTTTTTGAGCTTATCTGCTTCTGCATCGCCCCCTTCTGCTTTGTCTTTATCAGTCTTGCTGAGTGTTGCCCCGCCACCATCTTTTGGTGGTGCGGTTGGCGGAGGTGGCGGTGCGTTAGCTCTACCCTCGTCTGCTTCGATCAGATTCTTTATTGCCTCTGCTCGCTCCATAATTTGCTTTATCCTCTCGGTAAGCCTAAAGGAGGTGGAAAAGGATATTCAGGATCGGCAGGATGAAAGAACGAAACTCCATCAAAATGTTAAGTGGTCCTCGTGGTAGAACTAACTTCCCGTTTCACATAACCTACTTTCTACTCTTCCTACTAGTTGATTTACAACAACTATGTATATTGATCAAGCAATCCAATCTCAGTATTTGAATAAAAACAGAGAAATGCAAATCTATCTGTATTGGTACTGTTTTTTCAGGGTTGCGTTTTGTTCGTACTTGACGACGAACCACCAATTGTCAAGAGCAACTCGGTAGGCCTGGAGAACTTCCGGCCATCTGCCGCTGCCAGCCTCTTTTCTATCCGCCGCAACAGCCTCATTGTCGAGGTCAGACGCCTTATTGCCGAGATCTATCGCTCGCTGAAGGCTCTGTTGGTGGTTCATCTTGGGCGCCAAAAAAAATTTTGTCAGTGTTGTACTAACAGTCGTCGTTCTAGTCGTGGTCGTGGGGTCCTCTATTTTTCTGCTCTGTTCCCGAGCAGGAGCTTCAGGTTGCGCCGGTTACCGGTACTTGTTGTAGCTGTTTCCGTCTCAGTTTCGCTTGTGGGCTTCTACCGCTTGCTTGCCTTCAGTCTGCAGCTCTGATGGAAAATGTGATGTTTTTGATGCGCGGGCAAATTATTCTTGTCCTGCTTCCTTACAAGACGGAAACCAAGAAGATGTACAAAATGGCGCAGGTGTCATCAACTGCGTAGTCAGCGGCTGCGTCGCGCGGTGCTAGCATAAAGTTTCTTGCCCTCGCGTTCCCACAGTTGTTGCCACAACAAGAAACAAGGTACTCTTGCTTCTAGTCACTAGAAATACAGCGACAGGTGGAGGCCAATCGCTTGGCAGAGAACTCGACTAAAGCCACGGGAAACAATTCTTCAAGCGTGGAAAGCGATGCAGAAGCGTCGCCCGTCTACGCAAGAGCTGCCACTTCTCCACCTCCGTGTCACTGTGGCCAAATACTTCCACTTTGGTTTTGGCTATAGCTGAAAATGCGAGAAGTAGGTCAACATGAAGATAAATATATAATAGACTAAAAAAGAGCAGATGAAAGGTGAAAGAGGACGAATTGCGTAACACGACAAATCCAAAAATATCAAAAGTTGTAACGGTTACTTAGGGCTACTGTTCTACAGGAAGAATGTTTGCCAAATAAAAAAGGCTGACGCTGTATGTAGTTGATGTTGAATTGTGGGATAGATAAAATAGGGATGTTGAACGAAAGAAAGACGCGGGTGCAGGTGGAATTTCAGAAGTTGATCATTGGTCACAATCACATAAATACATCCTTTGTGTTGTTGAAAGCTGCTGCTTGAGCAACAATAGTAATAGTCATGACTACGAAAGCAGTTGGGAAATTTGTAGGACTCATGCAAAAAAAGTGTTTCTGATCTTCTAGTTCTGCTTGTACCTGTGGAACTTACAACTATTGATTATGTTGAGTATTGATCTGTCTTCAAGCAGAATGTGGATCTTCATTACGGAATTCAATAAAAAATATTCGGTGACTATACGATCTTTCACTATATGTTGAATATGTTGATCTTTTGAGCACGACGCAGAAGGATTTGAATCAGGTGCCAGACCGACTCTTTCGGAAGCAGTCGAATGACGACAAATCATGGCATCAATGATCTCTGTTGGACGCGTCAAGTTCGTATGTTGGAATAGCAATTTTCTGTCTATTTGAGGTCGGGATTTTAGGCCGAGAACCTGCAAGTGTTGGCTCCATTAAATGCCAGAGAGTTTATCTTGGTACCTGCCTGTAAAGTGAAGATGATGATATTCAGAGATCTAGTATTGTTCATAATTTAGATTTACTAAGTGAAAACAAATACATTTTTTATATGTAGGCGAGAAGACAGTATGCTCAAGAGGTATAATATTGAATATGGAGTGTGTAAAAACTAGTTGTATGCAATTGCAGCCACTCCCTCGTGCCCTGCTTCTCTTCCCAAAAAGCAACTCCTGTACATGCCCACATTTATATGCTTTATTTCGCTCATCCGGCATGCTATGCTCATGTGGATCAGTCGTTTTCGAGTTGCTAGCTGTCCTTCATGGATGGTGCACCTCCATCAGCCGATGCGGCTGACCGCAAAAGCAGAAGTCCTATGCATTCGCTCCTATAAGTATAATGCAAGTAGAAAAAATTTACATTTAGTACATATGACAAACTCAAACTCAAACTATGAAGAAGAATCTGGAGCGGATTAGCTGAGTATGCGGATGAAGATCTTTGAAACGGGCCACTGCACCCGACAATAATTCTACGAAAAAGTGTTGTTCATTCTTTTATGGGTTCTACCGACTACTGATGACAGCTGCCATGCCGCACAACATCGTGATGAATCATGCATAGAAGTATAATCATAAGTCTCGACCCCGCATGCGGATAAGTAGAACTAGAATCTCAGTACATGTGTCTACTAAATCTTGATGATTGGCAATGAGACTATAAATATGTTGATGATGAAGAAGTCTTTTCAGATGATGAGATTGTGTATCTTCGGCATCTGACTACCAGAAAGTTTAAAAACGTGGTAAGTAGGGGCCGCAGGGCTACTCAGGTCGTCGTCCCTTCTTCATGCGCTCGGCGCTCGATGCAGCTTCGTAGCTGTGTTTCTAAAAAGACTATTTTTGAGTGTAGTAGCGTACTTATCGCAATGAGTATGCTACTTTTTCTACTAGAAGCGGTGGAATGCTACAACTATTAATTCACGATCACGATGTCAAACAAGAGTTAATTTTCAATTTCAAACTACTTTTCAGTCCTTGCAAACAGTCGGAACTGCCTGCGTACGCTTGCTTCGTGGTTTTTGAGATTTGTGAATATGAACCTATTTGGATACTATTTTGCTATTTCTAAGCTTCAAGGATACGAAAGGAAATGACACAGAACCACAAGCACATTCCTCGTCATTTCTTGACGGCATGCGAGTGCTAAAAAAATTGACAGATAAGTAATCAGATACTAGATAGGATTCCGATAATACTTGTTTGAATCAAATTGATACCATGTGATGAGTAGGAATACAATCCGTTGTGAACAAGTCAATTGCAATTGAATGGATTAAGAATAAGATGTTGAATGTCTAGCGTACAGAGAATTCTTGGAATTCCTCTACAACTTGATCATTCTTTCGAAATTTCGATCGTAAACAGTTGTCGTTCTTAATGTCCTTCGTGTATTAAGTTTGGAAGAAAATATCATGGAGGACAAAGAAAGTAGATGTAAACAAAGTCGTGGCCGCAAGTGTAAGAAATCATTATCACTTCAATTCCTCTTTTTCGAACTCGTCAAAGTATTGCTCTGCCTCTAAATCTAATTCATCACTCCAAATAGAAGTCGAAGTCTACAACATGTACTACAATATTTTGACACCCTTCTTGGCATCCTTCCTCCTCCCCTTGCCAATATAAAGCACCTACCTCGCCGTAGCCTGGCGCTCAATGTGTGACATGTCCAAGTCTTTGAATTCCTCTGCAGAAAGCGCAAACGTACCGCCAAACAACCGCAGAGTATTCACGAAGTAATCGATGCCAAGAAATTAGAAGAGCCTTTTTCAGTAAAGTGGAGCACGAGGACGGCGATGAACAAGCAACAAAAAACAACAAAGTCAAAGTGAAAAATTCAATCACCATCACGTCCATGATTTGAGCTCATGATTATGATTTATCAGTACTGAGAGAGGCGGGATCAAAAAGTCATCATGATGATACAACTCACTTCTCACTTCTTATATCTGTCTCAATCTCAACATCAGGCGGCCACCAACAGGAAGAACAACACGTAGTTTGTAGTAGAGCCATAACGAAAGGCGGCTTTCGTTGCTAATGCCGGTTGATGCTGAGTGGCGTAGTCTGGTGCTGACCCGAAACGACAGATGCGCGATGGACATGTTATCTTCGAAGAGTCCCCTTTTCCACTTATGCTTGATGACGAAGAAGTACTAGATTTAGATCTTCCTGGAATAGTACATCTTGCGAGTCATCTTGGGTCTCTTTTCCCTTACAGGGGTGCCCCAAGATGCTTCTGAAGATGGTCACCATGGATTCCGGGAAATCTTAATAGAGGTTCTAGCGGAGCCGCCGGAGGTGCCACCCGTTCTTGTAAGACTACTGCCAGCACTTGTTCTTCTAGTTGTTTTAGTAGCATGTTCCGCATTCGACGCGGCCACACGCATGCCGTCAAGTTGAAGTAGTGCCACGACGTTCTCCCTTGATGTTGATGAAGATGATGTTTGTATTGATGATGTAGGCTCGTCGTTATGTTCGATATCGGTTACAAGTTCCCCTTGTAGTGATCGTGCCTTTCGTTGCTCTTCCAGCAGTTGATAGGATTTCTCAACCGCGGTTACTGGTGCGGCATCGGCAAACACGAGGTCTGGATCGACATGGTGCTCGACGCCACTAATCGTCGACTTCATTTTTGCCGTTGCCTTTAGCTCCTCGAACATCGGACTCGTGGCATTCACAAAATCCGAACACACCAAGTGCGTCTGGTCATACTCATTCAGGGCGGCGGCTTTCTCCATCTCAAAAACCGGACTAGCAGCATGAAATTGCGACGCGTCACACAGCATACTGGAATGAGTAGAAAAGTTAGAAGAGCTCCTAGACCTACAGCTGGTAAAGAATGGTACTAAGTAATCGAAGAGAACTTCACGACGAAGAGGGTGTGAGCAGAGAGCAGTATTTCTGCATCAACGCGGGCAGGAAATAGGTATTGATCCAGAAGGATTGAAAAGCGACCTGCTTCTACTACTACTAGTACGCAAAAGTTCAAGAAGTCCTTCTCGGTTGACCAGGCTCACCTCCACATGATTTTTAACCCATAAAGTAATGGCCAAATCGGGGCACCGCAACATTCATCAAGTTCATCGCGGTATCGAAAGATCCGTAGAGGACGAAATGCCTTGGAGGCTTCACGATTTGAATCGGCTCCGCATCCGCATAAAGCTGTGCGCCGTCAACGATCTTTAGAGAGTTCGTGCGGGGTAGGGTTCGTCAAGATGGTTATCATGCCTGTTGTACTTAGTTATAGCATTAGAATGATTATGATGACCATGACGATGTTTTTCTGTCTTTACAAGAAGCGTGCATCGGTTTCATCGTGAGGTAAAAATGATGCCCATTCTACTTACTTTTTTACGCCTTAAGATTTCTGGCGCGACGGCGACTTGTCTGTTTTCTTGTTCCGAAGTGCTTCTGCGGAACTTTAAGTCCTCAGCGGTAGTTTCTTCCTCCAGTACGCCTCGCATATCGTCCTCGAAGTAGAAGCCACTAGTCACCCCGTGGCCTGCCGTGTTGGCGGCTGCGCCTCCCGTAATAGCTTCCTGGTCTTCCTTTCGGATGACCGCCTCGCCCTGCAGTTCCGCAGTGCTCCTCTTGTTGGCTCCATTTGTAATTGTATCCGCTGAGTGGGTACGTCGAAGAGTCGACGTTGGAGTGCTAGGTCCTGTCCTAGAAGTAGCACTTGAGGCACTTCTAGAAGTTGTACTGCTGTCGTCTCCTGCCCCACGACGATTCTGTGCTTTGATATTAGTCCTTCCTGCTGTTCTGTCTACCAGTGTAGCCACCTGATTTTTCCCAGGCAGTAATGGAGTATGGGTTTCTGAACTGGAAGTGATGACGTTCTTGCACATCGGATCCAACCTCCCCACGCCGTCTATGTCCGGAGGTGCCTCGGTTTCTTGCCAGCCATAGAAAGGGTCATAGAAAGTATAGTTAGATAGAGGTATTGGAGCTCAGTCACCCTTTCTCTTATGAGTATCTATAATGAATATCCACGTCCATTTCCCTCTTCATTTAGAAAAAGAAGATGAAGACTATCCCGAGACCCCCGTTTGAAATCCCTTTGAAAGCGTCAACGTCTCCTTGTTTTCTCCTTCCTGGAAGGATGCTTCTGCAGATGGATTAAACGAAGCCTTAAGATATGCAACCGAAATGATGCCTGCAATTGCACTGGCATACTTGCTACAGGCTAACTGGTACGTAACGGCACTGCCACCGGAGTAGCCCAACACAAAAAACGGAACACCGCGATAGACACTTTTCAGTTCAAACAAGAACTCACCAAGCCACTCTGCGTCCTGGGGTCCATTATCGGGCTTCGGTTGGTGTCCGTTCGCAGGTGTCATCGCGTACCCGCCGCTGTGGCACAAACCTGAAACAGGAGAATTGATGACAATGCTTTTCCCCGTGATTTTGAAATTGAAGTAGACGAGAGCAACAGAATGTTGGATACTTGCGAAAAGGCAAGTGCAAGCCATTTACGAAGCTCTCAACACCTGGCGCTTCTTTCCGGAAGCCTTCCCAGCACGACGTTTTCTCGAATATCCCTGTGTTGCCTGGTAATGGATAGGTTCTCGGAATAGGGCAGATGACGATCATGTCGAGGGAGTGAGATAGCAGGGTGGCGTTCAAAGCCTCACCTTAGAGGTTACGGAATTACAGTCCTCAAAAGTTCCCCGGCTTCTTTTCTACTAAGAAAAGGGCCAGGGATGGTATTGAGGAGTGCAATTCGGAAACCCTTAATCACCATGCCTCCCACAGAAATTCAGCTCGTCATCGGCCTCCAACATGCTGCGGCCACCGAGGCCGATAAGCACGCCCTTCGCAACCCCCGAAAGCGGTTTCCACATGCGATATTGCAATGTCAGATTCGCGTAGATGAATTAGAAGGTATGGAGCGCTTTCTTCATCTTCATCATGATCATGATGACAAGAATTATTACTTATATATGCGCCCTACTTGGTGGTCGGTAAAGAATCTGTAAAAAATGTCGTAAAAAGAAGCGATAACGATAAAGATCCAGTTACAACAAGAACTGTAGAATCTACTGTCGTTCTCGTTGCTTTCAAAAAGTCTTTGGATCTTCATAAGAAAAGCTCGCTTTGCTCAGCCTAGGATCCGGAGCCCACTCATTGGCTTGTCTCGACTGCTGCATCAGCTCCACGCTCGACGCGATAGTAACACATTCTGGCGCGTCGGCGAACTTCGGATCCTTGGAACCGATGACGTAGCAAACTTCAGGCGTTCCGACGTCACGGCCCATAACGCAGGACATGCACGACACTGTGTTCACGACGGCGCCGCCCACCGCGCACGACTCGCAGCAGTCGCCATAGCTGTTGCGGTAGTAGTCGCAGGCACGCTCACGCACCGCGAATTCTGCGCGCCTGTCCTTGGCCACCTTCACGGCTTTTATCTGCCGTTCCTCCTCGCACTTCTCGCAAGTGGCATTGCAAGCGCGCGCTTCCGCTTGTTCAGCCCGGCGACGCATCTCCTCCGGTCCATAAATATGCAAGGGTCGCTTGTCGAAGACCTTTAGGTTCAATTCAAGCGGAACTGGATTCCACAATTTCGCGTTCTCCTGGGCAGCCTGCTTCATCAGAGTCTCGGTCTCGCGATCCGGTTTTTCCCATGCGTGGGTGTTAAACGGGTGCGCGGACTTGTGCTTGGCCTTGACTTGTCCAGCCTCGTTCTTCTCGGAGGTGGATGAAGAGTCCACCTCGTTTGCATCGGTCATGTCGAAGTCAACGTCGTCGTCGTCGATGTCAACATCGAAGCTGTGGTCTAGGTCGTCGTCTCCTGTCGAGGAAGATGAGGCCTCAGGAGCGATATTCCACCAAGGAATGTTGCCCTTGTAGCGCTCAAGCAGTGGCTGAATGGGTACGCAGCCGCTCCGTTCCTCGTCTGCAAAAGCGAACCCTTGGGGACACGCTTCGCACACAGACGCACCCTCGCGCGGGCACTTCGCACCCGCTGCGGGCATACCGCTGCCCGGACAGCGACAGACCCAGTCGGCGCAAATCTTCTTCTCGCCGGCACCTGCTTTCGGCTGGTACTCGATCGTGTGTGGCGGACAGAAGCCCGCTGGCTCGTGGATGCGGACCGACGCGCGCTGCCACAAAAAGTGATCCTCATTAGCTTTTCGACCGCCAGGCCTTTCAGCAGTTTCGTCGTCATCAGCCGTGTCTTCGCCGACAACACTAGCGTAGTTCAGCGCAGACAGTTCAGCGAGGAGCTTGTTGCCCACGCGTGCGAGTGAGAAGCCAGCTTGTCCAGTCGTGAAGACAACATCGTGAGCAGCGCCGCCGCCTGCTGCAGAAGAATCTAATGCAAGTGGAGGTGCCGCACTCTTGCCTTGCTTGGCTTCATCACCTTGTTGTAGTTGCTGCAGCTGCTGTGCTGACTTCTGTTCCGGTCGGGAAGAGGAGGTAGTTGTTGCCGCTTTGATGGCCTTCTTCTTGTCAGCTTCCGAGACGTCCTTCGTGTTGCCAGCGAGTGCAACGACTTTTGTGCTTTCTTCACCTGAAGATGATGTTGGCTCGGTATCTTCCTTATCAACACTGCGCTGGTGTGTACCTGATGATAATGCAGTTTTCTCAACGACAGGAGCACTGCCTTGACGTGGTGTTTTAGGTTTTTCTTTTTCTGGAGTACTAGTGCCACTTTCCACTAATTCCAGCAGGTCCAGGTGACTTGTTGGTGCAGCCCTCTTCATCTGTGAAGACCCTTTACTCTGCTTCACTATTGCTTGTGGTCCTCGCCTACTCCTAGAAGTAGTCTTCATGTATTCAGCTGTAGGCGTAGCTATACTGGAACTAGCTTTATTCCTCGGTTTCTTGTTCTCAAAATCAACATCGACGTCGGCCATCAGTGTTACCATATCCCAGGTATCGGCTACATTCTTGCCAGAAGTGCTTGCTTGGTCTTTATCCTTGTTAGCGCTCTTCCTAATTTATCCCCGTTGAAATCCCTCAAGCGTATGCGTCAGTATCCCCCTTGTATTAAATAAGGCGCATGCCTAGTACGGTTGTTTGAGGGATCATCCCTTCTATGATGTATAGAGATGGATTAGAGGAGGCCTTAATCTTGAGGTCCGCAATGAATTTGTCGCTGTAGTGAACTTCGAAGGGAATGCGGATTTCCGTCAGAACAGGTCGATTGATGCTTCCTAGGAACCACCAAACCAAACCTCCAGGCTCTTCAGCGCTGATCGCATTTGGAGCCATGCCACGGCCTCCTTTGTCGGAGGTGGAAGATGGTGCTGTATTTAGAAGTACCAACAATTACGACTACCCATCTTGTGCAACATCTTTTAACACTTTTCAAGTGGAAATTGGCTAAAAGATGGCGTAAAAGATGGGTTGGCGGTAGGACACGTAGTGTATCGGAATCAGCTGCAAGGTTGGAAGAATACCTATCGCGAATAGTTGGATCCACATTCCGCACACTGTACAGTTCCTGCGGGTTCTCAAAAATGAGATCTTGCAAGCTCTCGTGAGGACGATTACCTTCCGCAGTACTAGAAGGAACACCAGTTGTAGGAGGTAGTGCGCTAGAAGTTGAAGTTGTACTACCATCATCAACATCTCGACGTCCATGCAGATCATGCAGCTTCATCTGCTGCCTCTCGAAAGCGAAACTAGAAGTGCTACGGCTCTTCTTCCTCTTCTTCCTCGTCTTCTCCGCCATTGAGAAAGGTACTGGAGTGGTTGTCGCCTGTGGTGTGGACGCTGAGCCTGCCGTCCCTCGCACCTCTGTCACATTGACGCCATTGACCATCGGAACAGGCTCAACAGCATCGCCTTTGTTAGAATGAATCACCGCGTTCGCGTCCTCCTTGTCCTTCTGCGCCATTGAATATAATCCTCGGAGCTCCTGCCTTCTTTTTCAAGTAGAAAAAGAGCCAAGAATATTGAGGATGATGTTGAGGATGGATAGCCCTAACTTCAGTGTCATTTGTCACGTTGAAGGATTCCTCTTCCACATCAGTTGAGTTGTCGGAAGCTTCCAGAGCATCGGTGCCATTCCCAGACACCACCGTACTTTCATCCTTCTGGAGGCCCGTTTCATCGGTCGATGACTCGCTTTCCTCCTGCTCTTGACCGCTGCGATCCTCGACCGAGCTTTTCACTGAGCTAAAGACATCCGCAACAAAACATGAAATAAGCAGGGATCGAACGAATCGGAAAATAGAAAATGACGCGTACTTCCTTGTACTAGCATTAGCTTTAGCTAATAACAACAAAAGATCATATTTCGAATTCAATATACGTGAGCTTCTAAAGGCAAGGCATATAATTTTTCTGACACTGTTGAGTAAGTGTAACAAGAGTATAAAAGTAATACAACTTCTGCACTGCTAATACTTCTAGTAGTCATACAGCTTCTGCGTCTTCGCTGCCCGGTGGATCATCCATATTGTTGTTGTCCGCCGGCGCTGTTTGAAGTTTCTCCCCTCCGAAAAAGGAAACGATCTTCCGACCCATCCATGTAGCAAGGTCGTTTTCATCACTGTGCGTTGAGGATCTCTTTGTTTTCGAGAAGGCCTTACTTTTGTTATTCCTGGACTTGTTACCTTGATGTTGATCTCTCGAATCTATCTTCTCTCCTTGATGTTGTAGAACAAGCAGTTCAACATCATCGTCGTCCTCCGAAGAACTAGAGCTAGACTCGCTTGGTGTCGGAGTGCTACTAATGCTACTTGAGTTTGCGCCGCCGATGTAAGCATCGAACAAACCTTGTGGTAGACCCTCTCCACCGCTGATAGCGGAAGTGTAGTCAAATGGCGTCCGTGTCCCATTCACCCTACCACTTGCGTTTCTTGTCGACCTGCTTCCCTTTTCGAATGGACCTTTACCCCAGATGGCCTTCCACTTGCCTCCGGCTACGAAAATTAAAGAGGCGGTGGAGTCGTTAAGCAAGCTGAGGAGGAAATAGGCATAGGTATAGGCATATGAGAACTACTGCTGCAAGAAGGACACGGAACCACCAGCACATCAAGGTGTAGCTGTAGCCCTTGTTTGTGATTCGTAGAAATCACGTATGTCATTATACTTATTTTAGCAAAAACAAGATAAAGAATTTGGGGGTACTTCTTAAGTTGAAGTAGATGTTGACAAAAGGAAGCTCATGACTGCGCTGGAGAGAAGATCAGCATCAGAAACTAAGACCAACAAAATCGCTTTTTCACATTCAAGCTGAAGTGCATAAAGCGTGCCTTTTGCGTTCTTTCGAGGCTACTAATCGCGCCCAGTCTTGGTAGAGGGTGTCCTTGAAGTGGTCTGCTAGCGCAGGATGACAGTCCACGCCAGGTCTTTGCAGGCTGAGGAGACGCGGCAAAGCACATGGAGCGAAACTCGGAAACTTGGCTGATCTGCTATCGAGTCTGGCTTGCAGCATGGCAGGCAAAGGCGGCAGCTCAGGCTCCACGGAGTCCCCCACCCTCTTATCGCCTGGCAAGTTAGACGATGAGAAGCAAAAGCCTGTGTCTGGCACCAGCTTCAGATGTTGAAACCACAGCAGGTCGAGAGATCGTGGAAACATCTGAACCACGAGCACCTGCTCATCATCATCAATTCTAACTAGAAGTTGCTGAAAATATGGAGTCCTCCGAGCTCTGAAGGAATAGACCATAAAATCCTTTGACGGCATCGCACCGACCTGATGCTGTACAGCTAAGCGCAGTTCTTCACTACCCAAAGCGTGTTGCATTGCGGGAATATCGTCCAACCTGATCCACATTCGCACATCAACAGCAACGCGCTTCGCAACTAAAAGGAAGTCTTTCTCGTCACGCACGGTGCTAGTCGCACGAGGATTAGCGAGATCAAAGTAGTACCATGATAGAGTAGCTCAAACAAGTATATCGTTATCGATATATACGAAAAACTGAAATAAGCAAGTCATTACCGAGAATTTAACCGAAATACTGAAGAACAAAGAGTACTAGCCTAAGTAGCCACCTCCCCCCGCCGTATTTCAGTCAGTAACTCGCATATTTTCAGTTTTCGATATACTTCTGCGTAGAACAATTCGGAAATTCTGGAACAATAAATGCAACTCTACATCAATGCTTCTCTACAATGACGTCTAGAAGAAGAAGAACAACCATAACGTGTGCGAAGGTAACCTTGGGAGCGAGCCCTACTTCCTCGGCTTTCTTTTTGGCAGCATCTGTCATCGCCGGTCCAACACTTCCCTCAGTGGCTTTGAGAGTTTCTTTGGCTTCCTCTTTAACATCTTTTGCGTCCTCCTTGGCTGGCATCTGCAGACTGCGGTATTTCGGTAGCTGCGCGTGCGCTGTCTCAACGGCCTGCGTTATCACAGAGTGCACGTCGGTCTGCGCAATTGCCGGCGCAACAGCAGCGGTGACCGAGGAGATGGCAGCGGTGATCCATTTCTTCGACGATGTCGACGAAGATGATATGGATTGACCACTCTTGGTGGTGCTGGAGCTACCCGTGTTCCTAGTTTCTTGCTCCACCAGACTGCTTGACGGTCCTCCAAGTAGCTCCCTGGGCGACCCGTCTGAAGATGTGCCTGCTTCATTCATCTTCTTAGTTGTTCCTGCGACGTCTTCTTGCGCTTGCGATGGCGGTGCACCACGACTACTAGGCGCAAACATCTGCAAGATACCATCAACGATATTCTTTTCTCGTTGTAGGAGGCTCAGCGCTTTCTGGTGTACATTCGAAGAAGTTGCTACTCTGCTTAGAACTTGAATAAATCCATCACCATCTCAGTCACCTCCATCTTGGTCCCCGTTTTCCCTTTGAAAACGGGACAAACAAAAACATGCGGGCGAAGATGGATCTATTCTTGTAGTACCCTTAATCTGCCTGTCGTCTCTTCACTATCTTCACTGCTTCGTACAGCATGCACTTCTTCACTCTCCTGTGCATCTTCTTTCTCTTGCTCCATAGCCATCTGGCGTACCAAGTCTTCCGTTGTCTTGACCACAAAATCGCGGTCGCTTTTCGCTTCCAGCTGCAAGAAGTTGGAGACTGCAAGTGCCGCTGACAGCAACGCTCGTCGGTCACGAATCGCGCGCCCGTCGTGGTGCGTCTGATGCTCGTGCTGGCGCAATTCTACATCATGGTCTGGACGATCTTTTTGTGAAGATCTGGAAGCAGGCATCTGCAAAAGAGCTGCGGCTAGTCTTGTTGCATCAGGCGCAGCACCAGGGTAGTTCTTTTTACCACCACCTCGACGAGGACCATTTGAACCGAGAATCGTAGATAAAGATTCTAGCAATGCGCGTCTCTCTCTGAAGAGGCTATTCGCATGCACTACATCATCATGATCCTGCTCGTTGTGTCCGTTCGAGGACAAGGAGCTCGCTGAAGAACTTCTTCGAGGAGTGAAAATACTCTTTAACATGCTGAGGCTGGTTACCGCATTCTTGTGCTGATCCCCAATCGTCGCCTTCTCCACTCCTTGCGGTGCCTCTTCTTTTTCTTCTTCATCTGACTGAGACGCAGACGCTTCGTTTTCTTTACCAGCATCCTCTTTAGGATCATCCTGTTCGCTGACGCTGTCCTGGTCCTCGACGTCGTGCTGCTTGCCTGGTGTAGTTGCCTCCACTCGCATCAGCATCATTTTCATGAACCTGGGCACCACTAAACCTGTCACTCGAGGAACTTCGTTCAGAGCGTTACGTAACGCTGTGTCGATTGCTATCACCGTGTAAGCGTCATCTGCCTTGAATGCCTGCGGAAGCAGCATTTTCATCGTCAGCCGTAGATCAATCGCACCAAGGTGTTCGTTGAAAAATGTGCAAAAATTTCGATGTCGTGCTGGAAAATAGCTGAGCGGCATATGCTTTGTAGTTTCATCTGCCTTTGAAGATTCCTCGTTGGCGTCCTCGTCGGTTTTCCTATTTTTGAATGTTAGAGACTGAGACTCAGAGCGAGAAAGATTCAGATTTGAATAAACAAGAGAGGAGCTCTGTCTTATTCTTGCACCCGCCGGCCGAGTTCGAGTATTATAAATACAAATATGTTTCTCGTCCAACGAAAATATGAATATCACAGAACATTCTACTTCATCTAAGTTGTAATTCTAAGTGAAGTTGCAACCTAACCCTACCCCTACGTTAGGCTTAGCTTTAGAAATCGAGAAGGAGAAGGTTTGACTTTGCTGACCTCCTTCTCGTGTTTGGTTGCGCTTGTTACAGATACAGTGAGTCGAACAATGGGAATCTAATAAATAAATTCATCATCAATACTATGTATATCTATACCAGGTGACTAAGTACAAAGTTCTCACTAAAAACAAGACCAAGAGGATCTTAGTCCACATAAATGACATACAGATGGAGATACACTCTAGTGCAGTGGTCATAAATCTTCTGGCTTCTCCGCGAGTTCAAGGGCTGCGCGTCTTCTCCTCGCGTCCATTCCGTCACGGCGACGTTTAAACTCTGAGAAGAGCGTTGATCGTCGCCGCGGACCCGGCAACGGACCGCCTCGCGAGTAAAGCGTCTGCTCATCGATCATAGTATCTAGAAAATGGATGTCTTTATTTGAAGACTGGTGTTCTTTCTTCGAGGATGTTCCGATCGACATTGACGAGTGGTTTCCTTCAGCGTCTGAAGTCGACGTCGACATAGGTTCCTGCTGTGCTTCTGCAAGCAAGGTACCTGGTTCCGGAAGGTCTTCGTAGTCGTATTCTGTTTTCTCCTCGTTTGGTGCCGCAGTAGTTTAGCGTCGGCTTAATATAATATTCATTTCGGTCCCTTCATCTCGACCCCTTTCCCATGAAATGCAAGGGAAACGGGTACCAAGATGCTGAGATGGATGGATAAAAGCTGACCATAAGTAGTATTGGTGGCATTTGGAAGGGTTATTTTTTGTCTGCTATACCGATCCCCGTTGGCTAGTTGTTCTTGAGCACACTCTTGCTTGGTCCAGTGGCCTGACCAGTAGGAGAGCAGAAAGCCCATGCGGCAGCGGCATTTTGAATGCTTCCACTCATTGAGAATGTTGATAGGGGAATGTCGTTCCCCTTCTTTGGGCCCTTCTTACTTAGGTGAAACGACATTCTTCGATAACTTGGGTTCTCAATGAGAATGAGTGGTATCCTACACATTTGCTGAGACTCGGGTCATTCGGGACGTCACAGTTTCGCCGCCACTCTGCCTCGGACTCTAGCTTGGGTGTGCCGCACACTGGGTCTTGTGTTGAGTACTTCGATTTGACGAGGGGCAGCAACCACCGCGGACGCGCGGCGAGTCGGATCGCCAGAGTGTCAGTGTTCATGGCCTTCACAACAGCGGGAAGAGGCTTCGGCTCATCTTTGTCTTTCGAATTATTTTTGCTCGACGTACCAGCCGGTGGCGGTCCTCCTGCTGCGGCTGCCGAAGAAGAAGATGTTAAAGCCTTTATTGTCGATTTCGCCTTTTTCTCTTGTTCTACTTGATCAACGCCATCGATTTGCAGGAGCTTTGTTGAAGTGCTGCTGACAGACGATGTTGACGAGAGAGGCCTTTTACTAGGTTTATAGGGTGTTTCGAGGCTGTGCGCGCCTGAGGTGAGCAATCCGGTTGCATCTGCTTCTTGAGGCGATGCTGGACCTGGAGGTGCGTCTTGCGCCGCTTTCTCCCCACCACCGCCTGCGGCCTCAGTCGCACTATCCGCCAATGCTGCTAGCGACTCTTCTTCCGGTGATGCCTCTGAGACGGGTACACACATCTTACGAAACGGACAGCAGCGTCCGCTGAGGCACTGATAGGAATGCACGCAGTTCCGGCCAGCTGCTAAACCGTTGAGTTAAAGGGTGAATACATTTCTTTTTCAGAAAGCACTGATGAAGATGGAGAAAAGCATGTACTTAAAAGGGAAATGCTTCAACCCTTAATTGAGAACAGGGCAAAAGCCGGGAATGGCGTGGACTGGACCATCAAAGGCAGGACCCGGTGAGGGTTTGTTGTACTCGCGCGGCTGCTTCAACGCCATCAGAGGTGTGCTATCTACGCTGCACGTCTTCACGCATCCCTCGCGTCGACAATTCCCTTTAGGCCCTATGCCACACGCGATAGGGCAGTTGCACAAAAGCTGCTCAATCCCGAACTTCGAATACGGGATTTTTCGCGCTCTCATCATGGAGTTTCGCAGAGACGCTGGCGCATCTCGTCCACGACCACCCTGTCCAGAGGAAGAGGAACTCGTGGATGTGGCCCTGCCCATGCGCTTTCTGCTTAGCAACTTGCTTTGTGCGGACTCCAATTCTTCTCGCTCCCTCTTCTGATGCGCCGGTGACAGACTGTCGTGGAGATGGGAGAAGTCACGGTCACCACGCAGTTCGCCTTTTTCCCGCATGAAATTTCGGTAAACTTGTTGGAAGTGGTCACTACGACTGAGGGGTGCGTCTGTTTTTGCATCCTTGTTCTTCTGGTGGTCTACGTTCAAACGGCCCACTATGCCGGAAGTGAATCTGTCCTCAACAGGAGCTCCTGCTGCTCCGTCAGCACTGGAAGAAGAAGAAGCTGTGCCGCTAGAAGATGAAGTATGATCTCCGGACGATTTTTTATCGGAAGAAGCGATAATCACAGAATCAGCTGGAGGAAGCTGAAAAAACAAGAAAGATGTATTTGTATTTGAATTCTCTATTCGTGTTTCTTTTTCAGTTACTCCATCATCGATCCCGTCTATTTCGGTAATCGGTAACTTTTCCGCGCTTGTCTTGTTACCTCCTGCGGCTGCTGCATTTGTTAGAGCATCGCCAGGACTTGACTTCTCGTCAGAGCCGCTCCCTTCCGCACTACCATCTCCAGGTGCCTCATCCTCTTCATCGACAGAAGGACCTGGGTCGGGAAAGAGAAAGGGGAAGTCGTTCTCGTTGATCGTGCGATGTTAGCGCCTCCCCTAATTCATCCCTGTAGGGATCCTGCAAGAATACGCCTTACCGATACCGTCTCCCATGTATTGGGATGCATACTGTTGAGGGATCCCTATAGAGATGGATTCGGGGAAGTCTTAACGATAGGCATCGTGACAAGTCTCATCTTTGGACTTAGCACGCCAGTCTGCGCACGAAAGGTCTCCCTCGTCCCGGAAATCGACAGAATCTCGACAGTCGCTGTCGGCGTTGAATGCGTTCGGATTGATGTACAGAAATTGATCTTGACTCGCACTGGGGAGATACTTACGAACATGATTCGCGACTACCGTACTTCTTCTACTTGATCCTGATGTAGCAGAAGTAGCTCCTCCTGCTTCGCTCTCTTGCGAGGTCGATGAAGAAGATGACTCTGCTAGTGTTACTGCTTCTGCCTTTTGTCGCTCTCTCTGTTCTATCTCATGAAGATCTAGATCATCGAGGCCATCGAAATCGTCATCGTCACCCATCAGGTCCTCGTCATCGTCAAAATCATCTTCAGATGAAACATGATCGTCACGAAGTTTTGTTTCCTTTTCTGATGAAGTTGCGCCTGCGGCTCCTGCAGCTTTGGTTTGGCTCCTCCTGTCCTCGTTCTTCATTGTGCTATGTCCTACTTCATGGCTAGATTCTGCTTGGTCTATAACATGAGCGACTTCGAGAAGGGCAGAAGAAGTAGGTTGATTTGACGGTGCCTGAGCAGCCGCGACCTCTGCAGCTACTGGCTTGTTCTTTTTAAGTTTAACCCGCCTCTTCAACACGCACACAAGTTGAGTTGCTGGTCTTGCCTTGTGTGTTGCCGCTTCGAGTTCGATCTCCTTCTCCTTCTGTTCGTCGTCGTCCTCTAGTGATTTCACCTCTGCATCCTGTGTCCAGTGAATTTTCCCCGTTGGATGAGAAACTTTCCCTCTGCCTTTTTTGGGAGATGAAGAATCAGCAAGCATCCGCTGCTCCGCCTGAGTAGCAGTTGTACTAATAGTACCGGATGAAGAACCAGAAGCAGTAGACCTAGAACTTCCGCCATCTTCTGAAGACGATCCATCATGAGCCCGTCCTTGCTCTGCCAGCGAGGCTATGGCTCCAGGCGTGGCCTCCACGTGGTCGCCGACCAGAGTTCCCGCGATGAGTTTCTGGCCTGCAGTCAAGCTCTCTGCTGTAGCAGCGATGCTAGATGAAGGTAGTGGGAGACTGCTCTTTTGGCCGCGGTCGCTGCTCCACCTCCTGCCTAGAGACGACGAATCTTTTTCCAATAAACCGGCGCCGAACAGCTCACCAGCAGCCTCTTTCCAAGACGATCCTTGTGTGTTGAATACAAAGTGCCCATTGGAAATTGTGCGGTGACACCCAGCTGGCAGCCATTGATTCTTCATCTCTTCGACCTCTGCGCCGTCTGGTGCGAACTGGAATTGGAAATTACATTGACAACTAGTAGAATAGCAATTTTACAATTTACAACTGGTACAACTAGTAGTAAGTAATTCAAATTTTTAGAAAAAAAATACGAAGTCTGCAGCCTTGTGGCAGGTTTTTCTGTCGCGAATCGCAAGGCTCACGTACCTGTGCGAGAGCGAATCCGGACAATGCCAATTATCGTAGGCAGACAGGGTGTAACGCGAAACCACCTCGGGTACTCGGAAGTCGTCTATGTACGCGTGCGTGTGGTTGAACAAGACTCCAGCTTCCGATGCGTCCAAACCCTGTTCTTTCAGAGACACAAAAGACACTACTGGAACTACCGAAGCATAAGAAGATTTCTCATCTAGTAAGTTCTCTTTCGCAAACAGGGTGTACTCTCCTTTGTTCGGTTCACCAGAATTCACGACAACGTTCCCCCCTGACGAATCTTGGATAGTCGTCTTTTCATCAGAGGACCCACTCGAACTAGAAGATGACGACGATGATGTTGACAATGCTGCAGACGAAGAAGGGTCGCCAGCACCAATACTGCTTCTAGCAGAAACGAGGGATTCCATATTATGTCCAGTGCCGTCTTGTTCCGTGCTGTGCTCAGCAGGAGCTCGACTAAAGTTGACCTGAAGATGTAAAGCACCAGCAGCGCCACCACCTTGCCGCGTCATTGACGACGAGGACATCCCATCACTAGTACCACGAGGGTCGCTATGCGCATTCTCCTCTAATGGCGTTCTTGGTGTAGTTGGTGCACCACCCGCAAGATCATCACTGCTAGATGAAGTTGAAGTTGTAGCACTGGATGAGGACGAGGATGCGACTAGTGGAGGTCGTGTTGGTACGTTGTCTGGTGTCTTCTCTGGCAGCGGTCCAAGGTCTAGTCCTAGGTCCTTAGTGCTGCCCATGGTGAGAGAGCCCCAACGCCGATAAGCGACATCGCGACGCACCTTGCGCTGGTAGTCAGAGAGACTCGCATCTGGCATCGTGAGGTGGTACGTGTCACCTACGCGATCGGGGTACCAGTACTTCTCGGCTTCGCGCCGTCTCAGTTCCTCTTCACTTGGAGGGTTCTCGCGGTCTAGCATTCTTTGCGCAGCGGCACGCTTTTGCTCTTCCGGGGAAAGCGGAGTAGTTGAGCGGGGATGATCAGCCTCTGCTAATTTCCGCTCTATCCCAGGAACCTCGCCCGGTTGTACGTCAGCCTGAAAACGTCCGAAAACGGATGGTGAAGCAGGCCCATCTCCAACTCCAGCAGCTCCAGTCCTTCCCTGACCCTGAGCAGTCTGCAACACATCAGCATCACTAGTAGAAGTAGAAGTAGTAGAACCTGCTGCAGCAAGATTGAAGCTAAGTCCATTGCGACTTCGTTCACCCCAATCTACAAGCTTTCCAGGAGTGGTCTGCTTTTCACCAGTATCGTAGTCAAGTAGGACCGTCTGTTTTTCAGTTTTGAAAGCTTTCCTTGTTTGTTTCTGTCCTGCTGCTGGTTTCTCCTGTTGCAACTGGATATTTTTGGTCTCTATTTCGTCCCTATGCATAAGTAGTTCCTCCTCCTGGTCGTCAGCGACGTGATTGTTCTTTTTCTTCGCCACCGGTTCGCCAACCTGTTCCATAGTTGTGGTTGTGCCACTAGACGAAGACGTCAATGTTGAAGATGAAAGTTCTTGTGAGGTGGAAGACGACATCATGTTTATCGGACTACTCCCTTCTACTTCTTGTACTTCACCTTTATGTTCTTGAAGGTGAAGGTGATGATCTTGATCTTCTTCTTCCTGGCTTCCGAACAAAAATGTTGCGTTGGAAGATGCGTTGGATGTCGCATTGGATGCGTTTCTCTTGAGGCCCCCATAAAGCGTACTATTGGCCTCAATACTATTAGCGATGTCCACCAAGTCCTTAGCAACGGTGCTATTGACTTTGAATTCTGCCAACGTCTGCAAAGCGGTTTCCGATACGCCAGTCACGGCAGCGCCACTGCTCCACTGCCACGTGTTCGTTCCTGGCGGCTTGTTTAGCAAGGCGCGTTCCGCCTTCGCACTGCCAGTGTACAGGACGTAATCTCGATTTTCGTACTTCTCTGGGTTCCTGAAGTAGTCGGAGTTAGACCTTGCAGCCTCTACATTCATGTTCATCTTGAAAAGCATCTTTGACGCCATTTTCCATATTATAAAAGAGGTCAGAGATGAGACAGAGATGCTTTTTAGAATGAATTACGGTGAGGGTGAGCCTTAACGGAATCATACCACGAATTCGCATTGGCCTTGCTATCGCCGTCCGGCGTCGCCGCTGCCAGCATATCGTTATCCTCCAAAGTCGTCTTTTCAGACCACAACTTTGTGTTCACCGTCAACCCCGTAGTACCACCAGAAGCAACGGCCGCCTGCTGTGCTGCTGGTAATATCGACGCTGCTGAGAACATCACGTTTTTCCCGGCAGCAGGTGGGGCCAAAGTCGTGGCGCCACCTCGTTGACTCTGGTCTTGCATTATCAGCTGCAAAAACAAGAGCGCCACCTTTCTTCGGTCTCTCTCCTCAGTTGGGAAAGTGCTTTCCTGTCGCTCCAGATTTTGTATTCTTGCTACAACGTCCTGCCTGGCCGACTCCAACAGCATCTGCTTTTGTTTGCCGGATGATGGATCTTTTGGCTTCAGATTAGAGCTGTTCAGAACCTATGGTCCCCGGTGAGTTTCTTGATGACGAACAAGAGCAAAAGATAAAGAGCAAGAGGCTGAGTTCTATATAATATATACAGCTACAAGTACAACTACTAGTACGGGGTGCTGGACTAAAAGTGATATTGATCTAAGACGACGACGAGTGGGATTAACATAGTACTTAGTTGCCAGCATTGCCTTGATATCTTCTTGTTTAACATTACTAGCCATAATTCCCACAGTACCGTCGTCGTCTTTCTCTGTTCCACTCCGCTTTCCCTGCACCTGTTTATCTCCCTTCTCGTCCCACCCCAGTACTTTCCCTCTGTGAAACATTTTCTCAGCTGTGCTATGCCTCTCCTTTTGATACGTGAACGCGTTTCCCCTGTAGTGCTCGAGTATTGGCTCTGGAAACTTGACTTCACGGCTAAAACAGAGACTAGGCGCGATGCCCATGTCGCGACAGATGAGACTCCGCGCTAGCTTCACCCACGGACGGTCCTTCGCCAACAATTTTGCACTTATTGAACCACGCATAATCGTATGAATTTCGAGCATACCTGAAGGGTGAACATGAAGAGAGATAGTTACTCGTAGTTGGTTTTATTAAGCATTAGTGAAGAGATGAAACAAGAAGTACATGATTATGATAGTTACTTGGTGTTCGTGTTGGTTTTAAGCATTAGTTGTGAAGAGATGAAACACAAAATAAATACAGGACGAAAATTTACGTGTATTGAGCTGCTATAGCCTTTACCTCATTTTATGACATAGGAAGTTGCTTGTCCTCGTCGCTCCTGTCCTCCCATATTAAGTATACCTATATTAAGACGACTCTGCCACGAGAGGAGGCAACGCTCAAAGAGTCTGCTCTTTTTTCTGTACAAAGTGGAGCAGATGAAAATAGAAAAGTGCCTGAGAGTGATGGGGTCAGGGGCCTCCACCAAACTACTTTCCCTACGCATTACTAATACACGCACTTACCAAAGTGCCTGAACTCGACTTACCCTACGGTCATACACGAAATAGAAAAGTGCCTGAACTAGAATTACCGTTACCCTACGACCATCCACGAAATAGAAAAGTGCCTGAACTAGACCAAACCGCCTACGATCGTATCAGAAAGTTGCTTGTTGTCCTCGTCGCTAAAAATACCTGTGATGGGTTTGTCGTGTGAGAGAGGATATCGTCTTGAGTGGTAGGGAGCGCAGTATCGGGAGTCCGGCATGAAAACGAATCCCTCACCACATTCTCGACATGCATATGCCCCTTGTCGAATGCATCCTTCTTCCGGTGTGATTGCAGGCCAACCATTCTTGCAAAAACACCGGAAGTTTTCCTTCAGTAGACCCGATCCGGATCCCGCAGGATGACGTGGAGCTACTGCACCTGCTAAGTCTTCCTCTGGTGGTATTGCTGAACCTTCTTCAGAAGTTCTTGTTCCGTAATTCTCTCCTTCTGCGGTACTTTTTCCGCTGGTGCTGCTGATGGGAGTTGTACTAATATCGTCACCCTTGTTTGAAGATGCTTCTGAAGTTGGCTTGACATTACTAGTACCACATCTACCACCTAGAAGTACTTCTTGATTCGGTAGTTGTAGTTCCTCATAGTGGTCTTCTGTCTCTGCCCCTCCTATGGTTTTTCGAATTGTTGAGATGTCTGTAATATCAGTGCTGTTTGTAGTACGAGTAGTGGAGGCCGATTTGAATACTTTGGCTTCGCCTCTCTCACTTTCGGTTCCATCAAGGAAGTCGCGAAAGCCAGCACTCTTTGCCTGCTCCTCGTTCTGCATGCTATCCGTTATGTTGTTATCGGACGTCAATCTCCCCACGAACGCGTCCACATTATTTTCATTTTCATCAATGTGCAAGTCGGACACCGACTGCGTCTCCTTAACCTCTTCGGGAATTCCCGAAGAATTGGAAGAAGAAAGTGATGTTGTTGCGTCATTAGTTTGGTTCAGCCCTCGTCCCTGTTCTTCTTGCTGCTCCTGCGAAGACGTACTATTTTCTCCTGACGTCCACGTCGTTGCTCTGATCATGTCGTGTGCTCGACTCTCTCGTTCTATAAGAAACTCATTTCGAAGGGATGAGCTAGTGCCAGAGCCAGAGGAGGACAGTGAAGAAGAAGAATCTCCCAGTCCCAGAGCAGTTCTTGTGCTACTAGTGGAGTCCTCTGAAGAGGATGAGGACCTTGCACGGGATCTGGAGCTGCTGCCGTGGTGTTTTCTTCTCCCAGGACTGCTTCGCTGGACTTTCCTCAGGAAACGCTCTAAGCGGCCAACTGCTTCCCGACCACCTGTTCGCCTAGAAGCACCTAGTTGGCGACCACTGGACCGGCCACCAGAAGCCAGCAGAGCCGCCTCAACTGCCACAGGTGCTGTTCCGCTGTTGTAGAGCAGCTGCATTCCGAATCCGGCAACATGATCAACAACAGAGGGATCAACCTGATTACAGAGCTGCTTCATTTGGTGCAAGCCAAAAAGGCCATAGTACAAGAGTCTCGCACCTCCCGCACTCGCAGTTGCGATCACTCCTCTGGAAGAGGAAGAGGATGAGCCAGAGGATGACGTCTTATTCCACGAAGGATAATCAATGCGGTGACGTCCTCTTCTTGGTCTCATTTTCGGGCGAGAGCTAGAGGACGTCGACGAAGATGTTTTATTTGATGTAAACAAGCGACGTAAGCGATGTTGGGCACCGATTTTCGCTCTGTGGCTCGAACAAGAAATATGAAAAGAACATCTGTTATCTTCCTTATCATTATCATACTTTTCTGCTTCAGAAACTTGATAATGACAACAGATTTTCGTTTCATAAGAAGTAGTCGACTCGTATCGTATCTTTCGCTTTGTGGCTCCCATTTCTTCTAGTGTGCGCAATGACGCTGATAAGCGACCCGATCCAGCTGAAGATGAGCCGCCTGATGTAGTTGTCCCGGGGGCCGAAGATGGACTGTTGTTCGTCGACGAACATATTACTTCTTCTAGAACAGCATCAGCCTCATCTGTTCGCGATTTCGATCCTCTCATTCGCACGACGCTGCTGTGCTCATACGGCGTCATTCTGTCGGTTCGTGCTCTTCGAAGTCCACTGACATGGACACCATGATCATGCTGATCGTCTGATGCTCCATCACGTTCACTGTAGGTCCCGGTCGTTTCGGAGGACCGCTTCCTCTTCTTGGGCCAGTCTGGACGAGGCTCGGATTTGAGACCGGCTCCATTTTTCCCGCCGTCCACTTGGTCACGCAGTCGCAGTCCAGCCATGCTTATAAATTCCGTCACACATGATCATAGACGGACAGGAGTACTGCGAGCAGAGACATGAAGAATCAATAACCTGATCAGTGTGCTGTCAAGAATCTGTCAGAGAATAGAGACTGAATATGAATAAAATTTATCACAGAATAATTCTCTCTCTTCTTATGGAAGATGCCACGACCACCTCGTAGCCAAGATGAACTACTAGTAACAATATATTTACATTTTTCTACCTTTTTGAGAAAAAGACTCGTCAGTTTCCTTCGACTTCGAGTTCATCAAGGCTCTCGGTCGGGTCAGGTGACAGCATCTTCTTCGACGTACTAGTGATCATATTACTTGAGAAGTAGATTTTATCCTCCTGGTACCATGTACTTTTTTTTTTGGTTCAAAAAAGCCCCGCTTGTGTACTCGCAGACCACTCTCGTTCCCTCTATAGTGCGCTCCTCTAACGGCATGGCTTATCCCTCTACTTGTAATTGTGATGAAAACTCAGATGAAGTATCTACTTCTCAATCTCAGGAGCAGTACTTTTTCGCCCATGATTTCAAAATGTTACGATTTCAACAACAGATGAGCAGAAGGAAAGCTGCGCTTTCTCTCTCGATCGCAATAACATGATGTCGGGCAATTACGGTACTGGAAGGGTATAAAAGAACAATGTCACTTCCGGTCATGATGATGAGATACTAAATTTTTTTTTCATCGAGAGATTTCGATATGGGATAGGGATGCTTATGTTAAACCACAAGCACGGTGTGCATGTAACCGCACCAATCGCGATCTGCATGCAGGATAAAAATAAAGAGGACTTAACAAGTTTTACCTATGACATTATCATGCTGATTCTGTTTGGAGTCGCGTAAAAAAACATTTTCATTTTCCACCGTGACAAAAGAAACCGAAATCATCTACATGAAATTGTGCACAACCACCATCCTAAGCGTCGTTACCTGTGTTTTCGTAGTTCTTTTATCGGAAACTAAATAACTTGTTCTCGTCAGCACTTATTGTTTTGTCGGGACTGGTACCCCACGCGAGTACATAAACTCTAATAGATACGTTCTTAACGTTTTCCTTTTCTCCATTTCATTCATTATCAATGTTAGTACTTATTGACCTAATCTTAGGTAGTCTTCGTCTTGACACCTTAGACTTGATTTCTGAACCTTACAACTAAGTCTAAGTAGAAGGTATAACGCAGTTGTTCTAGACGATAGTGGATTAGTTAATCTTTATTAGGTCTGCTTAAAAGGTACATTCCTCAATTTTCGATGCCAACGGTTTGCTTTCGTCCTCGGCTTATCTTACTAAAAGCTGCAGAACCATAACTCGCCATGTATTTTGCGAGTCTCGCTGGAGGGATATCGAGCAGCCCAGTGTCAAGCACCAGGTTCAAAGCCAAGGTTAAAATGCCGGATGGTCCTCCTGTTATGCCATGCTTTTTCGCGTATTCCTCATAGACTTGCAATAGCCATTCCACACCTGGGCTGCCACCTATCGGTGAGCTTGAAGGTGTCGTGCCAGTTGCAGTTGCATATTTCGCAGAAGGAGAAGCCGCTCTTTGTCGTTGTTCATCCCCTTGTTGTCCTTGTTCTGCTTCCTCCGAGGTTGCCCCTTGTTCAGTTCCTTGTGCTCGTTCTGCTCTTTCTTTAGGAGACGCAGTTGATGAAGGCGCTGCTGTTGAGGCTTCCATTTCAGAAGGGCCTTTGGTACCAGAATCTTCGTCTTTATGAGAAGCAGGGCGCTTCACATCGGCTTTCACGTCCTTCTGCTCTTGTGCTTCCTCTATCAGCTTCGCAACAATTTTTTCACCCAGTTCGAGAAGCGTATCCGTTGTATCTACCTCTATTCTTTTCCGCTTAGCCGTTCTGACATCTGATGTGTCCTCCAAGAAATCACGAATCCATTTGAGCAGTTCTTGTCTATCAGAATCGACAAAGCTGCGAAGCACGCCTTTTAATCCAGCATCCAGCATTTTCTGTGCACCGAGAAAATCAAAAACGTCAGTAAAATCAGGAACCAGCTCTCCCAACCATTCGGCACTACGCCGGTAGAGATTGAACTTTTTTCGTGCAACTTCATGTTCTGACAATCCTCCTGTCCTCGGTGAGGGTGAAGAAGAATCTCCTATCTTCACATGTGTTTGTTCCGAAAGCTCAGGCTGAGAGGGAGAATACTCTCGTTCCTTTAAAAATATCGTTTCGTCCTCTGGCTGTACGTCTGACATGTCCCTCTGCGAGCCTTCTTCTACCTCTGCTCCAGACATCGTGCTGTCCTTCCCAACACCAACACCAACATATTCCACCTCTTCTGCCTTGTCCACCTCCCTAAGAACATCACCTTCTTCAACCTCCACCTCCTGTTTGAACGGCAGATTCAAAAAGGTTCGCCCTAGTACGTAGGAGACGTCGTTTAAGAGCCACTCAGGATCGGACATCCAGGAAGACGACACGGCGTTCCCCACGGCGGCAAAAAGTTTGTCGAAAGAATAGACGCGTTTCCACAACAGTTCGGGTATCTTTTCTTGCCTGATTTTCTTCGCCATGGCTTTCCAAAAAAAGGAGGCGCGAAATAGCCGCGCTGACAATGCCGCAGCGCGAGCGCCTAGAAGATGCGCCATCTTAACTTGCGCATAACGGGCTGCACGCGCTAATTCTCGATTCTTAAGAACAAATGTAACCAGTCTGAGATGACGATGAGCGGCTTGTTCAGAGTTCCCAGCAACTCCTCCTACAACCTTGTCCAGCTCGTGGGCTTCAATTTTTACAGCCTTGGCTCGCACATTGGCGATACGAGACTGCAGTTCGTTGATGGCTGTGCGTGCTGCCTCAATGTTTTCTGCGTCAGCGCGTCTCTCATGCTCCTCTGCTGCGACAGAATGGCTAAACGAATGCAAAAACTTCGTTAGTGCACGAACATCGCTTTTACGATCATCAGATTCATCGGAGGACGAGCCCAACAAGCCTTCTGCTCCATATTCACTTTCATCTTCATCTGACATTGATTCTTCATCATCCTTCGGGTTCTCAGCAGACACAGACGCACCGGTTCCATGATTCACGACTCTGGTAGTGGAAGACGCTGGCGCAGCAGCACTCACGGAAGACGCCGGTGTATTTTTTCCCGAAGTTGTAGAACGCACGTGTTTATCCGACGCTGTTCCTGCTGGAGCCCGCGTCCTCGTATGTTGGCCACGACTAGGTTGCTGTTGCTCTTCTCCTTCATTAGAGCTACCGCGTCGCATCCCTGAGCCCATCCTTGAGCCGCTTTTCCCCTTGATGAAAAGGGGGCCAAGGATGGATGGTGCTGAGGATGCTGCTTTAGCCTTAAGAAGATTTCGTTCCTCTTCCAAAACCTGAAGCATTTCCCAGCGGTAGTGTTCGACTAGTTGCTTACCCCGGCTTCCTGTTGTTTGTTCCAGAAAAACACTCCAAGCTCGAAGAGTGGAAGGCTCAACGCCCGCGATCGGTAAACGCAGTTGCGATATATCCTGTCGCTCTTGCTCCTCATTCTGTTGCATTATAAAATTTTGCTGACGCTCAGCCTGATCGGGGTGGTTCCTATTACTAGGGGAGCCATAAGGAAGATATGGTGACCCCCTTCCTCGTCGGCGTCCAAAAATCCTCGGTCTAGTATTCGCTTTTAAGCTTGGCGACATGTTGCCACCTTGTTTTCCACTGTTTAGTTTGGATGCGATTTGTTCTTGTGGAATAGTTGGACGTCTACTTGTTGTTCCACCTCCACCTCCCGCACCCGGACCTGCTTGCAGCGTCTCCGCAAATAATGTCGTCAGCATGGCTGGACTCGCAAGACCAGACGTTTGCTCGTTATCGCAGAACTCAGCTTGCAGTTCTCTATCAACATGATCCTGCTCAGTCATATTTAGCTGAAAAATTCTGGAGTTCGTATCACCACAAGTAGTTCTAGTTGCTCTTGTAGAAGTTGTACTTGTACTTCTTCCACTACACTTAACATCAGCTGAAGATCCTGATGCTTGTTGAGCTTGTGCTGATCCTCCGTTACAACGTGTACTACGTGGTACTGGTAGTCCTTGGAGTTTTTGTAGCATTAAGCCAATATATGGTTGCTTCTGTGTTGTGTGCACCGTAGCTGCTCGTTCATGTTTTTGCGGATAGAACCTGCGTTCGTCAACTTCTGCTGTCCACGCTGGAGCCTCCGGGAGTCCTGCATAAACAGCGGCTTCGAGCACGCCGCGCGCTAGCAGGCAAAGACACGTCTCGTCCAGGTTCAACAGCCCGCCTGCTCCACTGCTGACTAGCAGACTTGCCCAATATTCCGCAGAGACGAAGCCCGATTCAATCTCAGGCGGAGATTCTGCTTGTGACAGGATATCAAAATCAATCTCCAAATTATCTTCTTGTTAGAAAAAGTCAATTATAGCATATACCGAAGGGAGTCATGTTGTACATGCTGTATCTATTTTTTATATAGGAGGTATACGGATTCGGATGGTGCCCGATGCTCGTCAAGATCAAGCTCATGCAAGAAATGCTTCTGCTTTGCAGTACTACAGGTGCTGGAGGTCGAGGTAGACTTTGATTTACTTAGCCTTGTCCTGGGCCATACTTGCTAGAACGCTGCACAGTGTCGAAGCGTGACAGGATACTGTTCGGAACGCCATCTTTCCAAATTGACAGATCTACCTCTGCGTTGTCGGCTCTTTTTAGAGGCAAGCTTTTTGTGCTTGGAGAGTAGCTTATCTCGGTAGCTATCAGCTTGTCAATATGCCTTTCCACCTCAGGAAAGACTACGCCTAAGGCCAAACTACTAGCGGTAACTAAGACAGCCTTAGCAGGAAACACGAAACACCTAAAATCAAAAAATCCTACCCGCATCCATAAAATGTGATCCGGGATTGTTTCGTATGCGTGTGCCAGTTCTTTGAAAATGACGGCTTGCAATTGTGCGCGCTTGAACCATTGCATCATGCGTCTGTCGTCTTCAAATAGGCGCGCGAGGGACGCAGCAGTGCCTTCCAATGCCTCCAAGGTGAGAGCCTCTTCCAACACTTCGTCCACGCGTCTCCTGGTTTCATGGTGTTCCACCTGTTTGCATTCGTGTCCTTCCACTCCTCCTAGAGAAGTAGACCCTTGTGCTTGTCGTGGAGTAGACGCCCTTGCAGCATCTCTTAGAGGTATGCTCTTGGTGTTCGTTTACCCCGCTCGTTATGCCTTTCCCACTTCAGGAAGGCAAAACGAACGGCAACAGGAACACATTTAGCCTACTGTCCTTAAATCTCCTCGTCCCGCGGACGACGTCTTGGTGGATTTCGGATGCGCCCGACGTTGTGTGCCACTTTTGCTATGGGAGGGTGCGCTCTCCTCCTGCGTTCCTGCTACAGCGAAACCTAACATCGTATGATGTGAATGGGACGAGAATCAATGTCCAATGTTGCAGTTGCACATTGACATTGATCATAATGAAAAGCATAGGAGAACTGATGTTCAACGTCGAAAGTAGAATACAAAACGTTAAACTATTGATCCTGATCGTTCTGGGTTCTGCTGCCCTTTGAAATTCTAACTATCATCAACTTGATCACATCAACTTCAACAACATCGTTTCGACTATAAGTAATACCTTCTAGCCAGTCAGCCCAATCCTTTGGCAGTACATATGCGCGCAAATTCTTCAACGTCCACATAGCGGAAACAGAAGCTAACGGATCCAACGTCGCCCACCAGCTGCCTTGCAGACATTGAGTTTAGAGCTACAGCTTTCGCATCGGCACCTTCCTCGGGAGTCGTATCTTCTTGTTCTTTTCCAAGTAGAAAAGAACCAAGGAAGATCGATCTTGAGGAAGAGGATCATGCTTTTACGTTTTTCTTGTTCTTTTCCAAGTAGAAAAGAACCAAGGAAGATCGATCTTGAGGAAGAGGATGCTTTTACGTTTACATTTTTTAGTTTTTAGCCTTAATGGATGAAGAAATCCAAGTAGTTCACGTTCTTCTTCTCCGTGACGTCCATTGATTTGTCCTTGTAGTTAATTGCAGGGTTTAGAAGTCTCGCTTCTGCCGCTACAGCTTGCCTTGTTTCCACATCGGGGACAAATATGGCCGTCTGCTTCTCTAAAATCTTGTGCTTGATGAGCTCGACTTGAAGGTTTACCGAGGCCAAACCGTAGCCGCGATCCTCAAGGTTGAAAAGCTCCCTAGCCAATGCTTCCAATTCTTCTACGTGTTTACATTTCATCAACCCCTCGAACTGCTCATCCTGAGACCTCGCTTTCTCCTCTTCCTCAGCAGGTGTTCAAAATTAAAGGTTTCTCCGTTCGATGCTCAAGGTCATCAAGTGCAAGTGCAAGAACTATAAGTAAGTGTATTAAGAGATGTAGATGTTCTTGATGATCATGAACAAACTTCATAAACTCTTCTTCTAATTGTCTCAAGAACTGAAGCGAAAAGCACAAGTAGTGATGATGTACACATTTTTCTTTTGGTACTAGGCTCTGAGCAGGTCATAACGATCTTGACTCCGAGCAGGCTTCTTTCCTTTCTTATGCTTCTGCTGGCGAGATGAATCAGTTGTAGGAGTCCTCTTCTGTTCTTTTTTACCGTGGTTGCTTGGACAAAGTGCCTCTAGACCGACAGTGCTTACCTCGTAAAACCAATTTGCGACTGCTTCCTCCAAAGCCTCCTCTGGCCGCACCGACATCGACAGAAATTTACCTTTCTTCTTCGCTGCAGAGGCAGGTGCTCTCCCTCTAACATCTTCTCCTGAGGCTCTCGGAGGTGGTGTCGAAACCTCCGCACTAGCTCGAGTAGTCCCTTCTGGTGCTTCTGCTGCTTGTTGTTCTTTCACCAGAAACGCACGACGCTGACCATCTAGAACTCGGGCTACTGCGAGGAACTTCGCCCGGTTGCGCTGCATCAACACCAGAGCCTTGACCTTATGACCGTAGTCGTCTAAAACTGTGATGAGTGAGTCGACCGCCCGCTCAACGAAGCCTGTTACGGCTTGAAAATGGGTGTCTGATTCTAACATAAAAACCTTGCCCAAAAGTCTTGTCATTTCTTGTAACGCGCCAGTTCCACTGATACTACCGACATGATTTGCTCCACCTTCAGCGTTGCCGACGTCCTGTGGAGCACCTCCCACCTGCTGAGCTGCGTGAAGATCGTTTCCATGATCATCTGCGTCCATCTGTTGAATCCCCATCATGCGAGCCCAGAGGTACCGAGCAGTTGTTCCTTGCAGTAGCTGTCTCCATTTTGATGAAAAATGGTCGCTCCGCAAAATCGTTGAGAGCGTCTCCCACATAGTCGGACTCAGGTCATCTTCGGGGTCCTCGAGTTCGCCGAAAAGGTAGGACAAATACGCAGACACAGCCTCAGGATCGACGAAATCAAGGATAAACGTGAAGATTTCACGCAACAACTCGGCACACCAGTATGAATGGTCCCGCTTCAGATTGATAACGATACTCACTGTACAACAAGCTGCGTACAACAAGAACCGGGTACGATAGAGCAAGTACATCTACAAGAAGAATATGAATAGATCATATATTAAAATAAGTAATCAATGTCAATCATCTTCATCTATTTCTATTTTTCTTCAACAATTAGCATGACTGCTATTTTCTCTTTCTCATCAATTTCATATTCATCTAGTTTCAGATCTCAATCAGCAGTGAGACCACGACCGCAAGGATCATAAAGAATCATAAAGAATCATAAAGAATAGTTTTCTGCCAGCTCCATGATAGACTTTCTGAAAATGATCGTATAAGAGGAAGACAGTTCATCATCAGCGTCCTCCGCATGCAAGACGTATGAGTTATCGTTTTCCTCGTGCACTTCATCGTTCGCGTCCCCTCCGGGCGAAGTGTCGAAAAACGATGTCCACTTAATTTTCTTCCCGTGCGTTGCATCGAGAAAGCGGGCTACAAACGAATGTAGAAGTAGAGCCAGGCGACGTAGCCTTCGCACATCCAAGAAGACACCTAAGTGGCCTCTCGTTATCTTCTCCTTCGGTTGAGGTTGTGTCCTCCCATGATCATCGATATCCTGGCCGCGAGCAAGTAGCTGGTGGAGTACTGACAGGAGTATCTGGCTGGTTGTGGAAGAGCTGGAAACTATAGCAGAGTCGTCACCTTTATCTTCTACAACCTGTTTGATGCTTTCCTGATGCAGCACAGGTAAATGTAGTATGCTCTCCCGATCTTCCAGTTGCTGTTTAACCGACCTGCTTACCTCCGCAGCCTCGTGTCTCTTGTTTGGCAATACGTTGTGCTGCAGCAGGAGGTCATAGAGTGACCCCGACATTTGGAAAAGGGACGCGAGAGAATATCCCGAGCTAGGAAAGAGGGAAGTGGCCAGAAAACTACCACCTGGACGCGATCCTCCAGGAGTGCTCGTCCTTCGTTTGTGGCGTGGCTGGAAGGACTCATGTCGAAGATGGTACCTCTCTAGCGTGATATATCCCTCAGGAGTGAACAAACTCGTCACAAGTCCGCGCCCTTGAGGTGCATCGAAATCCTCCTCGTCATCATGTTGGGAAGAGGCTCCTCCTACTACTCCTCCTACCCCACCTCTTACCTGTGCCTGTCGCTGTAAATGCTTCTTTGCTTTTTTACTTCTCTTCGAAGAGGAAAATCCCGGTCCCGAACCCGTCATCGACATATCACCAGTCTCTGCTATGAGCTGTGATAATTCACCATCAACTATGAAGCCATGATCCATTATCATTCTCACTCTTTTCTACTTGTAGATTAAAAAAGAGCACTGCTCTCGTGTTGTCTTTGCTTGTTTCTTGTTTCGATGAGCTCCGGGCGACGCGTACGATCCCGCCGGATTTCTTTGATTTATTTGGATAATAGACAGCAAGTAGACGAGTTGTACTTGAGAATGATAAGAGATAGTGGCTCCATATCAAATCGCAACTGCAGCTTTTCCCTCACCTCAGCGAACGTTCTGAGTACCATGTGACCGTCTTTCACAACCATTAGTACAGCATCTGCACCTTGTCCTGCATTTTTCCACGTGTGTCTTTAGAGCTACCGCGTTCGCATCCCTCAGAGCATCCTCGGCTTCGTTTTCAGGTAGAAAAAGAGCCAGTGATGGTCGTGAGGATGCTTCAGCGGTAGCCATAACCATGTCTGTAGTTCAAACTAACAGTATTATCTTCTTCTCCTCCTTGATGTTGATGTCCTGAACCTCCGCCGCCACCTCCTTCATGAGAAATACTTTCACGTACTAACGCAGTTTCTGGCCTCGCTTCGAGGCCCTCAGGAGCTGCGCTTGCGCCAGAGTCGAGCTGCCCCTGCTGGAGGTGCTTTCTTCTAGTTAGAGCTAAGTACAACCGCGGCGCATCGCTGAGGCCATCCCTGTGCCCTTCTCCCACCTGAAAAAGAGACCAAGGACGATGCTCAGGATGCTTCAGCGGTAGCCTTAATCTAGCACTATATGAGTTCATCACTTCCTCAAGAGCATGCAGTTCTCCATCGCCGATATCTCGTAAGTTTTTCGTAACGTCAAAGTCGAACGCCTGGACATCACTACGAGCGTCAAGTTCAAAGATTAGAGCGCGACAACATTCGAGGTCTAGACCAACATTCGAAAAACTGAAGTAACCGAGTAAAAATAAAAAACTATCCTCGAATTTACTCGCCTATTCTAAGATTAATGATTTCGAATACTTAGTATTAGTTGTGCTAATTAATCTTGATGCTAATCTCGATGCTGATGCCCAGTAAGTTGTCTAAGTAACTAGAACTACGTAGTTGAAAATGATGTTGCGTATGCGTTCATCGAGAAGATCATGAGGGCCTAGTTGTATAACTCATTTAATGTTGCCCTACTAGTGCGAGCATCTACGGTTACACGAACCGAGCGTGAACCTATCATCTTATACCAACTTAAGTCGACCTGTTGTCGCGGGCCATAAGAATTCATGAGAGCTGCTTAAAGCTCGCGAGTCGTCTACGTGAAGCGCGATGCCATGTCCACCATCTAATCTAGTTTTAGAGCTACCGGCGCGTTAGCATCCTTAAGTGCATCCTTGGCCCCTTTTCTACTTGAAAAAAGGCCAAGGATGACGGTAAGGATGCATCAGCGGTAGCGTTAATAGTCTGGGGCCCTTTGGCGAAAGTAATGTTCCCGTCTTCCTCTTGTATACCCTTCCACGACCAAACCACAACCTTGGCCACCTGATTTTTTACGAAAGTTAGAAGAGGTGCAGTGGCCCCCAGCTCATCTTTGTGTTAGGGATCCCGCAGGATCGAATAATGTGCCAATGCCTCGTCAGGAGTGTCAGTGTGTACCTTGTCCCGTGTAAATATTAATCATATAATTTGGGTAGGAGCGCAGACCCAGACGATGACGCGGCTGCGGGATCCTCTTAGACCTAGAGATGGATTTGGGGGAGCCTTAAGAAAGGCAGCAAGTGGCGGTCGAATACATCAACGAGGCTCCCGACCGCAGATGGCAGGAGGTGATACCGCGCCAAAGTGAGACGTGTCAAGCTCTGGCGCCACCACTTATACCGAAAATCAAAAAGTTCATCGAAGTCTAGCTCCTTCTCCTTTTTGCTAGTCTCAATATCGTTCATATTCTCGTGAGAAAGTGAGTCATTGACATCCGGATATTCTACAACGAGCTTATGACTCTCGACGAACGACACGAAAAACTGGTGGTACGCAGTTTCCCACTTCTGACGCAGATTCTCTCCCGCCTGCTGAAAAAGAGAGCCAAACCCCAAGGCGTGCAATGCCATGTCGCCGTCTGTTTCGTTAGGAGTTTCACCTGAAATAGAAGCCGCAGCAGAAGCAGCAGCAGCAGAAGCCGCCTCTTCGGCGTGTCTTCTTGTTGCTTGTGCTTGTGGGGGCATTTCTCCTACTTCTTGGTCGTCAACGTCGTTATCGTCTGCATCGCCTCCTGCGACATCTGCAACTTTTTGCAGCAACGCTTGAACTACGGGTGAGTCTTTTGTTAAGAGTACCTTGTCGTTTTCCATCGGTGGAGTCGTTGTACCAACGTGGTCTTCCTGTGGCGTCATCTCCTCTTCTTCTAGCTTTACTTTTTCTGCAGGTTCCTGCCGCGGAGCGAGACCGATATCCACCTGATTCATAGCAGATTGTGCCCGTAGTAGTTGTAGTTGCCTGTCGTCTTCTGCGGCTGCTTGCATACTCTTGACTTCGTACAAGCATGCTGGTAGTGCACGCTTGATGAGTTGGGATCCTTCCAACGCTGTGTCTTCGATTAGCAGACCAAGGACCCATTTGACAGGGGATGCAGCACTGATGTAGAGCCAGTCTGTTTCAGTGTGAAAAAGCAACTCCTCGAACCTCTCTTGCACCTGCGGTATATCGAAAAACTTTGCGAAAGGGGACAGCAAAAGACCCAAGGGGGCCACAAGCTCTTGTTTTTAGAGGTCGAAAAATTTTGAACGTCTTGGACGAGATTTCAATTTCAATGCATGTTGAACATCTACCAACACCCAATCCGAATGTCAATGTGGTGGCGCGATGAAGATGTGACGAGTGCACCATGATCAGTGTATGGTGCGTATCATGATCTTTTGGTAAGTATGTAGCCATAATCTTTCTCAATTTCCTCTTGCTCAGGCTCGGGGGGACGCGGCGTTTCGTCCTGCTGTTCCCGCTCGGCTTCGTCCGGCTGCTTCAAAGATTCACGACCATGTTGATGTTCGACGTCATCTTTACAACTGTGCTTGGTATTTCTTAGATCGTCATCCTCGTTTCCTGTGGCTTCAACAGCGTCTTGTTGGTGTTCCGCGACTGAAGAGTTGTTCCCTGTGCCTTCTACTACTTGTCCGCCTTCGGTTTGGTTCATAATTTCATCGGCGTCTTCTACTGGCTTCATCACTAAATCAGGAACGTCTTCCATTTCGTCCTTTTCCGCTGATGCTGGACTCGCTACATCAACATCACCAGGGCAAGCGCCAGCAGGTTCACATTCCAGAATGACTTCGTCCTGCGGATAATCCTCTACTACAGCCATGTCAGTCGCATGCTCCTCCACAGCTAGTGCCTCGTCAACGACAGACTTCTCATTCTTATCGATAACTTCTTTGCCACTCTCAAATTTCTGCAAGAGAGGCGCAGCTGCTGCTAACTCATTGAAAAATGGAAAAAGCGTGAACGTCACTAGACTTTTGGGTGCTCGTTCTCGAAGTGGATCATCTTCAGCTAGATGAGTAGTATACAACATCTCTCCTGGTGGAGGAGTTTCTCCTGGTGTCTCCTCGAATAGCATCTCGTGAAAGAAATCCATTCCAAATCCCAGTGTCTTTAGAATTCGAGGAAACAAGCCGTCCTCGTGGTATTGGCCAGACCTCTTCCACAAGCCGTCCTCTTCCCCAAACCCTGCTAAGTCGTTATTAACCGCCTGCACATCCTCGCTGGTGGAGGGTTGCGCAACGTTGGGGACGGCAGGTGCTGAGGCTGAACTAGTTGGTTTTGTCTTAGTGGTCTTGCTGGTAGACGTGCCAGGTGCTGGAGGTGTAGTTGGTGTTGTCTGGCTGGTAGGAGTACTGGTCGACGTGAGTGGGGACTCCCGATTAAGTACTGGCGTTTTGGTTTTCCCAAGGGCAAAGCCTTCTTTGAAAGCGAAGAAGCCGGCTCCGATCTTTAGTATGCCAGACGCAATCTGCGAAAATCCATTCCCTATTGCAGACGCCATGCCTGTCTGAGGCTGTTCATGTACGTGTTGATCTGTTATTTGGGCAGTATCTTTTTGTGAGTTACTAATTGTACTAGAAGCATGCGAGGATGTAGCCAGCTTTGCCGCTGCATGATCTTCATGAGCACGAGCTGCAGAGAACATTCGCGACTGCAGCTGAACTTCAAGCGGAAGGCGCGACGTGGTCGAGGCCATCTTCCATCTTCGGTCCCATGTCTGCCATGATGCGTAGGTGACATCCGCTGCTCGTGCTAACGGATTACCACCTTGTTCTAGAAGGTACGAAAGGGCGCGAAAGGTCGTGTGCGCGTACAGCACTTCGCCTCTCATATGCTGTGTGTCCTCCAGGAAGGCAGGCGCTATCGAGATAATGCGTTCGGCGAAGAGGGACTCATACTCGTAGACTAGTCGGTGGCCGTAGCTTGGCGGTTGCGTGGGGTCCAAAGAAACCGGCTGCGCCAGTAGCGCATCTGCGCGAGGAATACTCTCTCTACACAAGGCTTCGAATTCACTCTTATGCTTCTCTTGTGCTTCCTGTAGTAGCTTCCGCTTCTCCATTTCTCGTTGTTTTGCGTCTTCGTCGTCCAGACAACCCAGTTGCGTCCTCAATGCATCGTCCTCTTCGTCGTCTTCTTCTTGTGGATTTTCGCGACAACCTGTATAGACCTTCGCTGTCAGGTCTGTTGTTTCTTGATTAGGCTTGTGCGGGTTGTCAATCATTAACACGCAGCTATAATTCAGCTTGTTCGCGGAGGAGTGTTCTTTCAAACCCTTTACGGCCAAATCGTGAAGATCATTCATGTCGCGCTGTAGTGACACTAGTGCAGAACTAGTAGTTCTGAACTGTATCGCGGTTGGCAAATACGACTCCATCACGAGAACTCGAGCTGCTACCTCCTTCGACAATAAAGGCAGTAGAGACAGTCCGTCTTCAACACGACACTCAGCCACTACTCTTTCTTGGAGGTGTGATCCGGGTCGTGGTGAATGTTCGGGTTCTCGTGCTCGTCCATCTCCTACTACCGCTGAAGGCGGAGCGGGTCTTGCATCTCCTACAGCTACCGCCGAAGGTGGAGCGCGAACATCATCACATCCACGATAGCCAAGTAACGACATATCGTCATCCAGCAAGCGTTCGAGATCCCCTAACGCCAAAATCTCTAATGCGGTGTAAAGTCGAGAAGTAGAAGAGTGGTCTGTAGTATGAAGATGTTGAAGATGATGATCATGATCTAGATCTGATGTACTACCCGTACTAGTACCTAGATGCTGCTGCTCATCGTTAACGTTATCTCGCAGTTGTTGTCCATGAGCATCATCGGGTTCCACTTCATGATCTTGAGGTTCACAATCAGAACCATGATGAGGCCTGGCAGCACTTCCGTCGGCGAGGTTGACGCGAGCGACGTCGACGCGATCGAGGTGGTCCAAGTTGTCCTTCTCTCTCACTCTTCTATTTTTCACTTCTTCAGGAAGCCATGGTTGCAAAAGTAGAGGTATAGAGTATCCAGGAGACGAGAGAACGGCTTGGGTATAGACCTGATGTTCTAGAGCCCTCTCTTGGGCCGCTCTGTGCACAGCTCCCTCTGGTGCGAGGGCGTTCTTCAGGAACCTGATTAGTTGGTGCATCTGAAATGTGCTAAGAGCTGCAACTTCCAGTTCTTCTTTCAAAGGCATTGACGAAGATCGCGTCTCGTTCTCCATCCGGTTGTTGCCGCCTAATCGTGGTGCCGGATGCAGCACACTCTTGATCGCATCGAAGTCAGGCAGCCGCTGCCGCAGCAAGCCATCCCGCCTTATAATTGCGGCACTCTTTGTTCTTGCCCCTTCTTCGTCGGCTGAATCGGAGGACGACAACATATGACCTCTAGTTGTATACCGAGATCGCACGTCTGCCCACAGAAGCGCAGCATAGAAGATAGCTCGAAAGCGACTCAACGTAAACGATTTTGATCTTTCTGCGCTCTCGGCATCGTCGTCCGCGTGGCCTAACATTTTATCATCGTCTACTTTCGCGTCTTTTGCGTTTGCTTTTGTTCCTGATGTGGCCGGCGACCCACGTTGTTCAGAAGTAACATCATCTGAGGGGCGGCCCCGACCTCGTCCGGGAGCAAAGAGTTTGGGTGGCAAAATCCAGCTCCGAAGTGCATCTAGGTCCCGTCTAAAGCCGCCGTTCAAATATTGGGCTGCTTTTTGTGCCAGAAAACTTTGCAATCCCGTCTCGAAGTACGCAGAGCGTCTCAGAGATTCCTGAAACCTGTCGCGCATGGTACCGAACAGAGCGCTCCCGCTAGCATCGAGCAGCGGCAGCATGACATATGATGCAAGAAAAGCACTCCGAAATCTACTTTGTTCCTCCGAAAAGTAAGCAGCTGCCGCGGCCATTTCGTCAACTTTCTCTTGTTTCCGAAGATGTTCCTCTTTCTGTTTTTCCATTTTAGTATTACTAGTTTCATTTTTGGATTTTTTGGTCGCAGTTCCTAAGAAGATATCCGCAAGAACAGCCCACGGCCTCCATCGATTCACCAGAGAGTCCGCGTAAGCTTGCAATGGCGTCTCAAATTTTAGCACGTACAAAGCATCTCGTTTTTCCCTGTTGAAGAGTCCGAGTCGTGATGCGGATGCGAAAGACGGTAAATTATAGCCACCAATCTTCACGTGCACTTCGTCTTCCTCAGTCAGCTTACGCGTCCGAGGCATTTGAAGCATCTTTTCCACCTCCGCACGCACCAACTTGCCAAGGGCCGAAGGTGTTACCGCGTTCAGGCTGAAGCTGAAAATGGAACGCGTCGTAACCGCATCTATGAACCGAGCGCCTAGTGACTTCAGCTTGCCATTCGCCCAATAGGCACTGTTCGCCGTCGCTGTTGCAGCAAGCTGCCCTTGTAGTTTAGGATCAGCCAAGATGTCTCTAGAACGAAGACCAGGAGCAGACAAACTAGATGAAGAAGGAAGCTGCTTTGCTCGCGCTGCTGCACGAGGACCATCCGCACAGGCTCCTCTAGGACCACCAAGATGATCATGAACTTGTTGACCATCCTCTGTAGTAGAATCCTCTGAAAAAGCCGTCGTCTGCTGCTCTGCTTGCCCTGTAGTTGCAGCACCCACTTGTTCCATCTTTTCGGAGGTCGTTCTTGGGTTTGAAGCAGCCCACCTTCCGATTTGCCTCAGCAACGCGCGTCGCAGCGCTTGCAGTGGTTTCTCCAGGAAAAACTCGGTCCAGAGTGCATCGTCCCTAGTGTACCGCAAAAACGTGTGTCGTGGTCCGCCAAGTCGTGCAGCGTGTTGGAGTTGGTGCCCCCCCTGGCGCATATCATGAGTCTGGTCGTGCTCGTGGCGCGTCTTGTTCTGGGTCTCCTCGTGTTGGGATTGGTGGATTCTCTGCTCCAACGTGGTCACGACCATATCTTTTTCAAACCTTTCGAGAATTGCTAGAGTAGGTTCAGCAAGGTTGTGAATCCAAGCGTTGAGAATCTTTGGCCCATGTTCCGTCCATCCGCGAATCCTTCCACTCCGTACGGATGTAGCGGCACCTTCATCCTCAGCAAGAACTGAATCTGGAGACGAGGGTGAATCTTCACTGAGGTGACCACGACCTCGACCTGCTCCCATTCGCTCTCCTGCATGTTGTGCGTCCACGTCCACGTCCATGACATCATTTTCAGGCACAGATCCGAGAGAGCAGATGATGGCTTTTTCTCGCTTCTTTCTGCTCGAAGCTTTTGGATCTTGTTGATCCTCCGGTGTCCGTGTTAGTGCCTTCATTTCTTTGTGAGCATCAGCATATTCAGCATCGGCGATCATGGGATGCACATCCACGAGGACATGATCCCCTCGTCGAGATGTTGTTGAAAGCACTACTTCTTGTTCCTCGTTTTTACAAGCAGTAGCAGGTCTGGGGCTTGCCGATCCTGCACGTAGTTCAATAGAGCCTGGCAACTGGGAGTGGTGACCTTTATCTTTTTCCGCCACGGCGTCCATGTTGCTGGATGCTTCTTTAGCTGCTCTGGCTTTAGCAGCCTGCTTTCGCTGGTTTCGACGTTGCGAGTGCGTCAACTTCGACTTCTCAATTTTCATCTCTGAGACCTGCTTGGCTAGAAGAGCAACTTGAGTGGTGATAGTGTCATCATCATGATTATGTGTTTTACTCTGACTTTGCATCTTCTTGAGAGACACAGACTCCGCATCTTCGGGCTCCTCCATCGCACCTGCGCAACATCCTGAGGCAGCATCTTCGAGACCAACTCCTTCTACTTGTAATGTCTGAGCAGCCACCTCCGCGGTGCAAGGATCAGTGTCTGCTCCATCTACTGCAGCTAGTGTCCCTGCAGAAGGAGTCTTTCTCTTCTTTTTGTTCTTTTTCGTGGATGGTGTCTTCATTTCTGTATGGTCTGATTTTCTTGTTGCAGGCATGAAATCTTCTCCGAGATTTTCCTCGTCTCCGAAGCAAGATTCTTTTGACGAGTCTCCACGAGCACGACTCGCACTGCCAGACTCAGGTTTGTGAGAAGGTGCAAGAACTACTCCATTCGCACTGTATGTTCTGTAGCTCCTGCTCTCGCCACCTCTAGCCGCCTCTCCTTGGTGAATGT